TGCTCGGTTGTTGAGTAAGGAGATTGCCGGTCGCAGTCCAATTTCCAGCATGAGTTCGCCTTGGTTGGTACTCTTAAGGCACCCGGTAGTTGCTCGAGCCTGTTGGTTTGCCATTTTTTGAATCTCATTCGCGCGTCCGATGGTTCCCCGTTGCTGTTCCCCTTGCCTCCAGAGTTCAGGTCCGCATAGCGCCACTACCTAAACGCAGGCAGTGTTCTACAGAGACCAGACCGGTCGGTCGACCGGACGGGTCGGTCGGAATATATCCCGACTGACCATGGCTTTGGCCGGTCTGGATATAACTTGACCGACCAGACCTGATTATTTTCTGTTCGGGATACATACCGACCAATCAGACTGGGGCTTTTGTAGGTCGGAATATATCCCGACCGGCCCGAGCTCGCCAGGCTCGCTCGGCCCAGGTCGGCCGACGTCAGGATAACTGATAAGCTTATCAGTTGCAAATTTTTCTATCATAGTTGTGTGTGCGGAATGTGTCGATGACGACCGCAGCAGTACTGGAAGTGCTGGGCGTCCGGAATGTTGCTATAATTGTCGCAGAAATGCTGGCAGACCACAGAAATTCTGGCAGAGAAAGCATTAGCACGTGATGATGTACTAGAGGCTGTGGAATGTCTCAAAATCTGGCAGAGGGATGGGATGATTGCGGCGACTCGGGCGGATGTGAAGGAATTGGGGAGATGTTGGCCGCGCTATGCGAGGAGGATCTGGTGTAGAATAAATCATTGTAAAGATTACAAATTCCAACGTGTAAACTTTCTTAGCCTGACTTATCCCGACCTATGTCTGATCGGTCGGGATATATCCCGACCGATCAGACCAAGTTTTTTTTTTGTCGGGATATAAACCGACCGACCAGACCATGCCCAAATTTGGTCGGGACTGGTCTATGTAGAACACTGAACGCAGGCCACTTGTGTTCTCCTAACATTCTCTAGTACAAGCCCCATATTCCCACACAGCCGGCGTAGACGGTGCTGGGTGTTGTGGGCGTTCTTTATCATTGTCTGCTGGTGAGCCTTAAGGTTTAGCTCTGAGTCAATCCAAATCCCTAGCCATCGAGTTGCGGTCCGGTTGAATTTGATCTCATTTCCGTCCACCTCAACTGTCTGATCCCATTTGACTTTCTTTTTCCGCGTCAGCAGTATGGCTTCGGTCTTGTCGGTGTCGAAAGCCACTGCGTTTGGGCCATCCCATTCCTTTGCATAGTGAGCCGCGTTTCCCAGGCGGATGGCTACCTCTTCTTTATCCTTCCCATCAGTCCACCATGCCACGTCATCGACAAAGGAGATCGCTTTAGTGCCCGTTTTCTCTTCCACATATCCAAACATCTCTGATACCTAGATAGCAAAGAGTATGGGTGAGACCGGAGACCCTTGGGGTATGCCTGATTCAATGTCGTGCGGTTTGTCAGCTCTGCCTTCCTTCTCCAGTACGATCTGCATGTCTCTCATGAACGAATCCGTCCATCGAACCAAGTTGGGATCGAGGTGGAGTTCAGCCATCCGTCGGCACAGGTGACTTCTGCTGACGTTGTTGAAGGCTGACTTGACGTCCATCAGTAGTGCCCCAGCCATGCTTTTCTTTTTATTCTGCCATGCCTCCTGCGTCCGTGCGATCAGAATGGCAGCTCGTCGAGGCGATGAGGCAGATCGACACAGACAGGCAGACGGAATCATCGAGTGACGGGATTGAAAAAAAGAAAAAGAAGTATCTAGACCGAATAGCACGCGCCCTGTCCCGTCCGTGGTCCGCGGTGATAGGACCGGCCCGTGCAGGAACCGATTGACCGTGTACTACTGGTGCTACATGACGAAATTTACGTCGTCACAGCCTGGCGAACTCAAAAGCCAGGACGCGTAATGTGGGAAAAGTAGGACGTGCAATGACCATTCGCAATGACCATTGCGATGGCATATGCAACGGTTATACGTGTCAGATGTAGACGTCCGTTTGCTCTGGGGAGTCCTGGCGCCGCAGGTGGTGCATGTTGAAAATATGAGTGTGAGATTGATATCCTTCGGTGGCTTGATTCATTCGCAGAAACAGCGGATGACCAGCTGGACATACCAGATAGAAGCAGAAGCAAGTATGACAAGAAACAGGATTCTCGAGGCGCATTCGAGGCGCACTCGAGAAGGCGCAAAAAGACGCATATGACCAGTATGACCAGTGTGCAATACATATCTTGGACGAGCGACGACGACGGCTTTTCGTAGAGAACGAGACGAGAACGAGAATCGCAATAGCGCCGGAGCTTAGGCGTCCAAGTCATATCTAGTGCCGGACGACTGGCGTCTGGATCTTAGGCGTCCGGACCTTAAGCGTTGAAGCGATGGTTGGTGTCCTGAGGGTGATGGGGTCTACGAGCAGCCCCCCGACAGGGCGAGCCTGGAGGCCATCTACATAGCACATGTATATAGAGGACCTTCTGCCGCTGCAGAAGATAGGCGATAATCAAGACTTTATATTCCTATATTTGACAATACGCAATGAGGAAAGGGAAAGCTCAGGATTTGGAGGACAGATGTCGTCCAGTATAGTACTGCATTTCTTGTTTTCTCTCTGTATATGAACCCCGTTTATGTTGTCCACTCTGTTGTTTTTCAACCAAGTAGTCAGTCAATTCAACCACTTGTTTTCCGTCTCTCTCTCTACCTCCCGTCCGTACGATCATACTTCTGAGCAATTATACGATCGAGAACTGCTTGGGATTGCTATCGTTCTAGCCACTGCGACATACTCACTACATATATCCTCCCCTCCGCGCCTAAATCATCCGAACATACTAGTTCCCCCACTACCCCACTACCCCACATCGCCGTTTCCCCACCATCCAACTTCCACGCTCTCCGGCATCCACCCGGGCGCTTTAGCATATATCCAACAACTTCCGCACCGCCACGACCTTCTCATAAAACCCGGCATTCCCGCCCGGGGCAATGATCCAGCGCCCCAGGGACCGTGGTCCGTGGGGACGGGTCCGCCCCGGGCAGGGTAGGTCGGTTCTCAGGTCCAATCTTTCCACTCCATCCAACGAAGCAATCCCATCCCAAATACTTGCAAAAAATCAGCATGCCATTTTCCAGTTTTTAGTCGCCAGGGGTTAGGGAACTTACTTTTTGGGAATGGTAAGAGCACGGGCACACGGGGTGCCATGCTGGTAACCCTTGTCTCTCCCTTGCTGGTCGCCTCGACATCCGTCATCTCATCCTCTCCTCATCTCCGTCATCTCTTCATCCATCCACACATACACAATGAGTGGAAACTCCCACTCGCCGCCACCACCACCACCGACCCTCATTAGCGGGAACTGCGGAAGTGGCGGCGGCGGGTGGTCATTGATGGTATTCGTCCTTGCGATTACTCGCGTCAATCGACAGAGGCGGCGCCGATGAGATGGCTGTCTGAGCGTCTGGTCGTCTGGTCGGCCTTCTGAGCCCATCGAAGATGAAAATTCAAGAACTGCGACGCCGAATGGGGTCGCGGTCGTCGCCAAACGACCACCCAAGTGTGACGTCGAAGTGTCTCCAGTACTTCCAAACCCCACCCCAGACAGGCTGATGCAAGCGTGCCCGAAGAGACCCACGACGAAGCAGATTGTGAGCACGACGAGCACGGTCTCCACCACATCGAATCCGATGGACGAACTGTTGGACTTCCTACGTCCTTGAGCGTTAATATGTATTCACGTATTGAGTGTTGGGGTTCAAAGAGCACATACTTGAGTCTTGACTAGATGCTTGATTGACTTGGGTGGTGTTGGTATTTCGAATTTCGTGTAGCGAAGGTATGGAAGGAAGTGCTGTGAAGATGGAAGAAGGAAAGTGGAGAAGGAAGGTGAAGAAGGAGTGTGGGGGGTTTTGTGGTGGGGCGTGTGTTGATTGCGGGGCGAGTTCTTGGCAGGTCTAACCCTAGATAGAATCCTATAACCCTAATCATAAAAAGGTGGATGCGGCTGAAGTGTGAAACGGGAATGTATGGCAGAGAAGTCAGTAGTTACGAGGGGGGTGCACGTGACTCCCACGCTAGCGGCCACGACATCACGGCGACGTATCTGAAGTAGATAAAGAAGCGGGATGATGATCATTCGGTGCAGTGAGCCGATCCTACAGTTACCAGGAACGACGGATTTGCACGTGAGGAGGAGAGCTCCATCAGACCTGGAGGAGGAGGAAGAGGCAAGCATCGCCACATCTGAGCATCGCATCGGGAGCAGAGCTGAGCAAGAGTGCCCATTGCCCAGCAGGGTACTGCATCTGCGACCGCTGCCAGCCTCCAGGAAGTAGGAAATGAGGATATGCGGTGACATTTTCCTGGTGCGATTACTTTTGTGATTTGTTTGGCAGGCAGGCAAGCAGCGGCGCCGCATCGGACTAGTAGATACCGCCGTACCGGGGCTTTCACCTAGACTGGCCGCGCCAGGGCGGGCAGGAAAGGAGTGTGAAAGTTCGCCATAGTTTACATAGGCTACATGCGAAATGGAACAGGAAGATCTCTCTCTTTCTCTCTCCCACGTTAGCGGCATCGTTGGATGATTATCGATCACCGTGTCGATGACCGTATCTACCAGGATTTTAGATCGGTTTCCCCGCCACATGGGGAGCCACATAGGGATCCGCATGGGAGCTAGTCGATGCACTGGAGTCTGGACTTCACACGGCGTTCTCCGTATGTAGGAGAAGTTGGATATGGTCTCTGGCTTGATCCGTGCATTTAACCAGCTGCGGATCTTATCCGACAGCCCGTTATTTTCCACCCATCGCATGATCCCACGGACCACCAGTGCCCGAGAAAGCATGGCGTAGCAGTAGCATTTTCAGTATACATACTCTGGCAGTATATCAGCATACCGGCATTCCACAATAGTAGGTATAGCATACAAGCATAGCAGGAATGTCGTGGGTTGTGCAATTCATCGAGCACATATCCCCGACATCGTCCCTGACACGATACATCCAAACAGGTCTACGCATAAATCACTGACCTCCCCAAGAGCTTAAGTCGCTTCCAAAAAGGCAGCACAGAAAGAAAGAAAAAAGGAACACAGAAAAAAAGAAGACGCCCGCTCCAGTAAACTCCGTATCATGAACCCAATCGCACAAACCGCCGAGATGCCAGCGGAAGAACAAAGCCAAAGCCAAAGCCGACTGACCGCTACCACTTCATTTCCGTCGCGGCCTTGAGATCATTGACATTCAACAGATCGACTCCCATTTCGACCAGGGTGCCCCACACCTGGTTGCGCACGCTGATGGGCCACATAGGAGTGCTCCAGTAGCGCACTCCAATGCCGCGCTCATGCGCCGCCTTAATCTGTGCGGCAATCTTGTCCTTCATCTTCCTGCTCAGCCCGCCGGAGCCCCAATACACAGCGCCGATCTCCTTCCTGAAGCTCGCAGTGGCCATGAGCGAGTTGCTAGTATTGTACCGGCCGCTCGCCAGCCCGCTCAGTGGCGCGTCGTAGAAGTAATCGCGGTACTCGTGTTGCAGCATCAGCTCGAACGGCGCGGCGCCGCTGAGGTGCACGGTGACCTGTCCGCGGACCAGGTGCGTCCCGTTCCAGTGCGTCAGGAAGTTCCGCGGGCTGCGCAGCGGCTCGAGCTGCTGTATCACTACTGGCAGCGTGCTGGCGCCCGGAGTCTTGATGTCCACGTAGAGGTGCAGCGTCTGCTCCGGATCGACGTCGAAGATCCCGCGCAAAGGCTTCGCTACCGCGGCCTCATCTTCCTCCGACGACGACGAGCCGATGGGAATCCGCTGCGCTTGGTTCATCTCGTCCAGGATCTCGCGGATCGGCGTGACGTACAGCGTGCCGAAGGTGCGGTTCCGGGTCAGGCTGGCGGTGTCGTGGCCGACGTAGAGCTCGCCGGAGTATTCCCACACATCGGCCTCGACGGAGATGGCGCCGACGGAGATGGCGGAGTAGAACGGCACGCGGCGCCAGTAGTCGTTGTGCGAGTGGATCGGCTTGGGGTAGATGTCGCGCGTGAACGAGGTGGGATACAGGGTGCGCCAGTACGTCGAGGGGGACAGGCCCCAGTTGTGTAGGATCCGGTGGATCGAGAGCGTGGTCGGCGTGTTGGATGTGAAGGTGTGCTGGAGCGCTGTGGTGAGACAGCTGCGTGGTGATGAGTGTCAGCGGAACGTTCCGTAGAAAACAATCAGGATGGGATGGGGAACCGACGTCAGCGCGAAGGCGAAGAAGAGCACGCCGAGTGCCAGGCGGCCCAAGCGGCGAAGCTGAATGCTCGAAGGGTTCGTCGAGGAGGCCATGGCGGCGGCCACGGAGGATCGAGGATGTCGGTGGGTTATCGCGCTGTCGACAAAGCGGGGGACAAAGGGGGAGGTGGTTGCGCAACGGCGTGCCGATGGAGGTGGAAAGTAGTCCGGTTAAAGGCAGCCGGTCAATCAACAGAACATGGGCGCGAACACAAAAGAAGGTTTCGGGGCGAGGAGGAGGAGGATGAGATGTCGAACAGAGGGGAGAAAGCGGGGCTTGGGGGGAATGTGCGGGAGTATAAGTCGTCGCACGCTCTCCCCTCCTCTCCTCTCCTTGCTTCGGCTGGCCATGTCTCCTCTTTTCTCCACCTCCGAACCCACGCCGAGCAGATCACATTCGCGCATTACATTCGAGGCGGGCACGCAGGCTAAAAACTCGATCTCGTTAGCAGAGTTACGCGAAGGCTGCATACGCGTTGCAAACCTCAACCGTCCATCGCCAATCATCGTGATATGTGCGCGCAGGGTCCGGCCGTGATTGGTGGGATCCGCCGATCGGCTCGTCATGGGCAGAACCAAGGTAGGCCCCGGTTTCTTCCTTGCGCGAAAAGCTTGTAAGCTCCAGACTCTACAGAACCTTGGTTAGCCCACGTGTGCACGACGGCGAGCGCCCGCCAGCTGAACCCACCAAGTCGCATGTAGAATAGACGCCCCCACGAGGCGCTGCACGTGCTGACCGGCAGAATCTTTGGGTTCGGCGATGGAAATGGAGGCGAGATGAGGGGGCAGGAAATGGGTTGGAAGCGGTCGCTGGACACGCAGTCAAAGTAAGCAGACCTCGGTTCGAACGAAGGCCTTCTCTTTTGGAGAGGAGTAGATGATCTCGAGTGGAGATAGGTCGAATTAGAGTAGGCAGAGGACTGTATTTGACTCTGCCCTCGGTGCTCTCGGTACTCAGTGTCACCCCGCATTTGGGGGATAGGGCTGGGGGGCAATATGTATTAGAGTTGCTCGCGAGAGTGTCCTCCGTCGGGAGGTTAACCGCAACCTGGCAGTCCCTTCATTAATCGCGTGTAGCTTATCTGCAGTATGGTACCTTCTGCAATGTAGAGTACTATCGTGTGCTATATGTACGCACACTCTGCCTGGTCCTAACCGTCCTAACCGTCCGCCTACTCCAGCTGAGCGCTGAATCGAACGGCCATGTCGCGCATTGTCACATTGCGACCAAAATGCCCGAATTCGACACAATTTGTTTCGCCAATTCTGGCTGCTTGCATCATTTGTTCTCACCAAGAGTGACTGCTTACAGTAGTTACATACAACATCTATTGTCGCAAAAAAGAGATTCTGCAAACACGAGGCTCTGATGGCTTATACGCGTGGCTTCTGGAATGGAAAGCTTGTTCGGGCCGCAATTCCGTATGCATATCCGAAGCTCTAATGTCTTATACGCGTGGACTGGTGAGCTTATTCGTATCGCAAGTCCGAGCTTATTCGTGTCGTATGCAAGTCCGCCGTTTGCAAGATATGCATCGCTTTAGCGCCAAGCTCTTATTCGCTCATCCCAACCAATATGGCGGTCGAACGCCACAGCGATCTCAGCCACACACTCACCTAGAGTAGTCATCACAGCTGCACAGAAGCTGCTCGACCTCTTCAGTTTCTCTTCCCGTCTCCCGCTCGACACAGCCTGACATTCACACACTTGACATCTCTTGGCGCGTCTCTCCGCTTCGTAGATTCGGCAGACCAGCGCTAGGCTACGAAGCTTACTTCACGAAGCGAGACATGCCTGACAGCGGGATCACCATCACGCGCCGTATCCTAGCGTTCGAAGGCAGTGCCGCAGTGGTGACGGAATATTATCCGCAGCTACATAACTTCAATATTGGTGCTCGGTCTTGGCAGTTGCAAAGGACGGTTTTCGGAGGATAGCGTAGTCGTGTGCTTTTCGGTCTAGATATTTCTTTTTCTTTTCTTTTCTTCAGGTCCCGTCACTCGATTCTTCCGTCTGTCGCTGTTGAACCCCGCTCAACTGACTGCTCTGCAATGTACACGTACTGTACTACCGCTTCACACTTCGTCCCCATCCCTCTTTCTATGATTAGGGTTATAGGGTTCTCAAGAACTCTCCCCACAATCAACACACGCCCCACCACAAAACCCCCCCATCTTATCCACCTCCCTTCCTTCCTTCCTCACTTTCTTTCTTCACTTTCCATCTCCACATCCTTCCTCCCTCACTTTCCTTCCTCCATCTTCAGACTACTTCGTTCCATACCTTCGCTACATTCCAACGTACACGGATTCGCCCTGCGCCCTCTCGGAATCAGGTCCCGTAAGCGAAAGCGCGAAGAGACTCCGTTGCGAGAGGACCATCACTGTTGGAGAAATCCACGGTAACCGACACACGATGCCGATGATGACGAGGATTCAACTTCCAGGCCGCCCGGAAGGCGGTGATCCGCCACGGCAGCACTCAGCGACGAATATTGCGTGGTGCGCCACCCGACATCACTGCAGGGAGTTTCAAGACACCCCCGGGGGGTTATGGGAGCACAATTTATCCTGCCCTCCGACTTCAGACGAGCAGACGAGCAGACGAGCAGACGAGAAAACGTCCACCCCATTAGCGCCTCTCTATGGGGCCCCGTTACCTCTGTCGATTGATGCGAGTAATCGCAAGGTCGACAGCATCGCTGCACACCCGCCACCGCTATTTCCGGATCCTGAGGTAGAGGAAGAGGAAGAAGAAGAAAAAGACCAAGCGCATCTGGGTCGGTTTTCTGGTGGTGGTAGCGGTAGTGGCGGCGGGTCGTCTTTTCCACTCATTGTGGAAGGATAATGGCTGTCGAGCCAACCAGCAAGAGAGGGACCGAGGTTTACCAGCATGGCACCCTATGTGCCCGCGTTCGCGCCATCGCAGCACGCCCTCTTCATCCACCACTCTCCCTCCCTCCACTGCAATCTTCCGATCCACGGCCGTTTGTTTTGTTGCCGCAGCGCAGAAAATCTGCTCTTCCTATTCCTAAAAAGTAACTTTAATAACCCCCGGCTACACAAAACTGCAAAAATGGCATGCTGATGTTTTTCTAGTATTTGGGATGGGATTGTTTCGTTGTCCGGATTGGATGGGTTTGATGCATTCCTGCCCGGGGCGGCCCCGTCCCCACGGACCACGGCCCCTGGGGGCGCCGGATCATTGCCCCGGGCAGGAATCCACCACTTCAAATGCTGGGTCAGCGCTGTGCGCTTACCCACTGTCGGGGGTCAGCCCTGTGCGCTACCCCCCTATTGATTCGGGCTGGGGCGGTGATGAGGATGTTTCTAGCCGACATGGCTTTGGTCTTTGGTACATAATCCACATTCCGAGCAGATCTATTCAAAGCCTCTGTCTAACCGTCATCCAGGCTCCAGTCCGAAGCTGTCGGTGGCAACCGGCTCGCAAATCGCCTGCCACCCGATTATCATCCGCGGAGGCCGCGACTGGGAGCGACTGGCCATTCCCCAGACGGCACTAGCTGCGCCTGCGGCGCGATGACCGTTCCTCATCCGATTGTGGGGTGGGGTGTGTTCCTGTGAGTAGTCCACTATGGTGGGTGCTTGGAATATTCGGAGCGGTAGCGGTCTACGTTTTTGTTTCCTTTCTTTCTTTCTCTCTCTTGTACCTGTAGCTCCTAGACCTGAATATCCCACGTCACGTTTCTCCATCTCGATCGTTCGCGCGGTTATCTCCACGAGTCCTTCCAAAAATGACTGGGTGTACGACTTGCACGATTACGTCGTCGATGCTGACGACTAGAGCTGGGAAGATTATGAGGATGTTTCCAGTCGGCATGGCTTTAATCGTTGAGTACATACTCCACATCGAGAGCAGATCTATTTAAAGCCCCCCGTCTAATCGCTCTCGAACATCCAGTATCCGTCGGCAGCAATCAACGAGATATCTGAGGCTCGCAAACCGTCCACCACCCTTTGAGTACATACTCGACAGCGAAAGAAATCTATTTAAAGCCCCATCTAACTGTCCTCCAGTCCCGAGCCGCCGGCCGCAACCGACTACATACTAGCAACACGCCTGAGCCGCTCCACACCATCCTTGATACGCCTCCGACACTGAGTTCGTCCTCCGGTGAGGGTGTCTCTGCCGACCGCCGCACTCCCCCGACGGGAATACTGGTGATTCCGTCTGTAGATAACCGTCGCAGCCTCCTATACAGCTGCGGCTCGCGGACCTTAACCACCCGAATGTGATCCTCCATGCCCTGACCAAAAGCACATGGCGAACGCGCCATCTAACCATCCTATCCACGCAGGCACTTCTTCCCCCTTGCCCAGGAAGTTTTCCGGCACGCCTTACACGACCTCTCCTTCCGGCGATCTTGGACTGTCGACTTGGAGTTGTTGTGGCCGCAGCACGGCGTCGACTCCTTGTACGTCGGCGCCCACGGGTTGTAGCCGCGGTAGGCGGCATCGCAGGGCATCATCACGATTAACTTTTTGTGGCCGCAGCCGTAGAGCGTGCGCTGGTAGAGGCACATTGTTGTTGGGTGTTTTTTGTTAACTGGTCGTGTGTGTGGTGTCTCGATGTATGTGATGTGTGACTTGTGGTGTCCCGATGTGGATGTGTGAGGAGGTATAGTAGGCGCGCGCAGGCGGAGGGTTTTATGTCGGGTGTGTGTGTGTGTGTGTTGGGATAGGCAATATAATGCGGACGCGGACTGGGGGCTTTGAAAGGGTTGCTTGCGGGGCGGGAGAAAATATAAACGTGTCAATCCCGTCCGTTGAACGTTCGCTCATCCGAAAACTGCGCTCGTGTATGGCCCGAAATTGTGTTCCCGAGATCGCGGACCGGCCACTAACATCGCCCGTTTCCGATAAGCCAAGCTTATGCGGCACTACCTATCTAGGGCACTAAGGCGGCCGGCGAATCGTAGCGAATCGTAGGTGAGAAACGGCTTCGGCCCCCCCCATGGCCTGTGGCCCTTGGATGGTGGGAACCGGCATGTCGCGGCATGTCACGCGCGGCTAGGAATCCTCCGATGTAGAGTAGAGTTGCAGCGCGAGTGACGTCTCGTGGTGCGGCTCTGCGCCAATGAGACGTTCCAGCGCATCGTAGGTAGGCTTAAGCTTCCGGGCTTCGGGAAGGATTCCGAAGCGACAGGTTCGCTGGTGACACTAGAAAGGATCCGCAGGTTCGAACCTGGTCCTCGTCATGCGAAGCTTCATACTCTACCATGTCACGCTGCCAGACCACACAAACCAAGCCCGCCACGTATCACTAGCCACCGCACGGGTCATGGAACACCACTGTGTGGCTGCACCACACTAGCTGAAGCTACCTATCTACACCCATCGGTTCGCATCTCATTGCCGAATGTCCAGCGGTCTTCACAACTCCCACGGCCTGTATGCTGCTAGATTTCCGCCTCACCGTACTTGTCGTTCTATGTTCGTCGTAGGCTATCTATTTGTCGGCATGTTGACTTGCTGAGTGTTGTGCGGGATGAATGAGGGCTGGGCCGGAGACGAGTCGCGGGCCGAATCTCCATGATCCGGCCCTGGTAGATTTCTAGACATCCCTGTGTGTTACGGGAGCTAAGACGGGGCGTGGAAGATAAGACGGGATCGATGTGACAAGACAAGACGGGGTTGCTGGGGTGGAACTAGGGTAGGTGGTGTGGGATACAGCTGGAACTGACGTCTTGGGATTTGCTGCCAAGATGTCAGGACCAGGTGTGGACCAGGTGCTATGTACCCTACATTATCGGGTTTGTTTTGATTGTACTGTTTCGTTTGTTTTGATCCCTTTTTGCTGGTCTTAGCGGTGGTGTTACGGTCGTTGGCAGTAAAAACCCCGTATCGGGTTTAGTGAGGTCGGCCAATATTGGCCGCACCTGAAATATTTAATCGGAGGATCTGTCTTTCGGTTTGTGCGTTGTTCGTTGTCTCTCTTGTCGGTTACTTCAGTTTTTCAAGCGGTCACTAGATCACTTTCTTTGTGTGTTCTTTTTTCTAGCACTTCCTGACGACAATAGGTTCTTTTTAGTCTCGACCTGTTTCTCTTTCTACACTTCTATTTTCCCCTTTTCACCCTACTCGAAACAACCTCCCTCAACCAAGGCCCCTCCGGTGTTTAGTTCGTCAGTGGAGAGCCGCGTCGCGTTAGTATGTAGAGCAGCCTGACGAAGGTGCTCCGAGCTGTAGCTACCACCTCAACCTTTCTCCTTCATACCACCTCCTTCATCTTTTTCTTCCGTCCGTTGTTTCATTCAACTTATCCATCCGCCACCAGCAGACATCACTATACCAATAGGTAAAAATAACTATCCACTTCCTGTGGGCTCAAATATTCGTCACCAAATGCGCCATGGTCGCAACTCTCCTCTCAGTCTCCTCCTCCTCGCAGTCCTCCCCTCCATCGCCAGCTACAGTGAGGATGTCCTCGCAGCAGGAGATCACAGGTACTATTCTTCCTTCTTCACAGTATAGTTGTGTAAACTGACGCGTGTTTGAGATCTAGCTGCTACTGGTACCGCCACTGTTGTTGAGGTACAGCGCTTGCAGATAGGCCAGCTCAACAAGGAGTTGGAACTCCTTCGCAGTTTTGTTAGGGTGCAGGCAGGCGCCCAGCCCCCAGTGGAAAAACAGTAGTGAGAGACTTCTTCCTTCCTCATCTTATCGTGTACAGTCGCTTATAAACCCTCTTTTCAAGCCCGACGCTTCAACAACTGAATGTGGGGAAATTTCCCCTGCGGGAAGCGAGGGTGTGATGGAGGTGCTCCCAGGGACAATAATTGTTCCCACAACGGCAACGACTCTGAGAGGAGCTTTGCCAGGTATGGATACGGTTGAGAAGTTACAGAGAGAAGAATCGAACGGCTGATTCTTTCCGCAGGATCGACTGTGCTAGTCAAGTTGTGTTCTTGACGCGTACCCCGAGTTATCAGAACCCTATCGCATAGGAGGCTCCCGGCCAATCTCCCGTCATTTGTCAACGACACTCCCGACACCAAGGGAAGCACCTGTCAACAGCGGTCTATAACAGACACCTTACCAACAGCCGCCCAACCCTTCACGAACCCTTAAAGACATCAAACAGTAAGTACCGCTGTTCCGCCTCTCTTTAGATGAACATGTTCACTCACGTACCTTCTGTGTGCACCACAGTGGAGAACAATATCGATCAAACTGGACTCACTGCCCAGAATTTGGCATCTCAGGATGGCTTGTCTGGCGATGAATCCACCATAAATTCATCGTTTTGCGAATCCACTACGCACATACGTGCCGAAGCCAATAGCGATGATGCGGAGACTCCTGCAAAGCCACCGAAGACGATGAAGTACATCGACGATGATGTCCGCCGCCGCCACACCTTCGACAAGCGCAGACAAAGGCTTTTCCAGGAGGTATTGTGACCACCTTTACTGCTACAGGACACAGCTAACGTTTCCAACAGGCAAGAGATTTGTCCATCCTATGTGGAACTGAGTATGCGCTCGTTGTCGCTTCGGACTCGCAAATCTTCACCGAAGCGTCCCCGAATCTCGCCGGATTGCTCTCCGATGAGGGAAGGAATGCTATCCTTGTAAGGAGCTCCCCGTAGCTTATATGGACCTTGGCTGACACGGCAAAGGATTGCCTGCATGGGAAGGTTGGAGAGAGCGACGCTGCGGATGGAGCGAGGGCGATCAACCAAAGTCCTTCTCCACCGGCCCCGGATATTGAGAATAGAGCGGCAGTCTAGGTGGAACAGCGTGGAGATGGCCATTTTACTAGAATCTCGCCGACGAAGTCTTTAGCAGCAGTTGAAGCGTGCTGCAGATTGCTTGCTTCTGTTTGTACCTGCTGAGATGGAAAGTCGACATCACTTGCCCAGCAAATAAATGCTCCTGTTTGTACCTGCTGAGATTGAGGGTTGACATCACATGCCCGGCTAATGAATGCTTCTGTTTGTACCTGCTGAGATGGATAATTGATGGCTTGCTTCTGCTTGTACCTGCTGAGATGGAGAAATGATATCATTGTCCACATCAATGAATGCTCTGAATAGTTTGCGCACGTCAAACGATAAAAATTGTGTCGAATCGAGAGGACACGTGACCGTAAAGGTACACGTAATCGTAGAGGTAGACGCTATACGAGTCGCCTGCCAGTCCTTTCAATCCGAAGTATAGGTTCAGTGGTATGGCCTAGGTATGAAGAATCGTGATCATTCTCACTCGGACGAGAGTGTGAAATAGGTTGTAGAATCATCCGCCGAAGCGGTGTACACAACATAGGACAGAAGACTTGGGACAAGATCCGTCATGTCAGTCGGGAAATGCAAATATACCTAGTACAGTAAGAGTACGCGGCCGATGCACTGGAAGGACCACTTGCAACTTGGTCCCTGGCTCTACATTGTACACGCACACATACGAATCCGTCATGTAATTCGATCCTTGAGTTCTCTTTTTGGATGTAAACCATCCCGATTGTGTACTGGGCGGCCGCTGCTCCGCGGGTCACGCTTACGTCCCCGTCGCTCCTCCTCCGCACCATCGTTCCACCACTCCACCATTCCCTCTCCGCATCCTTTAACCCCATCCCCGCCAAGTACCTAGAGGCTTCTATCGCCTTCGACTGTTCGACATATGCATGGCCGGGACATCTCAAACGGGTCTGTATTCATATCCTCCGGCAAGTGCAAAACTTCCATAATGCAGTGATGCTGACCGCCTCGTACCGTTAGTTCCAACACAGCTCTCTCTCGGGCCTCCAGGAGCGTGGAGGATGCATTACAAGTGTATCAGCTGCCTATTAGTGGGTAAGGATTCTCCTCCCCTCTTCCTCATACCCCGCTCCTCCTCCCCCCACACGAATCCAATGCTAACCGGTAGAAGCCGCTCCCGGTCTTTTCAACTGCCGCAGATACGTCTAGTTTCCCACACCTCTGCAGCGACTGCTCCCGCTTCGCCGTCCACATCAAGACCATCCTCGAAACCAACCCAGCGGCGCCGCGTTACATCGGGCATACGTTAAATCGGGCGTGCGTTCGTTCACCACACCATCACACAGCTGCTTTGCAGTATCTTCTACATGTTTCTGGCCGATGCATAGGCTACGGTTCCAGGGATCAGCTACTGCGGTTTGCCCACATGGCCTGTTATGAAGCATTGTCCTGTTACCCGAGTGCTTCCGGGACTGTGGTAGCGAGAGCTGTAGCAGGTGCCCATGTTCATGAGGCAAATAGCACGAAGGTATGAGGGTCCCCGAACCGGTGAGTCTATATACGACTGTGAATACTTATTGCGAGGCTGAAAAGTTTTTCGGCAGGGAGAAGCGCCGGTGCATGTTGCGGGAGATTGACGGCTGTCTCCGCGTAACTGTGAGATACGGAGGTGTGACGGGAGTCGCCTCTGCCGCAGCACACGCCGCCCGCCGGCACGCCAGCTACCACAGCAGTTTCGGGGGCGTACGCAAAATCCACGAAGAAGAATTTCTGTCGCCGGTCGGACTGGATGGGAAGGTTTTAACGCCGCCTTCGGCCTGAAAACAAGATGGGTGGGCCACCGTCCACGAGGCCGGTGTCTCAAAGTAGCATCGGCGCGTCATTATTCGGGTGGGACGAAAAAAAATGGACCGAATACTGGCGATGTTGGTGGCTTTCTGTGTTCATCGCTCTTTGTACAATGATTCGCTCATGCAAACGCCCAGCGCCAACAAGCACACACGCCCGCATATTGCCCTGGCATTCCCTCTTATCGTCAAGATTCTATTACCCCATTGCGTATCCCTCATTCCGCCGTCGCCAACAAAGGGAGCACCACGGGACCCAATGGTGGACTGGCTGCCGAGTGCTACCCTTCGCCATCCCCAAAAACTCTCTATTATAGCGGGCCGAAGTCTGAGACGTCTAAGACGCTACTCTGGACATCCGGAACGATTCCCGACAATCGAATCGCCTACTACTGGCCCGGAAGAATTCGGCCGAGCGCCTGATCGAGACTCAATGAGGCGGAAATTACCTTGGAAGTTACCGCTTAGCGGATACCAACTCCGTGGTATCCGTTGTATCCACCATGCACAAGATCGTTCTTTCGGCGATGGGCAAATTGGAGTCCTGCGAAACGAGATGGGTGCCAACAAGCGGGGTTCTTGCAAGGGCGTATCAGATTTAGCTCTGCAGTGGCGGGGCGGCGAAGTCATAAGTACACTAGAGTACACACCTTTCGAGCTCATACGAAATCCGGGGAATCTACAGTCGGTTGTCTAATGCTCGGTCAAGAGGTTATCGATTGAATTCTCACGGCGGAATCCCCACTAATTCTGAGACAAACGACCTGAAGTTACCTCAGTTCTTCACTTTCTTATCCTCCTAACGCCCCGCTTCGTTCATTTGCTTTTTCTGTTCGTCCGGTTAATTATTTGCTTCTGGCGTTACGTGATAAAGACCTTGGTGGGCATCCTTTCCGAACCCCGGGACCACATGTAACTAACTGACATTATCTTAGTGTTGGTATACCTCCACGAACGAGCCGACGCCGAGTGTGCGGTTGAGAAGGCATTCGAGACGGTCGTTCCATCCCCTCGCCTGATCGAGGCGTAGACATTGAACCGGCTCGGCGAGGACGTACACGAGTACACCCACGACACCGCCGCGTATGCTACGATAGCCACCCGATTCCGGCTCGGTCTCAGGGGCATGGAGAGGAACGGACATTCCCCAGCGAGCATCAGTGCATACCTTCATGACCGTCCCGAATATTCCCATCACCACCGCCGAAGCCGCTGAAAGGGCCTCACCTACGCAACCGAGCGCCGCATGTCCGCATGTCTCACGAATACCAACTTGCGCTGGATTGTTAGCGCAGGCCAGTGTGGTGGTACGACAGGACGTTTTACTATGCCTGCTTGAGATGAGCGTGCTTACTAGAGTTAACGCACATTCGCTTCCTTGACTCACGATGGATCCACGCTCGCTTCGTAGCGCTACTAGGATCACCGATGGACGTTCGGACCGCCTGCGGAGCTGGGCGAATAGCTTTCCCGGAACTCTTCATCCAATGCACCATGATGAAACATCAAAATAACGGTGGATAATCTTTGTTCCGGTTGCTCGATCTATTGAGCCTATTCATGGTCCTCGGGCGTCATTTTTGGACCATCTGAGACTATTTGACCTTTTTTAAAGCCTGCTTTGTCTTGAGATATTACCTGCTCCCGTTTTGGCTACTGACTGAGCCAGTGCAACCCGATCAGGGCCAACTTTTGCGGCGTAAAAGGCCGACGGTGATGTGAAGGGAATAATGGTGTGGAGGACCAATTGGTGGCAGGCAATACCGGCTTGTGGTGGGAAGGACCTCTCCCCGAATCAGTGTCGCGATCCCTGATGGGCCACCCCTCACGAGCCTTGTTTGAGACTTGTCCGCATTGGCGGTGTGCACGTACATGTGAGCGCTCCTACTGGTGTTGGTGGGAAGGATGCATACATGCCTCCTATCTCGAATCAAAACATCTGCAGATGTATTGGCCCCCCGTAAAAATCACCCACAGATACCCTCATCGCTAAAGGAACCCAACGGGAGGATATAAACAACGGCGGAGGCCCGCTTAAGACGACCAACGACCAATCCTCCAAATCAACCCGCCCACCCACCACTCCATCATCTCCCATCATGGCCACATTCGCCCCATACTACCCTTTCACTATCTCAGAATCACCCCTCTACACCTCGCACCTTCCTCACGATTATATGGCTAGCATTCAATTCTCCGATCCCCAAAACTCCTTTTTCGGAAACTCCGACTCGCCAAAATCATTCGTCCTGGATCCTGCCATTGCGGATCTGGGTATCCTAAACGGCTCAAGCCCGGGAATGTACGCACCAGAAGACTCGTTCCTTCCGGCTCACCATGAACCCTTCCGCATCGATGCAGTCACTCTCGCCCTTCTGAACGAAGCAAACAGGCTGGCGTTTCCCACGATCAGCTATAAGCGGTCGACTCCCGCCCCCGTACCCTCCATGTGGTTCGATTACACCTTCTCGCCATCCCATTCGGACTTGCCACTGGCCGGCGGAACCACGACAGGGGCGCTAGAAACGTACCAGAACAGCGATTCAATCCATTTCCCCCGCGGGCAAGGTTTTCCTTCCAGCACGACGTTGCAAGACATCACTGTCACCGATCCCCTCAGCTCCTGTTGCAACTACACAAACGGCAATAACTGTCGTTCGAATAGTTACAGTCCCGGTAGCAGCACCTCTCATGTCAGCATCGTCCCTAGCTCCCCCGCAAGCTGCACGAACGCCAAACATCTCCTAGAAGACAGCAGCGGCAGCCTTCTAACCCCGCACGAGAACGGAGCAACAGGGGCTTCATTCGACGACACTAAAGAACATGGCACCGCTAACGGAGTTGACGACGACGACGGCTACGATTCTGATCCGCCGACTAAGCATGGAAACCTCTGCTGGTGGGTTGGGTGTGCCAAGGTTTTCGACCGCTCCCGGCAGCTCGCCCATCACGTTGAGAGACACATTGAGCGTGAGCCGTGGGCAGGGAACAATCGGGTTATCTGTGGGTGGCGCGGCTGCAGCTGGTCCACAATTCCGGATGTGAACCGACGAAGGCGGACGCTCAGGGCACATATTTTCGGTGTCCATGTGCATTACACACCCTACCGGTGCCACTATTGCGGGAAGGCTCTCACCAAGTACAACCGCGAGATGCACGAACGGGAGATGCACGGTTCCGACGGCACCAGGTTGGGATGGCACATCAGGGTCCGCAGGGCGGCGTGTAGGAGCAGACGTGCGTTGCCGTGGCTTCGAGTTCTTCCTCGGAGTAGCTGATGAGCTCTCTGGGATATATGTTCTGTTTTCCTTTTCTACATTACGGTCTTCAAATGGGTTCGCTTCTTTGGGTTTCTTTCGGTTCGCACGTTTTCGGCCTTTGTCCTCTGGGTTTGGCTGCTCCCTCAGACCCTGTATACATGTATCTGGAAGCTTACGATTGTCCTCTTTTTTTCCTTCCTTTTCTTTTGTTTATGGAAGCTTATGGAAGCTTACGCGGGCGTTGTTCCCGGATATTCACAGCACATATACTTACAATTTCTTTTTTTTATACCTTTTTCCGTTCTCCAGCGGGTTCTGTTTCGGCCCAGCCCAAAAGTACCTGGATGGTATACGATTCTCTCATTTCATTCTTGGTTAGGTCTTTGCGTCTACCACGTGGCTACGTGGCTAACGAATATGGTTGTCTTGAATCCTTTGTTATTGCCTCGTGGGCTACGGTATATATCACAAGCCATGAATATGATCGTCTTGGTGCTATGTTGTTCTCTCCGTGCAATTTATTTAGTAATCATGCAACTATGAATGTGATCGTCTTGTGTTTTGATCTCCAGCTCGTAGGTGGGTATATTATTGCCATATCGTTCGCCTCCAACGTCCTATCACATCCTGAATATACCGAGTATACCGAGTTCAACACACCCATTTGTACCGCTATATCGATCACCTCTACCGTCCTATCATATCCTGAGCATACCGAGTCCAATACACACCTAAGCCCGCAATAATCGAAACGCCAAGATCCTTCGCCAGCTGACAACATGCTGCAGTAGACGAACACTCCTGGCTCCTGCAGGTATGTATCTAGGCGGTGCCGGAGCCTTGCGGTAATCTTCCTTGACGAGATTTGATTGTGAACGTACCACCCGTCGGCATCGACCTGGGCGTAGGATTGGTATTGGGGGTGCGCGTGGGCGTGCGCACAGGAATGTGGCGGCTTCTTGCTGCCTGCATCATCTTACCGTGCATATGTAGAGAATGTTATGTGTGGCGCTCCTGGTGCCCCGCATCAACACTCCGCACCACTCCGCACCAACCGCCATCCCGCAATACCAACATCAGCCACCGTAAGCCGCCGCCGGCCACCGCCAACCACCGCCAACCACCGCCAACCACCAGCCATTTCCACACCGCAACCCTGCCCGCACCACAACTGCCCCCCCGCTGATAGTTCTCAACCACTTGGGTTACAGTCCTCAGCCGCTTGAGTTACGGTCCGTAATAGGTATGGAGACAGATCCGACTGAACATGCAATCCAGGCTAACGGCGAGGTGCTGCGCGAGCGTGAGGGAAAACTTAAAAGTCTGGCCTGGCCTGGCCTGGTCTGGAGTACCCACCGATGGCGCGGTCTCGTTCCAGTGTACCGTCCACCGCTACGAGAGAGAATGCCGTATTCGCTCAAAGTCCGACGGCGCCTGCACCTGACGGGGGGGAAATCATTTTATTGACGTATCTATGGACCTAAGTAGAACACGACGTCCACAACAAGGAGAGCCACCGCCACAAGACTGGCTAATCGGCTTCCCTCGCCTGCCCGCGAGACATAAGTACACTACGTAGCCAATGGAAAAGCGCCGCGAGAGAGAATACCGTATGCGCTCGAAGTCCTCCGGCGCCTGGCTACCGCGCTTCCCACGGCGACCCTATCCCTGCACTTACCCCCACCCGGTGTGGTTGTAGCGCAGGCATCGCGGGGGCCGCCTTGGCTTACCTCGCGATCAAAGACATGTCACATAAATGACTACGTTAATTCCCCGGGCACCCCCTTCCGCTCCTGCTCCCGTTCCCGTTCCCGTTCCCGTCCCGTTCGCGTACCTCCACCCGGAATTCACCCACCCATGTGCCAGCTTACTCCCAACTGGGAACTGCGCGAGGTGCATTTCGATAAGCCACAGCTTACTTACATACATATGGGGTCGTCACATTGGTCAGGGTCTGGAGTTGGAGTTGGGTGTCCGGGTATACCCGCCGAACCGTCCGCTTTCGGCGTTTGAATTCTCGAGTAGCCAGCGCTGGCCGGACTGGGCCTGTTCGCTTGTCAGCTGCATTTTGAATATGCATACCATACAAAAGTGAGATGGAGTTTGAAACCCTCAGTTTCCGGGCGATGGGTGGCCGTAATTCGGCACACCACTCCAAGTTACATAACAATTGAGAAACGGCATATTGTCGACTTAACCACAATTTGGCAAATAAACTCTACGGACAACCACCAGTAAATACCAGCGTAATTAGCCCCGTAGTCGGAAAAAGTGTGGCGTGCTGTTGAACATCTGGATCGCCGAACGGGTCGTCGGGAGAGATGAAAGTTTGCTTGCGGCTGCAGCTATCTATGGTAACCTTCAACTCGGCAGAAACCCCAGGTTTGACATTGAAAATGCAGCTGGGCACCCAAACAGGCCCTTACACTATCTACTGTGGGACGCAGCTGGAACTGACGTCTTGGCGGCACTTTTCGACCCTTGGCTGCGGACCTTGGGAGGCTTTGTTGCCAAGATGTTGGGGCCAGGTGTGGATCCGGGTGCTGCTCTGCTTAGCCTTGCTTGTTTTGACTGTTCATTTTGGTTTTGATCGTTTCTGTGAAGATGTTGAGAGCAGTTGTGGATCCGGATGCTGCTCTGCTTAGACTTGCTTGTTTTGACTGTTCATTTTGGTTTTGTTTTGATCGTTTCTGTCGTCCGCCGCCGTCCGGATAACTACCTCGCTGCCCCATAAAACCCCCATGGTGCCCACTCCCCACGCTTCTTTCTTTACTCTCCTTCCTACATCATCTTCTCCTTCCTACATCATCTTCTCCTTCCTACATCATGTTCTTCTTCCAACTTAACCACAACAAAATCCGACACTCCGAAACACCACAACATCAACACACCCTATAATCCCTCCCATTCATTTACCATCTCATATGATGGTTCCTGCCGACAGCCCACGCCCAGCAACCAATGTGAGGCCGGCCAACATCAGTTCCAGGATCAACATTGGATTTCGCCCCCTCTGACCGGCTCAACGGCCGCCGGAACCTCCTTTTATCGGTGGATGGTTCTATTCGGAAGTCATCCGCCGATAAGAGTTGGTTCGGCCGATGTCGGTCGAACGCCGAAGCGTCCGTATTCGAATACGGGGGCCGAAGCGTGGGTCTTCGAAGGCGTGGGCTTCCGACAAGAGCTACAACCAGGGTTTCTTGGCGGCTGTTGAACCGTGGGCTGTAAGTTCTTCCCTCCGTGCCTGCCTATCCCGCCGTCCTCCTACTGATTGCAATAGCGTCTATTACGTTGCAGTGGTGGCTCGCATTGGAGCCGCCACTCCAACACCGGTCCTGGTGCCTTTCAACTGTGTGTCCCTTGTCGTTCCTTTATTTGATTTCGGCGGATTACGGAGGGCTTCGGCCATCACAATGATTACTTGGGGAGAGCTTCGGCCCCCCACAATATGTACCTGGGGTGGGCTTCGGCCCTGCTCACAGTGAAGGGTTTTGCAAAGGTATGTAAAACCTGTTGTTGTTTAAGGTTCAAACGGCTGATGATTGTTTCAGGGATAATAACATCCTTTGCTATGCGGCGCCAGATTGGCGTCGCTGCCACCCAACCAGAGCAAGTATTCTTTCCGCATGGACAAATAAAGCAGAGGCAGGGGAGGAGATCTTCGAGGAGTGAAGAAATGGCGAGCCGCGCTTCTCAAAGAGAGAGCGTAGGTAGGGTAGGAGATCTCCGGGAAGTGAAGAAATGGCGAGTAGTGTTCCTCAAGAGAGAGCGCAGGCGTTACTCGACGAGGACATAGTGGTGGGGTTCGCGGGTTCGTATTTGACGAAGACGGAGGGAGAGGAAAGTTTTAGATTTTTAGTGGCTTACATGTGGAGTGATTTTTGTTATTTTTTCTTTAGCATATCGGATCTGAATAGGAGGATGGTCTTGTTCATCGCCTATTGTGCCTGAAGATATTTTGGTGTAGTGTGAGAGATTCATGGCATTAAAAAGGCGTGGATACCTACTTGAGAGAGCAACCAAAAATCACAGTCCGGTGACAATAATGGTGAATACTGCGCCATATGCCATCGAGAGTACTTACCCAAGGCATGCTAGAGTACAAGCACCAGTATGTGAAATCTACATACAATACAAAAGCAAAAGTTCTGTCTCAAGGCATGTACTTACAACACATTACGCGTCGATTCTCCTGCGGCATAATACTGCCTACGTGCTGGCTCCACCGTGCTCTCGACCAGGGAATCCAACTTCCCTCCGCGCTCCAGAACACTCTCGATAGGTAGCTTGTGCAAAACAATCCTGGATTCCTGGTATCGACCGGCTCATGCTACCTACCTATAATAGCAGATCTGAGAATTCCATCTGATGCCTTCACGTAAACTTCCAGGCTGGAGATTCATAGCAATAAAAAGGCGTGGACCAAGTACTTGTGAGAGTAATCTAACATCCCAGTCCAGCGACAGTAATAGGTGAAGTCACCGGCAACTCTAGTGTGCAAAATTTAGTAACTTGTATCTTATGTGTTACGATGAGTTGCTGATATCTCAAGTCGGTATAGTATAGTGGTTAGTACGAAGCTTTGTGGATTCATGAATCAGCTTAGACCCATGTTCGATTCATGGTACCGACAATTCTTCAAATATCTTTTTTTCTTTGCTCTTTTACCTCTCGAGTAATCTTAGGAACATCACCGAGTGACCCCGAGAATAATATCCCAACGCGCACCGCACAGTACATTTTGCATGGCAACCCGTCACCGATATCGCGGTGCAGCCACTCCATACAACACGGAGATCAGAGCAACCAAGATATATAAGCACTTAAATAACGGCCGGTTCGATACGAGTATGTACACACTCGCGACAGGGCATAGGACTTCAAAGCACCCAAACAATATCCCGGCCAGATTAAAAGAAGAAGTAATGTGAGAAACACGCCTGAAAGCAAAGCAAGAAACACAACCCAATCCATGCCATCCATGCCATCCCATCCATCTACTTGCACAACAGACTCTGATTTTGCCTCACTAGTCCTCGTCCTGCTGGGCATACGAGTGCTTGCGCATCTCTCCCAGCCGCATTCGGGCCGCGTTGAGCTTGTTCTCGAGCTGGAGGATTTCGACCTATCGAGCTGGTTAGCGGACAGCAAGCGGTAGGTAGGTAAAGAAAGCAGGGAACGTACTTGCTGCTCCATCTCTTGGACCTTGAACTCGTGGCCGCTGAGTTCCGCCCAGTTGTCATCGTCACCCTCCTCACGGTTCTTTGCAGCGATGATACTCTGGACCTGGCGAACGAGCGATTTGCAGGCGTAGGTGACGGCCTTGGACGCGCCCTCCAGCCGCTCTTGCGATTTGGACATGAAGTCCGCCTTGACACGCGATGCGGCTACCAACTGCGCCGTCGAGGCTGCAACTTCGTTCGATGCGACGATCATCTGCTCGAGCTTGTTGCGTCCGCTGATGACACCGTCGGCAGTCTCGATCAACATGTTCGTCGACGAAGCGACAGCCTTCGAAGCCGAGATGAGACCTTCCGTCCACCGGTTGTTGCGCTTGTAGAAAGCCGCGCGCGAACTTCCTCCTTTGCCCTTGGCCACAATCTCTTGCTGCGATATCGTAGCGGCCTTGATGAGTTGAGCGATAGCATTGGTGACGGCGATAGCGGCTTCCAGAATAGACCTATCAGAGCGATGTTAATTTCTGGACCGACAGTGGAGGAGGAGATGCTTCTTACTCATGGATCCTCAACTCGTAGGTCGAATAGCCATCCTTCGACTTATTCTGAAGCTGCGCCAGACGAGCAGCGGCAGCCTCGATAGCCGCGGCAGCCTTACCCAACTCGCTGTCAACATGCTCACCGATATCCTTCTTGACATCCGTGATCTTGCTGCCCGTGCCGACGTACTGCTCGGTGAGCTTAGTCAACTTCTGCAGGCTGGCCTGGACCTCCAAGTTGTTGGTGATGACGATGTCCGCCTTCTGATCGGCGCTCAGATCGTCGAGACGGAACGACTGCAGGTTCTGGAAGAACTTAATCCCGTAATCGGCAGATTGGCGGGCTGCCGAGATCAGCGTCTCTATTTTCCTCTCATCGGAGATGAATCGCGTTACTCCCTTCGAGTTGAAGAGAACGTCGGCAATGGCGCTGGAAAAAGTGGTAACATTCTTGATGATCAGGGACTGGTGACTGCTAGGGCCATCCGCAATGAAGTTGTTGAACGTGGTCGCGAATTCGGTGGCACTGAAGGCGGCCTTTTCTATTTGAGACAACAGATAACCGGCGGTGGCATTCTGGTTCCCGGCGTTCATGGGAGATTCAAGTTCGTAGAGGGCATCATCGATGCGCTGGACACCACTCTGAAGAACGGAATCTGTTGAAATGATCAGCGGAAGTGCAATAGCCGGCAACGAGGAGGAAACGTACCAATGATCTCGTGCAGCCTCTTCAGATGCTCGAGAAGCAGGGTATCCATGAGTTCATCGTCCATCTTGGGTTCCTGCTCATGTGTCAGTAAAAGTCTATGCACGGACCGAGAACAAACTCACTCCTGCAGCCATCTTCTGCTCGTTGACCTCCAACAAAACTTGATCCATTCCAGCCTTGTAGACCTCAAGCTCCTCCTCCTTATCCTTAAGCTGTCTCTTGAGATCCTCACTAAGATCGGAGGTGCGAGAGTTGAGATCATCGATCTGCCGCTGCTTGGATCGCAGCAACTCCTCGAGATCCGCCATCTCACGGTTGTGCCGGGAAAGCATCGCGGAGAGCTCCCTACCCTTGCTGCTGTCCTGGTTGTTGGATTTCTCCTCGGCCATTCGGAGCTCGCGCTTCAGAGTCTCGACCTCATCTTTTTGGGACCCTTTGACGCGGTCCAGATCGTAAAGAGCACGATCTCTCTCTCGGATCATATCGGCCAACTCCAAGTTCTTGCTCTTCATCTCCCGCTCCAGCTTCTCCCGCTTATCGATGGCTTCCTGGGCGGAGGACGCCTTGAGCTGCAGCTGCTTGAACTTGCCCAGGAGGTCCAGGTGCTCGTGCCGAAGTTGAGAGTAAATCTTGGCGAGAGCATCGTACTTGCTCTTCCACAAATTGGCCTGCGCTGTAAACGGAAGGTAAGGATACTATATTCAGACCGAACGAGCTCGGGGAATGGGACTAACCTGTGAGAGACTGGATGAGACTCTCCTTCGATTCATGAAGTTGCTGGCTGTTGAGATTGAGGTTAGAAATCTCATTTTCTAGGGCCTTCACTTTCTATTCGTGCGAAAAGTTGACGTCAGCAGGTGACCGAATAAGCAGAAAACAGCACACGACTCACATTATCGTACGACTCGAGTAGAAGGCGGTTGTTATTCTGTTGTCCCTGCAGGTCCAACAACTGTCTTTCGAGTTCCGCAACGTGACCCTGGGCCTGCCTCGCATACTGGTCCCTGATCAACTGCTGCTCGGCTAACCTCTGCTGCTCGGCCAGCATCCGCTGCTGTTCCTCGAAATCTTGCTGCTGCTGCATCAGCATTGCCATCTGTTGCTGCTGTTCCAATTCCCGCTGTTGACGCAGTCGCTCCTGCTCCGCATTATGGTCTTCAATAGCTTGGGCGTTCGACCAGAAGTCGTCTATTGACTCGGGCTCTGGTGCGGCGGGTGGAGGAGGGGGCGGGGGCGTAGGTGCGGGGGTCTCCTTCGGGGCGACGGGTCGCTTCGGGAGTGTCGGAGGCGCGTCTTCTTCGCTCGTCAAGTTCGGCGGATCCTGTAGGTTTCCGGGTCAGCAAAACATCACCACGCCTGGGGAAAATATGTCTTTCGGAAATACCTGAGGAAGTCGCGGTATGGTGATAAGACTTGTCAAGTACCGCACGCTTGAACACTCGTAGTAGAAGCGGACCAATCTGTGGTGCTGACCCTCGTACCGCTGCCGTAGGGGAGCCAAAGCCTCATCATCGCCAGTAGTGATGATGTGCATAGCCCTCAGCATGCTGGTGATGAATTTGTAGATACCGTAACTCTCCTGCACCAGTGGTACCAACGACGAGATGCGGCATTCATTGTTCATTCCATGGCGGAAGTGAGAAAACACGAGCTTCTGGAACGTCTCGATCTGATCCTGTAGAGTCATAAGATCCGAAATCGTCTCATAACTAAACCGTCCGTTCAGCCTGCTGTCCGGTAAAGCCCACCGGAGAAAAGACATACCCCTCGTTCGGATCGTTGGTGGATTTCAGACTGATGTATTCCTCGTACTCGAATAATCCGTTGAATTCGGGGTGATACCGATGGAACTGTAGCTTCGCGCGCAGGAAATGGATGTACTCGCGGATCAAGGGACCGTAACCTGCGACATGTCATCAAATCATTAGCAACGCGTTCCCGGACTTCAAAGGGGGTAGACTTGGGACGGAACATACCGCGAATGCCATCCCCGATAACTCCCCTTCCAAGAGTCTCGATCCATCCCGCGTGGAATTGGGCCTCCCTGATCGATACTGGATGTCCCTCCTGCAGCACCTTGTGTACCGTGATCAATGCTTTGAATGTCTGCACTTCGTCGGCCATGATGGGCTGCCTGCACACAGTTTAGCATGTGATCCATTCATACCACTTGCGCGGACGGCAGCCGAGAATTCATACACTTTCATGCCGGCCCAGAACGACTGCGACGACTTGTGGTCCCACGTGTAGACGATACATGAGCGGACATGTTTCCCTGGGAATGCGTGTTAGCAATCGGTGTCGCGGGGTACGGAGGGGGAGGCGGAGGCTCCAGGGAGTGATCGGTCGTGCGCGGGCGGAGGGAGTGGCGTCATACGTTTCGGAGCAGTCTCCTCGATGTTGGTGGCTTTCTTGATGTTGATGACCAGGTCGGATTCGGACCTAAAGGATCGCGTGAGGTCGGATTAGCCCTTGCAACTATTCAACGCGTCGAGCGGGGAGATGGCAGCGTATATAGGCGAAGGCGATGGGAGTGAGGGGTCCTACCGGCTCATGTCCACATTCCTAGTGCCGGAGTACGACATGACGAATGCTGCTTTGTTTCTTGCGATGACGACTGTGATGGCGAGGAAATCGGGGGGCAGATGAAGATGTGTTTATAAGTTCTCGGATGTCGGAGGAACGATCGCGGTAGAATGTGGTGAAATGAGATGGACGGGGCTTGTGCTCTGATTGCGATGCGCAGCCTGACAAGGTAGCTTACGGACGTAAATGTCGTAAGCTGTTCCGGCTGGTGTGGCGAAGGCATTGCGACCAGGGATAGTTGTGTGCATAGGATGCGGACGTGGAGGAGCGGAGCCTCAGATGGCGAATACGCGATCGATTCGATTAGATAATCGGCGATCAATAAGATACGGCGTTGATCACCAACGGACCGCCCACGCGCAGTTAACAGAAGATCCGAATGTCATAGTCCAGCTCCATAGAGAATTCTCGTGTTGGTAGTGAGAAATGAAGAGAACTATTTCTCAAGGTTCCGATAAACACACCATTGCCGCTAATCACGCTGCATCTCGGCCGTAACTACGGAAACACGCATCTTTTTCCGTGGCAATAGTTCGTCGAGTAGAGACGCAGCATGAAGTCATTCAAAACACGTCCAATTGCTACGAATCGCGGGGCAAGAGCTACAAACATAATCCGAATAGATAGACAATCAGAGGGGCAGCTCGACGCTTCATTCTCACCGCAGCCGTGCCCAACAACGCATCGTCTCAATTCAACGCTTCACCAACGAGCACACACGTATTTCGAACCACAGGCCCAACATGCTCAGAAAGCTCGCTATGCAGAGGAGGTACATGGCCGGCGAAGAGTCGCGTGGCACTCGCATCTTGCGCAGCGTCGTGTGGTAGCATATTGTCTGGACCTTTAACGCCGCCAAAGTTATGGTCAGTGGGTAGATACATCACGGTAGCAGTAGCAGTCCACAGCCACACCCCAACTCCGAGACTAAGTAGCTATAGGAGACAGAGGAGGCAGACGAGGGGGAATAAAGCGATGGAAAGGATGGGTGCTGCCTACACAAGCAATGAATATCCACGCCGGCAGGAGCATCTGAGAATCGTTCAAGCCGATAAGGGCGAGTGCCCAAGACGTTAGGTAGGCGTTGATGGCATTGATGGAGAAAAGTCGCACAATGGTCGCTGGAACGAAGCATTCACATCAGACACGAACAACCCCTAGAGGAACTGAGAAAGGAGAGGTGTTTGGGCTGCGGGCACGATCTGGAGTTGCAATGGCAACGCGCGATGACATCACATCCCAAGGTAATGGGCACCATCGCCGCGTTCGCACTTGTGGTGAATCCCGTCCCCACTTTATTGAAGGGCAAAAACACGAACGAACCTGTCGGGGTGTAGAATATCAACCTAGGTCGGATTAGCTGATGAAGATGGTATCATCGCCGAGAGCTTGGAGGGCGGGGTAGTTACCATCGAGCCATAAGATTGTTTATGAACATGTACGACAAAATCGCGGAGGACGCACACTTATCGCCTGGGTGTCAGCAGAGCCTACGACGCAGATGCCGAGCCACCTGGAAGCCCCGCACTCGAGATACGTACCCACACGGCCGCCAGCCACAACTCGACCTCTGCGCAGACAAAATCCTGTCCCGCCTTCGAGTTCCACGCTTCGTAGATGCATCTAGCAAGACCGAACAGACTCGGGCCTATCGACAGCCCCCGACAGACCAACAACGGAAACCGGTATCGTCTGGGGACGCCGAGGACCGACGCTACTCTCGGGTGCTGGAAGTCCCCATCGTCGTCGGCGGAGGCGGCGAAAGGAACAGTGGCGGGATGGTAGCGCAGGGGAGCCAGGTCGATCGCGGGGTGCGACACTTGCGATGTCGCGGCAAGGTGCGGGGAGCAGGGTCGGCAACTTGAATTCGGCAGATTGGCGATCGAGCAGGTGAGCGCTATGCGGGAGCGATGGTGGACGGCGCGAAGAACGAGTGCCTTAGCTGCACCGTAACTGGGCACTCGAGTTAGCGGGCGAGCAAACGAGTGAATGGGATTCCCGAGAGGCTATTACGGAGCGGGAGTAGTCGGACGGTGTAGATGGATGTCGTGTGGAGGTGGAAGACAGTGATGAGAAGCGTACCTAAGAGCTGGAGGGCATGCGGGCGGTCGACTTTAAGACTGGCTGGCTGCTCGGCGACGACGATGATGTCTTCAAGTGCAGACTCGCAACGCCTGTCAACTTGCGGCGGTCTGTGCTCGATAGTTATGGCTCGCTGGGATGTGCCGTGCCCTGAGCCCAGCTTTGGTGAGATCAGCCTGAGGATACACTAGAGTCATTTAGCGCGCCAAGTTGACTCTATTGCAGAGCCGCATTGGCCGCTCTCTGCCTCCGACCGCCTTCCGCGGCGTTCAACCAATTCCTCACTCCCTCACTCGTCGCTGCGATAGTAACGGCGGCAATACTGTCTCCGGAACGTCCTTGTTCCACATATCCTCCAACTCCTCTTTCCATCGCCCACGACGCGATCCAAAGGCACATTTCCCCGTTACTGCCTGTGGTTGCCTCGGAACCACAAGATTCCAACATCTGAAGAGCCTGTTAGAAGTTAAGTGAAGCTTATTTCAGCTCACTCTCTTGATGGCAGTGAATGACAGCTGTAGCGGCGGGCTTTTCTCGGACAATATGATGGGAAAGATCTGTTACCAGAGGGGCAGATTGGCGGGGGGAGTCGTGAGGCCGATAAACCATGGAAGTAGGAAAGGTTCATTCCTAGCCACGGAAGGAAAGCATAGGTGAGTAGGATATCTACACTTATTTCCCGGTCTCCCCCCGCTGTGGCAATCGTAGTTGAGCTGACCAAACCGAGACACGGTCAATAGGATACCTAGTGGCGATGATGTTTTCCACTCGTGTCGGATCGTCCAAACCCCTCCCCTCCGCCCACCGAAGTTCCGCCTTCCTCCCTCGTCGCGACCATCTTACCAATTTGGCTACACAATACACACGTGCTATATAAACGCCATACAGGTACTCGTCAGGTGACTTCGTGCGCGGAGAACACCGTTAGGGACGGAACTGGCGACCATGGTGGACGGCGGAAGCACATGGCATCCTGTGCGGCGTGGTGCTAGCAGCGATCGGGTGTGCCTAATTCAACGGCACATTGGATTCCGGCCGATAGTCGAACGAGGAGGGATGATGGTGGTTTATTTCGCTTTCGTGAAGAATTGAGCCCCGCCATACAGTGCCCCGAGAGACTACCCGAGGATGAAAGGGGATCATTCTCGGTCTGCAAGAATGGCTACATGAGACATCTACCAATGTTCATCCATCACTCGATATCACCGACACAAAACCCCAACAACGCTGTGTGACAATAAATTGATATTCTCCCTCATGCACTCCCGCAAGCGAAGAGCACGCTGAGCATAGTGGTCATTGGAATTGCATACTACCTACGAGTAAATACCGATATCCTATTCCTGTCCAACAGCAATGAAGATACAACAAGCAACTCTTCCAGAAGGCAAATTACAAGAATCTTTCCTTTGCGAGTCACCGCAGCCTGAGCCGAGGCAGGGAAAATTACCGTGGCCTGAATGTGTCGAACGATAGAGCAATCTGGAAGCAGGTTGGTGGGAAAACACCATGCACATCTCCCCCACGCACACCCTCCCCGCTTTCTACTCTCCTCGCATGACCATTGCAATCGGGAGAATGAAAAATGATAGTTCCGAGAAGGCGGTCGTTAGCGGCCGTCTCGATGCTGGGCGACCGAGAGTCGGCAGGTTGGTGAAACTAGACGTGAATGTGGACGATCGAGGGCTGAAAAGATGGCTTAAAGGCGGCATGCTTGGCGGTGACTTTGAGCAAGTGGGAACGCCAGTGAGAATGTCTCCTCACCCTACCTTCCCCCAACCCCCACCGCCACTATCAGAATTGTGAGTAACGCAATTGGTTGTTCTGATGCCGGCGACGACGAGCACATTGGGTACTCCACCAGTACCTTTAGGCAGCATGGAGCCCGCTGCCTCGCTGTGTTCAAATACCTCTACACGGAACCCGAAAAAAGCTGCCTAAGCAATTCCGCCCCTCAATGTATCACCTCCCGTCGACGCGAGCACAGCAACATGGTTATGAAGAAACTGACGCCGTGCACCCGACGGTGGACCATTCGAACGATCAACTTATGGATACCGAGGCGGTTGAATTGCAACCGTAAGCATCCGGTCAGGAGGGGAGGGGGAGGGGGGAAGGGGGGGGGGGTTGCGGATGCAAAAAAAAATAAAAAATCGGCGGGAATGGCGGTATGTAGGATACGAGGTGATAGCGGCCGTTCGACGAAATACTCACCCGACTCTGACGATGGCAAGCTGTGTAAGCGGGCTGCGCTATCACGAGAACCGACCTCGGGCTGGCGGATAGGATTGATCTGGTGCATCGCCGGCGTGTCGATGGTGTTTCTGCTCAATCTGTTAATCACTATCTGGGTGGTGAAGATGTTTTCGGTCCACGATGGACTGGGGACTGTCTACAAGGGCTCCTGCGCAGAAGCGAAGACGCTGTCGGTGTGGATTCATGCCCTGATCAATGCGCTGGGTACGTTGGCATTGAGCGGCAGCAACTATGCGCAGCAGTGCTTGACGAGCCCTACTCGCGAGGAGGTCGATCGAGCCCACGCGAAGGGAGAGTGGCTCGACATCGGCATGCCGAGCGTCAGGAATCTGTGGAGAGTCAAGTGGAGAAGGATGGTACTGTGGTGGTTCCTCGCAGTCACGTCGGTACCGCTGCACTTGTTGTAAGTCTCGGTCATCAATTACAGGCGTAGGTCTGCGAGTACTGACATGCATATTGCGCAGATACAATAGTGCCGTGTTCACAACGATAGCATTGAAATATTATTCGGTGGCTGTTGTTCTGGAGAATATGTTTTCGTCGGAACCCCCAACGATCAATTTCACCAATCCTAATATTTGGCCTATGCCCCTCAACACCACGGACATAGGAAACTTCGCGCTGCAGCCGTGGATAGAATTTCTCGCCCATGCTAGAAACTGGACGGTGATCTCGTCTCGAGAATGTTTCAGAGACTACGACAAAACATTTGTCTCCGGAAACAGAAATGTCGCAGTGGTATTACAGGGAAACAGTACCGAAGGGTTATTGAATGGCTTTCCCGTGATGGAGACTTTCACTGTCGAACGATGGCTCTCCGATCCAGTAAGGTTTCTTTCGACTGACTTCATGCATCCTAAAGAAAGTAACAAAAGAATGGATGTTGTTCGATCGGGTGGAGAGTGGAGGGTTCGAAATCTAGAAGGACAGGTCGTTCCGGTCAAGGAATGCCGTGCCGAAGTCGTGGACGAATCTTGCAAGCTGCAGTTCTCCACGTTGATACTCGCCATCGTTATCGTGTGTAGTGCCGTTAAAGTTGCCTGCATCACCCTGATTCTTTTCGAACGAAACTTCATCCCGCTGGTTACCATCGGCGACGCAATCCAGAGTTTCCTTTTGAAGCCGGATCCGAACACTACTGGGATATGCTACGCCGACAAGCAGTACATCGCGGCTCAGCGGAAAGCGGGAATACCGTGGAACAGCGGAGATTTGCGGCCGCAGCCGTGGAAACGCCGCTCATACCACTGGTGGAATGTCGTCAGTCTCAGGCGGTGGATTGTCAATGTGTCCTGCATGTGCATCAGTCTCGCCGCTGTGGCATATTTATTACATCGAGCTGTCACGGCGGATATAATGGCCCACCTTTTCAATACACTCAAAGATATTTGGAATCGCGGGTTTGGGCAGGCCAGTTTCGAATCCATAATCCAACTGAACAGCAACCCGAATTCCGACTGGGTCCCGAGCCTAACTGAGGCTGTTCTCCTTGCCAACTTACCTCAGACAATCCTTTCCCTCCTCTACCTAATGTACAATGCGCTTTTTACCATCATGCTGTCGGCCCTCGAATGGAACAGTTATGCCAACTCTCGAAAGCCACTGCGGGTCACCAGCCCGCGCGATGGTCAGCGAAGCACATACTACCTCCAACTGCCGTACCGCTTCGCCCTCACTCTTATGATCTTCTCGGGGATCCTCCACTGGCTCACGTCCCAGGCGCTATTCTTCGCACGAATCGATACATATCCTTTACATATACCGGGTAGGCCGTAACACGATGAAATCTACACACGCTCGGAGGTGTGCTTCAGCACTATGGCTATAATCCTAGCGCTCGCGATGGGAGCTCTAGCGGTAGTCGCAATCATCGTCATGGGTTTACGGAAATACCGCCACGACATGCCGATTCCCAGCGGCTGCTCGGCGGCCATCAGCGCGGCTTGCCATGCACCCAGCGCGAACGAGACCGTGGGGGAAGAGATCATATCGAAGCCGTTGCAGTGGGGGGATGTCAGTGTTGGCTTCGCGGATGGGGGAACGGGACATCTGGCGTTCTCGGCTGATGCAGTCGGGGAGCCGATAGTGGGGAAGGAGTACGCTGGGCTAAGGGAGAGACGGGATGCTTTGTGATGTGTACGCGCAGATGTTGGAGTGAACGAGTTGGTGGATGTAGCTACATACAGTGCATATTTATTTGGAGTGGGGCAGTGGGCGGTACGGAAGTCTATTCGAGCATCTCTTTTTTGTGGTTCATTCGTTGATTGCATGCGACCTATCTACCTGATCATTGCAATATCTACCCGTGCATCCTACCCCCCCGTTTCCACGCCACTGTCCAACCCAACTTTCATCAGGCGGCCCGATTTGGCTTTCAATGCCCTCCGCCCTGGCCTTTCCCGACAGTATGTGATCACTCCAAGCAGAGACAGAGCTGGGAAGAGGCAACGTTCGTTCCCTCGCCACGTTCGCCTCCTCCACTCGCCCCACGCCCCACGCACCCGCGCCCTCGATTCGTCCCCCCTTCGCCGCAAGTCTCTGGTCCGCTATTCTACGTCGCCTGGCTCCTCAACTTCAGCACCCTCCTCCTCCTCCTCCTCCTCCTCCTCCTCCTCGAGTCGCCTCAGCTCAGCTCTCTCTTCCCGCTCACTGCGCTCCCACTCGGATACCTCACTTGCTGTATCTTGCTCACCGGCCTCTGGCATCCGTCTGCCCACAGCAGACTCTCAGTGGTGGAGAGGAAATCTAGGATAGCCTAGCTGCATCGCTCGTCTGCGAAGAGGTCCCGGATTTTCGAAGCGGTCCTTGCCCCTCCCTGGGGCCTGTCTTCTTTCGGACCTGTGCCCACAGTGTTTTTCTGCTGGCTTCTATTCGAGCATTCGAGGTTTGCACGTAATGTACAAGCGCGATTGCATCATCAGATGGCCACTCGAAATCTGGATTCACGCGGTGGATGGATTGGATGGCGAGCTCACATGGTTTCCTTATGCCCGCTGAATGGATGGTTGACGCTGCTTAGTCTTTCTTGCTTGTGAATAGTAATGAAAGCCCTGGCGGTATCGTGTTGAAATGAATCATGAAACAAGGAGTCGTGGAATGGTGATATGACTGGGTACATATACTCTTAGCCATGGGGTCATGTCCCAGCTCTTGATTAGCAAGACTACCTTCACGAAGGTATAACCTAGGTAGATACCGATATGCATAGGCCATCTGTTCGATATTTTCGCCACTTATAGCCTTATTTTCCATCGCATCATGGAAGCGCACTCGATCAGAAACTTCCTGTGCTCTGAGGTGAGACTTTCCGAAACTCAAAGTTGCCATTCGGGACGGCCGATTAGACGATTCCCGTCGCTTCTGTTCCGCAGACAACATTCCTCTAGGCTGAACGGTCCCCGCTTTCGTTCCCCGCATACCTCCCAGTATTATTCTTCCGCTTCATCGGTTGCCCTTCTCCCTTGCACTAGTCCTAGGAAATGCTTAAGCATCTGCCTCTCCTTCTCGCATCCGCAAACCTGATATATATCCCGTTCTCCCTGTCCCTTGTCCCTTGTCTCCTCTGCTGGGGCCTTCTTGCCAACGTCTCTGTAATGGCAATGAAGTGAACTCAAGTATCGCTGGAATGCACCGCGTGTCTGTGAAGAAGTCTCAGACCTTGAGCTATTGATATCTCGTCCTACCTCCATCCCGATAAGGCCTCTTGCTGGCTCTTCCACTCCGCGCAGCACTCGAAGAGATGTTTTCATATCTGGATCTTGTCCTACCACCACCAACACTTCGCATCGGAGCTGCCGGTCGTCCACTGTGCGTATTGTCTTGCAAGGCAATGCGCTGTCTCGATCTGATATGTAGCATCTGTCGACTAGGCGTTTATTAGCGGCCTCCTCCGCGTCGTTGACGCCCAGCCACGCGCGGTGTGCGAAGACGAGGAGGAGCTAGAGAGATTAGATGGAGCAGGGGTCCGAAGATAATCTCCGCCGATGCAGAGTTTTCTCGCTTGCGCTGTCTCTTTTAGCGAGAACGTCCAAGTTGCGCCTGAATCCGAATGCCCTTGGCGTCGAAAGCTCTCATCGCACGCTGTGACATGAGCCTGATGTCTGATTAGGTTTGGGTTGTCACTTTTTCTGGCTGGTTGATTCAGAGGGCAGTCCTCCCCGCCGGCTTATCTGTAACGATGTGAACAGCCGTTCGTCCACCGCACACCCACTCGCCCCACCTTCCTCAGGTGCCAGTGCTTCCGTTGCGAATGGATCACAAGACAGTTCTCACCGCTGCAGACTCTGTGCAACTACCCCACTCGCATGTCTCGCAAACAAATGCCATCCGGTTCTGCTTCTCGCAAACAAATCCCATCCGGCGCAGCTTCTCCGTTCCAAATCCTAAGTGCATCCGCCGCACGGGACCCTTGGAAGCTGCAGAATTGTCGCTCGTCGCGTGGTCCTCTAGTGGTTCCTATATAACAGGCTTCTTCCCTGTCCCGATCGAAAGACTACCGGGTCCTGTCGGTTCCATGCGTCTTCGGGAATCTAGACGTACGAAGTAAAAGCAAAACCCGGACCCCTCGCACGCGCGTAGCGTCCCCACTCGCCGGCCGATAAGAAGAACCTTCTCTCCTCCAGCTTTCGCTGGAACCCATACGTGTTATAACCTTCGCTCGAACCTCTTCTTCCTGCAGTACCCCTCCGCTCTGCTCGAAGACCTCGACTTCGACTTCCTCATCACCCAAACGCAAAGATGGGCTCCCTTTCCGATCCGGCTGCGGGTGCGCTCGTGTATGTCACGTATGCGGTCTTCCTGTGAGTACTTCCTACCATCCTGTCACGTCCGTCCAGCGAAGCCGGGGCGCGTTGCTAACTGGCGTCTTCGCAGTGTGATGGGCTGTTACATCGCCTGGCGGTATCGCGGGCAGTCGAAATCCGAGTTCCTGCACTCCAACCGCACACAAACTGGTTTGAATCCTGCTGCTACTGCACTTTCCTTTCTGCGAAAGTAGGATTGCATTGCTGACTGGAGTCATTCGCAGCGGTCCCTTTGGCACTCAACTTCGTCGCTTCCGGTGAGTGCTATCAATATGCTACACGATAGCGGCAACACGTACGGCACACCCTACCGTATACACAGTGCACCCATGAGTCAAGTCTGTGACGAGGTTCGTATTAAACTTTTGATGCTGTCTCTCCCGAACACGGTTTTCGGGAGGGGCGGCTGTGGTTTCACTACGGGCGCTTGGGGGATGAAGCAGACTGCTCCTCGGCCATCTCGTGAGAGAAGGCCAGGCTACATCTTTGGAAACCCTCAGGCTGAGATTGTACCGTCTGCACCCGAACAAGTTAAGACTTGCGTGGGAAACGTGTTGCCGCTTTGCGCCCCTCCTCCCTTCCCCCCGTGAATCTTCCTCGTGGCTGTGAGCCGGTGTATTGACGCGAATGATAGCCATGGGTTCCTCGATCCTTTTCTCGTACCCCGAGATCGCGACTATTGCCGGTGTCCAGGGCTCCATCACTTATGCGGCTTGCTCGGCGCTGCCGTTGATGATCTTCCCCGTCCTGGCGCCCATCATCAGAAGGAAGCTGCCCGAGGGCTTCATCTTGACCATGTGGGTCCGTGAACGGTTCGGCGTGGTTGCAAGCTTGTATCTCAGCTTCTTGACGTGAGTGTTCCGAGGTGTTGGTTGATGGCGGGCCGAGGGTCGCTATTCTAGACGGCCGACCTTGGCCGCTGGTCGGGTTTGGCGATAAGATCTCCGGAAGACGGGCTGATTTGTATAGTGTCGCGACGATGTTCTTGTACATGGTTGCCGAATTGTCCGCCCTGGGACAGGTCATCGAGACATTGACTGGGCTCAAGGGACTTCCAGTGATCATTGTGGAGGTGGTTGTGACCACCATTTATACCGGTATGAATACCATTCACAATCGCATGTAGCGGGTGCTGACATCGCACGCAGCTCTGGGAGGGTTCAAGGTCTCCTTTATCACAGACAACATCCAAGGAGCCATGATCGGTCTCCTGATCATCATTTGCGCGATTGCCGTCGGCACCTCGGTGACCATCGACACCGCCTTGATCGCCCCTTCCGGCCTGCTCGAGCAGAGCAAACTCGGCTACCAGCTGATCTTCATCCTCCTGATTGGAATCGTCTTCAGCGACATGTTCCTGTCGAACTTTTGGATGCGCGCCTTCGCCTCCAAGACGGATAAGGACCTGTGGATCGGCTGCGGCCTCGCTTCGCTTGCGGTCTTCATCATCCTGCTCCTCGTCAGCTCGACCGGATTCATCGCCGCCTGGGCGGGTGTCTGGACCCCGGATGTGTACGGAGGACTGGCGTTCTTCTTACTGCTGGGGAAGTTGCCTGCGTGGGTTGTAGGCTTCGTCGTGGTCATGGTCGTAGCGCTCAGCTGTGCCGGTACGCCCCACGTTCCAATCATTCCATGCTCTTGCTGACCCCTGCAGTCTTCGACTCCCTCCAATCCGCCATGGTCTCGACGATATCCAACGATGTTTTCCGCAGCAAGCTACCCTTCATCTACATCCGTGTCCTTGTGGCACTGATCACGATCCCGGTCATCATAATCGCCGTCAAGAAGCCCAGCATCCTGCAGATCTTCCTGATCTCCAACATCGTCGCGACCGCCACCCTCCCGTCGATCCTTCTCGGGCTCAGCGAGCGATTCTACTTCCTCAACGGCTTCGACGTCATCTGCGGCGGCCTGGGCGGAATGCTTAGCGTGTTCATCTTCGGCTCGATCTATTACGGAGATGCGCACCAGGGTGCGGAGCTGATGATCCTGAAGAAGGGACTGTATGGGGATGACTGGAGCGCTTTCGGTTCGTACTCCCCTGAATGAGGCGGGAATGAGGCGGGAATTGAACTGAACTGAGCTGACATGGTGGAAATAGGTGTTTTCCTGGTCGCGCCTCTCGGATCGTTGATCTTCCTCACTTTGGCGTATGGCCTCAGGCTTTCCGCAACTTGGGTCTTCTGCAAAGCCACCGGCCGCCCGTTCCGCGCCCTCGACCGCCCGGTGGGGCCTCCGCCAGACGCGAAGATTTAGGAGGCGGTGCGTTCCTGCCGGAGACGACGATGGGGATGGCGGGGGCAGTTGCGTGAAGGAGGACTTTTGATATGAGTTGATGCGGTTGATGTGGTGGAAAAGATGTACTACTTGTCATATGGGACCTAATTTATCTGTGAATGCTTAAGAGGCGATTTTTTCCATAGCCTACTGGATGAAATTGAGAGCCATTGTTTGAGATTGCCCCGAGTGCATTGCAGTCGTCCGCTACATCCGTGGTTCTCCGCTGCAGCACGCCCGTTACGAACAGCTACAGCGACGGCTTTCATCTGTGACCTACGACTGCACCAAAATCGTCCCCAACCCTCCTTCTGCCCGTCGATTCCTATCCCCACCACTGTCCCTCTCCCTCTTCCAATCCGTCAATCTACTCGAACTTCCATCACTTCCATTACTACCGCTATATCTCTACATCACTACATCTCTACATCTCCGAACACCGACACCCGCTTCCACAAAGCCGTACTCACACCCTCCATCACACCGTGATCCGTACCCACCACCGGCCTTTGTCAAAGCACTATCGAGTTCCCTCCTCGTCCACCTCGACTCTTCCTCACCACTGTAGTTTCTGCTCCACGGCAATATATACACTCAATCTCTTCATCTGACCACTCATTCACCGCACGAGCAAGTCCCCAGTACTCTCCAGTAATCTCCAGTATCCAAGCTGCTAACTGACTCCCTGCTCTCCCCAGTCCTCCTACGGCTCGACTCTCTGCTCCACCACCGTAACCTCTGCTCCAAAGCAATATCTTCACTCCACCTCTTCATCTTACCACTCAATTACCGCTCGTAAGTCCCCAGCACTCCCCAATATTCCAGCCGTGAACTGACTGTCCTGTCCTCCGCAGTCCTCCTCCTCCACCACTACCACTACCAGCAACAGCAGCAACATCAACAGTAATGATCACCCCCTTCCGGCGCCCCTCCACCTCGGACTGGCCTCGGGAATCTGCATCCGGACCCGCACCCACATCCGCACCCGCCCCGGAAGCAGCCCCAGCCTCACCCCCAGCCTCACCCCCAGCCTCACCCCCAGCCTCACTCCCAGCCTCACCCCCGGCCGCCCCTACCACCGCCACCGCCGCCGCCGCCGCAACATCGCGGCTGCCGTACCTCCCCATCCCCCAGCGGCCCTCATCTCTCACCAGCCGCCCCAACCGTCCGATCCAGTCCCCCGGCCCGCCCCCCACCACGCCGATCTCGCCATCGCCCGTCTCGCTCGGCCCTGTGCCCGACGAGAATGATAACGCGGACGTGCCGCATCTGGATCTGGATGATATCGGCCCGTGGATTGATGATGTGCAGGATAACAGGGATAATAATGGGATGGGATTGGGGGGAACGGGAATGGGGGGAATGGGAATGGGCCGGTCTTATGGAGGCGGCAGTAGGCTCCGTGCAGTACTGCTGCTCACGCAGGGGGTCGACGTGGTGGGGAGGTGGGTTTGGGGGTGGGGTTGGAGGGTGGGTGGAACGTTGGCTGGAAGGTTTGCTGAGAGGTTTGGATGGGTGCCGGGCGGGCTGAGAGTGTTGGGCGCGAACAAGTGGGCGGGTTGGGCGTTCCCCGGAGTGAGGAGTTTGTGGGGGTGGGCAAGCAGCGAGGTCCAGGACCACCAGAAGGACTTGGAAGAGGAAAAGGCTGGACGAGTTGGTCGTAGAGGAGAGGCGGCCGCGGTTGTGGATGATGATGGCCTGGATTGAGGCGTGAGATCATGGCTTGCTTGGTCGTGAGTGAATGGGAACTGGAAGGAAAAGAAAGTGAGGTTGCAGCTTGCTTGCTTGCTCGTGGGTGAATGGGAATTGGAAGAAGAAAAAAACAGTGAGGTTGCGGCTTGTTTGCTCGTGAGGTAATGGGAATCGGAAGAAGAAAAGAAAAAACGAAAAAAAATACGCGCTTGATTTGATGGGATGTTTGTTTCCCCCTCTGGAAAAATGGTTGGGGGTCTGCCTGCTGTACTGCTATACTGGATGGATTCTGCCAAGTATCTTTTTCCTGGACGGGCTTAATGCGAAGTGGATTGAAAGCAATGTGGATCGTTTTGAGCGAAGTGGATCGTACAGTTGATGCGCGGAATTGGGGAGCGGATGTAGTTTTATGAAATTAGGTATCGCTTCTCGTCACGATGAACTCAGTTCTGTGGATCATTGAGACTCGTGAGTGCTGGTTTAACTGTTATTGCTTAGGAAATGGTAGAGGTGGACATGGCGATTTGCTTGTATTCTTAATAGCGATGCTACACGCAATTCAACATGTTGTGTAGCTCGTGGGTCTCTCCGTGTGTATATATGCATACCTCTGTTCCAAGAGGGCAGACGATTCGGTTCTGAACGACTGGGACGGTCCGCCGAATGATAGTCTTAGACTATCACTCGGCATTCGATGCTGAAGGTTTGTTGGAATTGAGAGAAGAGCTTGTCTTGATTGACGTCTTGATACGAGAAAGATGAGAAAGAACACTGCTTATAAAGGAAAAGAGCTCTTGTAGGCAACGAGGAAGCCGGGCCTCAGGCAGAGGATGCGGCGATTGCCGTCGCCGGACTGGAGTCTGGGTTGGAAGCTTGAAGGCTTAAAGAGGCTGACGGTGATGAGAAGCTATGGACAATGCTAAGCAACTACGAAGAAAATGAGCGCAGTATGCAAAAGGACAGTGGCAAGTAGCAGTGACACCGGAACAGGCAATAAGACGCATAATATCAACATTGTTGTTGAGTTATCACTCGCCGGTTTTCTTCGGGCCGATGAAGACGTAGCCGTGAAAGACGTAGCTAGCGAGGGGTTGGAACGAGCGCCGAGGAAGCAGTATGAAAGAGCGGCGGAGAGCGTCACGGGCAGGACGGGGTGTCGAAGTTGGGGAACGGGGGGATTATGGCATGTCCTGACGACTTGCCCTGGTGGGGGAGCCACCAGCCTCAGCGGACTGATCGAGGTCGAATTGGACAGTGGACGGGAACCGGTGGGCGAATACCGCCACAGTCTGTATAGGTCGCAAGTACTATAATCAACGATTAAACGAAAAAGCCACAGAAATATATGACCGAAATCTCAAGGCTCGAAATGCCTATCGATGGGTGCTGGGTGATAGGTGATGAATTGTTGTGGTCGATAACCGATCCAACGATCCCATGCACCGGTATCAACGTTGCTGGTTAGAGCACCAGTATTCCTCAATCCCGAGTATTTGCACATCCGCTCTCCGCTCTCCGATCTGTGAGCGGCGAGCGGCGAGGGAGGGAGAGCGGAAGGGAGAGCGGGAGGATAAGCGAGAAACTTCAAACAAGGGACGCAAAGCCGATGTAGCGAATCCTTCATGCCATTCCCGTGGGCTTCAAGCTTGAGTGAACAGGATTGGACTGGATGTACTGAAATTGCGGCGAACAGTGAAGCGGAAACAGAACCGGAAACGAATACGAGACCGAAATGTCTCAGCCACGATAGAGCCACGATGTGGCTTGTGAAGCGGCGGCAGGTGGTGGCTGGTGCTCGCAAGGTCGTTATTTCCTCGGTCTGACTCTGAATGAATAAACTCGGTATTGATTGTACAGACCAGATCGATCATTTTGAGTGTTATCGTGAACGGGAGTCCAGGAATCGAAGCCTGAAACAGAATGGCGAAGCAGACAGTGGTACAGCGCTGTGCCGCCACGCGCAGGTCAGTTAGATGCAGGGCAGCCACACAAACAACTCTCAGGAACTCGTCAGCTCGCCGGTTCGGTGAGGCCATTCTACCACTTCCAATAAACAACGCCAAATATCTTTCCAAGAACCAAACAAACCATCAAGGAACACAATCAATGACGCATCGCATCCTCCGATCACGGCGATCCTGTCGCTCATCTGGTCATGTTTCCTCACCGACGGTCCGGGAAGCCCCATGCAAGCCGGGCAGGTGCGGTGTCAGCCAGGACAGGAGATGGCATGATATCAGTGCAGTGCAGTCAGCGAGCCGTGCCGCCTCGTCCTCGTCCTTGTCCGCCGATCACCACCACCACCGTTCCCTTCATGGTTCCCTTGCTTTACTCCCGCCATGACGCACACATCCATCCATCCATGCATTCATCCATCCATCCATCCATCCATCCATCCGCGCACGGGTCAGGTGAGGCCACTGACTATGAAGCATCGAATCTTCAATATCAAACATATCAAACATCTTTGCGCGTGTGCATTGGAAGCAAGCTTGCTTGCACGCATGATACTTACAAACCCCCCTCCTTCTTCTCCTTCTCGTCCTCCTCCTCCTCGTCCCTTCATTCTTTCGAACAAACAAAAAAGAAAGGAAAAGAGTACAGTGCAGAGTACACAGAATACACAGAATCGGACGGAAAAAAAGACGGGGACCATTTAGTGTGTCGATAATAATGTGCAGAGAAAACATCGTTCAGGTAAGGACAGACAGGCAGCAGGCAGCAACAGCAGCAGTAGTAGTACCGGTACGACAGAAGCGAAGTTTAGATAGATGAAACGCCCCCCAGACCCCAAATCCCGCAAGACAAGAAAATGAATACGAAAGGAAAGGAAAGGAAAAGAAGGTGGGGACGACTCATTTGTCGTCCGGTTTTGGCTCGAGGCTCGACTGTGGCGGAGGAGTCAGTCGATTAGTCAGTCAGTCAGTGGTGCGGTGGAAGAGGGGGTTGACTCACTTGATTTCCATTGTAGTACCGCCTCTCGGAATCTTCGTTTTGACTTCCCAGCGTCCTGACATTGCTCTCCGCTGTGCCCACGCGTCTTCCCTCACGCCGCGGCGGTGGCGGCGGTGGCTGCTCGACCGTCCTGGAGGCGAACGGTGCCAAGCTCCATACCGCATTCACAGCCCCGGAGATCATAGCATATGCGTTCGAAAGGACACCATGAACACCGTAGCCGCTCTTCGCCATCGACGAGTTATTGTATGCCTCCGCGATAGCCGACTGTGTGGGCACGAGCACGAGCGTGGCCGACCGCTTGAACAGGTGTGACAGGGTTTCACTCTCGTCCGAGATGGTCAGTGGCCGGTTGCGCGCGGGGCCGAGGATCTCCATGAAGTTGTAAGGACGGTCGCCGTCAGAACGGTTCTGTAGATCCTCCGTCAGCGGTGGTATCGATGGGGTCGTCCGAGAGCGAATACCTTCTCTATCCATGCCCTTACGTCCACGCCCAACGTAGCCTCCGGGGGGAAACGAAATTTAACGTTCGAGCCGTCCGTGAGACGGAACGATAAAGCCACGTCGCCCTTGCCGCTATCGCCGCTGCTCCCAGTGGCGACCACCACTTCTGGGAATCGTGGCCGGAGCTGTTCCGTGATCACGACACTCTCTCGTCGCTCCTTGTCACGGAGTCGGCGCTCGGCTTTGTCGTACTCGAGCAGCTGCAAGATGCGCTGTCTCTCGGCTTGCTCGGCTACCTTCTTGAGTCGTTGCTGCTCACCGAAACTTGGGCGAACGCTGCCGCGACGGCCGGAGGACATGGCTTCGGCGGCAGCACTTGCGGCCGCAGCATCGTTGGTAGCGACGGTGTTTGTGGTGGTAGGAGGAGCTGTGGGGCTGCTCGGATAGGACGCGGGGGTTCCTCGCGGAGACTCTGGGCGGTCAATTGAGTTTGCGATGTTTGTAGGAGTCGCGTTGTAATTGACGGCAGGAGGAGGCGACTGCGGGTAAGGTAGTTGTTGCTGTTGCACGTTGGCAATAGGTTGTACGGGTGCGGGTGCGGGTGCGGGGTACAGAGAGGGGCGCCTCTCCGCAATCCTGATGAGCGCGTTCTTGATGTTATGAATGAAATGTTCTCGCGAGACTCCGGCGAGCAGTGTGACGATGGTCGTACCGTCTCTACCACACATCAGCAATTGAGTCGTCGCGAGCGAAGGCTGCTCGTGGAGGAGTGCGTGCATACTTGATTATCAACAGGTTTGGCGTTTCGGCGATACCGGAGGCCTCGGCGAGGAGTTTGGCGTCGCGAGTTCCGGCTTCGAGTCGGAGGAGGATGACCTCGGCTCGCAGGAGTTCAAAGATCTACCACCAAACGAAGCCGAGGAAGTGTCAGTAAAAGGTAAACGCTCAGCGCTTTAGCGAAGCGCAGGAAGCGAGGCGTCGTGAAGCGAGCGAGGAAGCAAGTACCTCATCGTCGACCAGGTACTCCGATTCCCAGCGAGTGCTCTCCTCGCCGCCGTCCGTGACGAGGCAGACGAGGGGGAAGCATCGACGGAGCGACGTGGCTATGGCTTCTTCTGCCGTTCCGTGAAAGAAAGCGCTTGCGTTCGGGGGGTCTGTAGTCGCCATTCGTAGGGGAGAGCTGTTGGGGTGGGGGAAGGGGACGTGCGGATTGCGAGAGGAATGTAGAATGTAAGGGGGAGGGGCGGAGGCAGCGGCTAGGTATTTGGGAGCGGGTGTAGTTTGAAGTAGCGGGAGGGCGCAAGTCGGGGGAGGAAGTCGGTGCTGACTATATCGCCATCACGGAGGGGAGCGTTGAGGGTGGGGAGTGGTGGTGGAGGTTGGTGGTTGTGGTTGGTGGTTGGTGGTTGTAGCGGTGGATGTGGAGTTCGCGGATTGGGATCGCTTTGAGTGGTGGACGATGGATGGGGATGATGGGGTTCGGATAGGCTTACAGAGTTGGCTACTGCATAAAGCCGCGGCCGCACACCTGGCTTTATAACGACAACAACTAGCAGCGAAAGGGATAGCCGACGGATAAGTCATGAAGGCGCATCGTATGGAAGAAGTTATTTACTTTTTTGCTGTTATTCGAACGACGAACGAGCATCCGCCTCTCACTGCGCAACACAGCTCGGACACGGACGGGAATCAATGAATGGGAGAGAGGCGCAATTCAGCGACGGCGATGCACGGGAACTAGCGATGGTGACAGTGGGCGAGTCGAGCACGCACGGTGAGTTAGGTATAACTACTACTTATGCAAAACCCGCGTGCATGCAGTTCGGACAACGCAGAAGAAGAATGCGCACGGTGCGAGAGAGTGGCAAAGAGCGACACGACATGGGCAGAAGAAGAAGAAGGTGAAGCAGAAGATGATGACGAAGAACACTCGTCGCAGCGGATGTCTGCGCTACTCTGCGCTGCAGAATGCCATTGCACTCAGTCGGATTGGCCGGAGCTCGAGGAAGCAAAGAAGAAGCGGTGCAAGGCGCAGACCGAGGGCGCATCTCCATCTCTGAGGACATCACGGCCCAGCCACGGAACAGAACAGGGCGCGCAAGGGACGTCGAATCTGCCGGGTATGCGACCCACTCTGGACCGGAAACACGCGACGACGGACTGGCGAACAAGGGAAACAAGCAAGTGCTCCCGCCCGCCACTGTTTCAGCGCATCGCTCCGCACCGCCCCCACCAACGGCCCCCACCCGCTGTTTACGCACAGCCTCAGCACGTCCCGCTTAAACCATCGCGATCCGGCCGCTCGATAACATCACCCACAAACAAGCCGGTCGCGTTTCAATCCGGCAGCACCGTGCGGGAACGCGCGTGTTTCCTTCCCCTGAGCACCGTTGAACCCTTCAACCCACGTGGGAGCTTGCAAACGGATCCATCGCATCGAACGCGCAACGCTTCGGGGCCACGATGGCGACGGCGATTATATTTCGCCGCGTTATCCAACGAAACCACTTCTTCCCATCGACTCCGTATGCTCTCGATCTCAACTCACTTTGTAATGCTCTTTATTCGGCCGTAGAGATACACCACCACGCTCCATTGACATAAGTACTCCTCCAAACGCCTCATCAACCCCCACCATCCGTGAATCCCCAGACAACCACCTCATCCTCGCCAGTCCTCGCCAGTCCCCGCAGGCCGCAGGACGTGGGGCAGCCCGTTAGTCGTGATCCCGTCCGTGCTCTTGGTGCAGGAATGTCGATAACCGGTCGCGCCAAACATCCATCTCCTGACGAATCTGCAAGATCGCGCTCGCGCACGGTCATGATCGATTCGTTTGTTTGTTTGTGGGGGGACCCGTCGCAGCCGCCCGGCCGGCCGACCGACTCGCTCGCTTCGCCTCGCCGGAGCCCTATCCGATATCTATCATGACTATCACCATTAGCAAACCTCCGCATGTCGCCGATCTTCACGCGATGAAGTGAGACGATTGAAACTGAACGGCCACCCACCGCTGCTGCTCTTCATTCACACGCAATTTGGATTCTCATGGATAAATTTGTGTTTCATCTCGCGTGCCTTTTGCCTTTTGCCATCGTAGGACTGTCCGTAATCGCCGTCGATAAGCCCGTAGTCAAAGGTTTAGAGAGAGTGTGGTGATGCTGCAAGTCGTGCTTCCGTGACAACCGTCAAACGCGAGCTCCGAACACGCGACAGCTGGGAGCCAAGACATCAAACCTTTACGTCATTGCAGCGAGTGCCGCTTGGTGAGGCATCGTGGCCTTCTGTGGCTTCGTGTGGCTCATGATAGCGTTCCTTGGCGGAAAGTGGCTTTCGGCGCCTAACGGTGGCGCTGTGGCTTCGTGTGGCTTTGTGGCGCATACAACAGATCATAACCGATCAATTGTCTCGCAGGTTATTTCTGCAGAGGTTGTATGAATTCCATCTCATTGTGGGAGCTGCGGCCGCTCATTCATGGCTTTTTACTGTGTAAGGGAGGAAGCCAGAGCTAACACTAGAGAATACCTAGAAATCCTAATGTCCTGGTGGCTTTCCGCTACACGTCCGGGAGGTTGCAAAGTTTATGGCAGTGCATGAGCACGCGGAGTAAAACCGTAGAAGTTCTACACAGCGGTATCCCTCGATGTCCTGACTTGGTTGTTGCTATCCTCGTAGGTACCATCTATTATCGTCTCCACCTGGTACTTTTAAAGCCCTCGGTGATACGAGAGAAAACGAGTCATCTTGCTGCTTCAGAGGTTATGAACGAGCGCCTACAAGCTATGAGAATACTGAAGCTATGCCGGAGATCTAGGTAGCCAGCAGGAATTTACCCACTGATACAGGTGGGTTCGAGTACGCTCGAATGCTTTTTATATCACTCGATGATACCCAATCTGCCTCGACCCATATTGATTTCGCTAGTTTATCTGCTGGCGCCCTAGACTTTCTATGTTCTCTTTTCGCCGCCTGAAACCGTGATAATCCCCCCAACTTCCAACTCTTACCTCTTCTTCTTCACCTCACCTACCCACGAAAGCATCACTCACACGAAACAATAAGTCCTCCGTTTCTAAACAACCACACCACACCCCCAACAAATCAACCTTACGTCTCAAACAACACCAACCAACATCAAGATGATTTCGAACCCCTCCGAGCTCGCCAATCGTGTCTGCATGTGCGGCTGCGGCGGCCCCAAGAAGTGCGCCTGCGGCGAGGGCTGCGGCTGCGGAAGCTGCCTGCCTTGCGTACGTCACCACCCACCCATAACCGACTACTACATAGGACCATGCTGACAGTGGTGACTACCCAGGGCGACAAGGGCGACAAGGGTGACATGGGCGAGACGAAGTAGGCCTCACGGCTGAAGCACACGACCTGGGGAGATGGGAGATGGGGGGTTCGCTGAAGTTTTCCTGGCTATTTGGTCTCTTTGTTTTCGGAGGGGTATAGGCATGGGGGAGCTGGTGTAACTGTGCGATCGAATTGGAATTGCGGTTTCGTTATATACTGTGTTCGCATTCGGTGACTTGCCACGTATTTTTCTGTAACGACCCCGGTGTATCGCCCGTGTCCGCGTAGACATCACCTAGTGTTCTAAATGCATAGTCCGGCCCTAAGTCCGGACCCATGGACGGGACTGGACTATCTACATACAGTCCGTCCGGAGATGTGTGGTGGACAGACTACAGACATAGTCCACCAGAAGCGCGGATGAGACGGACTGCAATCGACACTGGTAAAAGTACAGCGAAAAACGGTAATAATGCGATATTTGTGTGAGAGTACAAGAGAGATACTTCTGCGCATTTTATCAGTGGTTGCATGTAGTGGTTGAGGGAGGTAAGTGAAGTATGAATATAGTACCTGAGTGCACTGGATGAAACATGAAGATCACGCCGCCATTGCCGGTACTGAAAAAAGATAGTGGAGCGGCTGGGACTGGACGAAGCTCAATTGGTGGTGTAAGTGCTGAAAAGCTCATGCTGGACTACAGTCTAACCCCGTCCGGCAAACTGACGGACTACATGTAGCGTCTCGCTTAGGTGCAGAGGTCGTGTACGAGCACCTGGAGGTGAAGAGGATGTAGATACGATGCTGGAGACCTAACGGGAGAGGATTCACCTACAGATACAGGTTCCGCTGGGGAAATTATGTTCAAGTACACGTGAATGCTTTTCACATCACTCGTTTTCAACATGTCCGCCTCGACCCACATTGGTTTTGCTAGCGGATTTGGTGGACCCTTCTATTATCCGCTGGACGACCTAGCTTTCTATGTTCGTATTTCGCCGCTCGAATTAGTTATAAAAATACCTCTCAACTCGCAAGATCTAAACTTTCCTTCTTCACCTCACACACCAAATCATCATTAATCGAATCAACAAGTCCTCCGTTTCGATACGATCCATCCATACGATACCTCCATATCACCTCCCCAACAAATCAACCCCACGTCTCTAACACCACCAACCAACATCAAGATGATTTCAAACCCCACCGAGCTCGTCAACCGCGTCTGCATGTGCGGCTCCGGCGGCCCCAAGAAGTGCGCCTGCGGCGAGGGCTGCGGCTGTGGAGGCTACCTGCCTTGCGTACGTCACCATCCACATCTAACTGCTAAGACTATGCTGACAATGGTGACGACCCAAAGCGACGAGGGCGACGAGGGCGACAAGGGCGACAAGTGCGACAAGTGCGACATGGGTGAGACGAAGTAGGCCTCACGGCTGAAGCACACGACCTCGGGAGATGGGAGATGGGAGATGGGAGGTTCGCCGATGTTTTCCTGGCTGTTTGATCTCTTTGTTTTCGGAGGGGTTGGCAAAGTGGGGGAGCTGGCGTAACTGTGCGATCGAATTGGAATTGAAATTTCGTTGTACACTGTGTTTTCGCCTTCTGTGACTTTCTGGCTAGTATGTACTATGATACCTACTGTTTCGATCCCTGCGTATTGCCCGGGCCCGTGTGGGGACATCAATGATCATGATCCAGCGTTCTACATAGTTCGGACTCGTGGAAGGGACTGCACTACATACATCCAGTCCGTCCGGAAGTGTGAGTGAAATGGAGTACCTACCTTGTCTGCCAGTGAGGTCCAACGGAACGGACCGCATGTCGGTGAAGGAATCCTGTTTAATATCCTCGAGCATCAAGGCCGGCGAGTGATTGGCGAGTGATCGACTCAATGATCGACTCAATGAGCGACTCGTTGACCGACTCAATGATGAATGATTAACTGTGATATCATGAGGGGAGATATCATGCCACAACCTCGGAGGATGGAAATGACGGAATTTAGTTTCTTTCTTTCTCTGTATCTGTTTATATAGTACTCTCTCTGTTGCCCGTTCATTCTCATTCTCTTCTGTATCTAAGCAATAACTTCTCGATCTCTCTCGCACACTCGCTCAGATCTGCTGTGACAAAACTGCAGTCGACACTGGTACAAGTACAGCGAAAAATGGTACATAATAAGGGCGACATTTGTATAAAAGTACGGTAATAAAAGAGTGTTAGATAGAAGAAGATGTAATGGTTGATAAATGTTCTCTTGTTCTCCAGTCTTGCCGGACTGGAGGTCCTCTATACACAGAATCTGGACTCTGAAGTCCCTCCCATAGGTCTTGGTACAGCATACAGATGACGGCGCGCGCCCATACATTCTCTACCAAAATTATTGCTGTCTGCAAACATTACTGCCTTCCGCCAACATTGCTGCCTTGCGCCAATATTACTTCCGTCTGCAAACATTGCAGCCTTCCGCCAACATTGCAGCCGGCGGCCAACATTGCAGTCGGCGGCCTACATTGCAGTCGGCGGCCAACATTGCAGTCGGCGGTCAACATTTCTGTTGTCTGCCAGAATTGCTGCGACCGTCTGGGAGACATCCCGGACGCCCAACTCTTTCAACATTGCTGTGGTTGTCATCAACCGCTTCCGGACACCCAGTTGCTGCGGCCGTTATCGACCGCTTTCGGACGCCCAAACTTTAACAACTATTACTGGAGGAAGTTCAATTTCTTGGTGCGGTAAGTGCTGAAAAGAGTGGCACTTTGTTTCACCAATGCCGGGCAATGGAGAACACTGGCATCATCCTTTGGACGGACTGGATGTAGGGTCTCTCTCTGGTGCAGAGGTCGTATACGAGCGTCGGCAACTGATGATAATGTGCAAGAGATACTGGACATCTAGCAACCGGAAGTCCACCGACTGATACAGGTTTACCCGGGGAAATTGTGTTCAAGTATGTGCCTCCGAATGCTTTCGACATCACTCGATGCGACCATATCTGCCTTGACCCGCATTGGTTTCATCAGTACACTTTACTGTCCTTCTATTATCCGTCGGCGACCTAGATTTCTTTGTTCATTTTTCGCCGCTCAAAAACAGGTATAAAATACCCCCAACTCCCAACTCCCAACTTTCCTTCTTCACCTCACCGGCTAACCAAACTATCACTCACACAAAACAACAAGTCCTCGAGTTCGATACAACCGTACAACGCTCCCAACAAATTAATCCTACGTCTCTAACAACACCAACCGGCAAGATGCTCTCCGGACCCATCGAACTCGTTGACCGCGTCTGCATGTGCGGCTGCGGCGGACCCCAGAAGTGCGGCTGCGGCGATGGTTGCGGCTGCGGAGGCTGCCTTCCTTGCGTAAGCTCCCCATTACACCCAACCCCAAACCCCAATCTACCGCTAGGAGTCGGGAAAAACGTTTGTTCGCTGACCAAATGGTTTTCTTTAATAGGGCGATGAGGCCGAGACGAAGTAGGCCTAACGGCTGAAACACACCATCTCGGACAAGGGGGGAGGTTCGGGGGGTACGATAAAGTTTTCCTGGCTGCTTGAGTTCTTTGTCTTTGGAGGGGTTGGTGGCATGGGGAATCTGACGGTGTGACTGTGGGCGATCGAATTGGAATTGAAAATTTCGTTGCACGCTGTGTTTTCGCCTTGCGTGACTTTCTGGCCACTGGCCAGTATGATTCTGTGTCGACCTCGGCGCATTGCCTGGGTCCGGGTCGACAACATCCAGTTTTCTACATACCTAGTCCGGTCTAGTACGTCCGGAGGTGGGTGTTGGACGGAATCATTCCACCAGTAACTGTAAGGATGTCCGACGGGACTGAGATATCGTATGTCTTGCTGTCTGGTCTACTGTCTGGTCTCGCCGACGAGTCTGTCTCTCAATAGCAGGTATATTATCTATATAAATATAGAAGGGCCTTCAAAGTTCAGCGTGTTCATCATTGCTCTCACAAGATTAGGTCTCACACATGAAGGGGCTGTTTGTGTGATATTCTGCAATCCCACTTCTCGGATATATTATTTCAAGCGTAGAATAACAATGATGAAATTCAGATATGAGCAGGATACGCTACATCTTGCGGAAAGGCTTTCGATACACGTGCTCGATGATTTGGCTTTTCTTTCTTCAATTGAAAACGTGATGTCACGGACACGTGCCGCGCAATGTGATGCGGCTCAGCTCAGGATAGCGCCCATCCGACAGGGGAGTCTCCGGGTCGCTCACCCCGCCCCCTGCAACGATTCACCGTCCCTCCACTTCACTTCACAACAACAAAATAGAACAAGATGAAGTCTCAAAGGTACGTTCCGCCACATCCGCATTTACCATCACGCTGCGCCGGTTTCGGCCGTCCAGCCTCGAATCAACTGTCTGACCCTTCTTCGTTCGGATATTCGGTAGGCAATCCGGGCTCGTTGACTGACAGCCATCAATAGTCGTTACGAGGGAAGCGATTAAAACTTATCGCCGTCTATCTTGAATCTTTACCGATTCATCGGGCAAGTCTAGGTGCGGTTAGCTGTGGAGTTTGGTGCGTCCCATCAATGTCCGGTCTCCTGGAATGGTTTACTAACTTCCCGCCAGGTCTACCCTTCTCCGCAGCCCGCAGTCGCAGTCATCAACGACGATGAGATGGGAGCTGAGTCTACCGTTGACGCCGGATGAAGCGACCGTTGGCCGGAACCTGTTCGAGATACGTGAAGCACGGCAATTAGCAAGGTGAAGTGCTATGGCTTGTGAAGTGAGGTAACTACTGATGCTGTGAATAGGTGTACCCCCTTCATAGTCAATAGTTGTAGCCAACTACGGTAACTGGAATGCTGTCAAAGCTGTCAGATGCCGGCGCTTCTCAATCGCCGATGATTTGGGAGGGGTGAAGATCCCTATTGCGAGAGAAACGCGGAGTCATCGCTGGCGAAGTGTGGTACGTCGAAACTTCATCTTCGAATGTATCTGTTCGTGACACTTACTAACATCTGGAAAGGTCTACCCTCCTTCGTTGCCTTGGCCGCAGATACCTGCGTAGTAGTAGTATGACTGGAGAAGCGGCTTCCAAACATTGGTGATTCCGCTGGCTAGCCTGCCTGTCTCCCAGTTAGGTGACGAATCGCATAGCGATGGGCGAGAAGCTCTGGCTGGTGAAGTGTGGTAAGTATCCTTTTTTGAATGGCCGTATTGCCAAAGGTACTAACGTTTCAGAAAGGTCTATCCTCCTTCACGGCCCATAGCTGTAGCCACATACCGTGGCATGACGGGAACACTCAGCCCTCCAAAGATGCCACACTCCGTCGGCACTCCTGAACCCGAACCTGTCAGAGTCGGTGGGGAACCACGAGGATCCAGGCAAGGAGTTATGGCCGGTGAAGTGTGGTAAATATCCTCTGCTTAGATTTCCCGTTCTTGAAGAAAACTAAAACGTCGGTAAGGTCTATCCTCCTTCACGGTACATAGTAGCCGCTATCGCTTGCAAGTACGAAACTGGAGCTCGAGCTGCTAAAGGTCTCATCATGCCGCTTCTGAGCCTCAACCTACATGAAGAACCAAATGGATGGGTGCCTGAAAGTATGGCCCGCGTACTAGTATGGTAAATATCTTTTGTTTTGAAAGCCTGTTCTTGAAGCAACCACTAATATGTCGATAAGGTCTACTCACTTTCACGGTACTTTCATAGCCGCAAACGTCTGCAAGAACAAAACTGAAACTCAAGCAGCTAAAGGACTGATGATGACGTTTCTTAAATTCTTAGCCTAAAACTATTTTAAGAACCATATGGAGAAAGGCCAAGATTGCGACCCGCGAAGTGTGGTGCGTATACTATGGTTAGGTTGCCTTTTTGCAGAAATCTAGCATCATAGTAGCCGGTGTCGATCGCAAGTACAAAACAGGAGTTCGATCAGCGGAAGGTCTCTGATGATACCGCTTGTTAGCCTAAATCTACTTGAGGATTCGCATGGGGAAAGGCCACGATTGGGACCGTCGAAGTGTGGTAAACACCCCCTGCTTGGTTTCCCGTTCGTGAAGAAAACTAACATGTCGATAAGGTCTACCCTCCTTCACGGAACGTACATCGCCGCAACCGTCGGCAAGAACAAACCTGAAGCTGAAGCAGCGGAAGGCCTGATGATGACGTTTCTTAGCCTAAAACTATTTGAAGAACAATATAGAGAAAAGCCAAGATTGGGGCCGGAGAAGTGTGGTGAGTATCCTATGCTCTGGTGGCCATTTTCAAGAATTCTAACATGTCGACAAGGTCTACCCTCCTTCACGGTTCATAGCTGCAGCTTTATTATGCAGTAGCATGGTGGGGACTCTCAGCCTGCCAAAGTTATCGGACTCTGATGGCACTGCATCGAAACACAACGGATGCTCATACGGAACGAATCGAGCACGAATACGGCCTACCTAGCTATAGGAGTTTCATAGCAAGGCCGCCTGGTACCCTGCTTAAATTAATCAGATGGTTGCGTGTCAGCACACTGTAGATGATGAGACTATCCTAAGGTTAGTCGTGCGGATATGGCTTTGCTCGAATATCGTACTGACGTTTCAGGTGATAAATATACAGCTCTGATGCAAGCTTGAGATCGCCGTTGGCTGTGAGTATCCCCGGGGGCAGTGTTATACATAGACCAGTCCCGACCAAATTTGGTCATGGTCTGGTCTGGTCGGGATAGGTCAGGCTAAGAAACAACATTTGACGTCGTAAATGCTATAACGAGCGCCAGAAACTAAGGAAAACATTGCGGCTGATAGGATTAACAGTTAACCGGACGTCGGCCGACCTAGGCCGATCGAGCCTGGTAAGGTCAGGTCGGTCAGGATATATCTCGATGTACTAAAGCCCAGGTCGGGTCTGCTTAATTTTATCCCGACCGACCAAACCGGTCGGCCAACCGGTCTGGTCTATGTCGAACACTGCCAAGTGGTGAGGGTACCGGCTCCCGGTATTCAAGGTCCGCACCGTAACAAGTGTAGTAACCTTGGGGAGTACGCTCTTTTGCTACGGTTCAAACCCAACTTTTGACATTTACGTTTTGGTTTGGGCGCGTTGGTGGTGAAGTAGGTAACAGAGTGATGGTTATATTTGCGCGGGTGAGTCGAACCACAAAATTTCAAGCACGGGTAATATGAGACACCAGATGAAGTGGCTGACATTCCAGCCATGATAAAGCTGGCCGATACTCCATGACGGAAATAACTGAGGGGTTTTAGAGGAGAGAGAATGTCCAATTTGCTCGTGGAAGAACTTTGCAGACTTCTTCACTCCATCTCACTCGAGGTTTACATGATCGACGTCGTTGGTAAGCACCTGGCCCCATCGCTTCAGGATTCACCATCTATTTGCTGGCAAGAGCTGCAGCGACGCAATCCTAAAGTTCTTAGAAACAACACATGTAGGGAGACTAGCTCTCCCGGTTCAGGAAGGGTCAGTGGCCATCGAGTCCTCAGAATGCGAGCGGGCACAGAGGGAACCCGAACAGCTAGAGGAGAGGAGAGCGCAAGACGCTATCAGCCTGGACATTGAAGGGGATATGGTGGCGGAGGGGGGGCCAAGGCTTCTGCTCTACCGACGCCACCACCCATGGCCTCTCCAGGCGAGACGAAATACTGAGAGAGGAAGGGGAATTTGTTCGAGCTTTTGTTCGAAGTTTTGTTTTTTCCTTTGTATTCCGGATGCCTAGGCGGAGCACCGGAGACTTAGAAACTTACGCCGTACAGTCCGCCTACTATGATAAATGTGGTGCAGCGGTGGCAAGGCGATGGAGATTTTATTTGACGGACGTCGCTTCGTCGTTGTGTTGTTATTATCCATCGCGGGTTGGCATGCACCACTTTACGAGGTTCAAATTCATATATCCAGCACGGAAATAACCCCGCGTGGTCCAGTGGTCTAGGCTATGCAATCGGCGAGGGGAGTTGAGGGAATTTCTCCGGTTTAAACCCGGGTGAAAGCCCTGTCAACTCTTAGGGTTTTCAAGCCCCCCACCGGGGTGATAGTTTTGGTTTTTGGGTTTTGGCAAGACGGGTAGAGCATGCGATATCACTCGGCAGAAACTACCACGTGATACACAGCTTGTGCTGGTGGCGTTGTTTTTTAGTTTGACTATCATCGCATTCGAATTTGGTAGATTAAAAATCTGCTTCAACATGGCTGTTGGCACCGACCACTGACCACGAGCTCGATACTGGTTCCCTAGTATTGCTCTCCGCCCAACAAGGAAACAACCCCCGCGTAACATAGTGGTATTAGTCTACTACCTAGGCCACGTAACTGGCGAGAGGAGCTGAGGCAAAGCTCCAGGCTCAAATCGGGTTCAAGTCCTTTGAGCTCTTGGGTTTCCAAGCCACCCACCAGGGGTGGTGATGGCTTTTGTTTTCGTCAAATATAGGAGTATTAGATCTTGATTATCGTCTGTCTTCCGCAGCGGCAGTGGGTCCTCCATATACATGTGCTATCTAGATGGCCTCCAGGCTCGTCCTGTCGGCGGGTTGCTCGTAAACCCCATCACGCCCAGGGCACCAGACGCCTAAGATCCGGTCGCCAGTCGTCCGGCACCAGATATGACTCGGACAAGCTCCGGCGCCACCTCCGGCGCCAGAACTCCACGAGCGATCGGACGTCTACATCTGACAGTTTTTGGCACGGGGGTAAGAAAGGCAGCCATCACGAGCCACTGTGGACTGTTCGATGTCGGGTTGGGCAATGTACAAGGAAATGGCGTGTGCATATTGCCATGATCTAGATAAGGCCGCACGCAGTGAATGATGAAACAAAAAAAAAGCTAGTAGGCTTTGTGTTCCATTCGGTAATCAGCCGCCGATCTACCATTCTACGTTCATTTTTCGCCGCTCGAAATAGGTTAAATATTCCCTCCACCTCCGCATTCCCAACCCTTCCTTCTTCACGTCGCCTACCTTCAAACCATCATACAACAAATCAATCGAATCCAAATCAACAAGTTCTCTATTTCGATACCTTCATACCACGCACCCAACCAACGAATGATTTCTACGTCCCTAACAACAACAATACCAACAAACAAGATGATCTCTGGACCCATCGAGCTCGTTGACCGTGTCTGCATGTGCGGATGCGGCGGCCCCAAGAGGTGCTCCTGCGGCGAGGGCGGCAGCTGCGGAGGCTGCCTGCCTTGCGTAAGTCGCCACCCCCCACCCCCCACCCAGAACCAACTGCTAGGACCCTGCTGAAAATGGTGACTACCCAGGGCGACGAGGGTGACGAGGGCGACAAAGGCAATGAGGGAGTGACGAAGTAGGCCTCACGGCTGAAGCACACGATCAGGGACAACGGGGGGAGGTTCGGGGGGTGGTTCGCTGACGTTTTCCTGACCGCTTGACTTCTTTGTTTTCTGAGGGGTTTGCGGTATGGGGGAACTGGCGTAACTGTGTGCGATCCAATTGCAATTGGTTTCACGTTGTATATGTGCCGGGTAGACTGTTCGCATTCGGTGACTTGCCAATATTATGCCTACTACTTCGACCTCGGCGTATTGCCATCTGTGTGAGCATCCTCTGGACGCATGGCATGTAGAGCAGGGTCCGATTCGGTGACCTTGCCGACCTTCCAGTTCCAATCTTGAACCATGGTCAGGCCTTCAGGGAGATTAGAGAAATGAAGAGGTGTAAGTGACTGTGAGTCGGAAAAAACACACATGCGTTCGATTGAGCTGTTCTATGTGTGTTGCGGCCGCAGAAAAACCCCGATTCGATACTTTCGTGAGAAGAAGAAGAAAAAAAAGAGGAAGAGACGAGAGTCAGAGGTGGATGAGGATTGCGGGTTCTGGGTTGTGGTTGAAGGTACGGATCTGCGTTGCGGGATGTCGATTGGTTGCAAAGTGTGAAGAGTCTGCCTATCTTTCCATTAGTCTTTGTGAAGCCTACTAATATCATGCACGCTTCATAGCATCTTACCTTTCTTATTTTCCCCAACGTCTTCTATCCACAAGGTCACCGAGTACGGTCGAAAGTGAGCAAATAGTCACCTGTTGTGCATTGCGCATTTAACATTTAACATTTGCCTTTTTGCAACACGCGTTCGTGCAAGCGACCGTTTTGCGACACAGCACTGCCCTCCCCCCCGCCTACACTACAATAGAGCGCTCACCAAGAAAAAAAAGAGCGGAAACGAGCGAAAAAGTCAGCGAAAATTGGGAGAGGATAGGCGCTAGACGAGTTTGGTGGGGTGGGAGTGGGTTAGGGTTTCACATGTCGAGACACCTGCGGCACACGCGGTAAAACTGTGCCATCACACACCACAACAAAGCGTACACCGAGACAAAAAAAACATAAAAAGAATAAGAAAAAGATTGAGAAAAAGAAGAAGAAAAAGAATGGGAAAAAGAAGAAGAAAAAGAATGGGAAAAAGAATGAGAAAACAGAGTGCACAAGAGAGGCTATTGGCTCAACAAACTATGGCAGTCGCGGAGGATTACCTTACAGTCATCGTATATCACTTGGTTTCACGCCGTGGAACTGAATCAGTCATTCGTGCTCGGTGAGTGGAGTTATTTCTTCAATTACTCTATCTGTGTGGTTGAAATGCCTCTTGCAATGCTTCCCTGATGACTTCCAGTAGTCCAAGGCCAACTTTATAATGTATGTACCAATTTGTATTCCCATGTGTATATGATATGATGCTAACTCGCTCGGGTCAACAACATCATAGTGTTTCGGTACTCCCCAATATTCATCTGACCATGATGCCTACCGATTTGACTTTCCATGGAGAATACATAGGTAGAATTCGTCTTCAGCGAGGAGATCTACTACCACTCGATAGGAGTAATGTACACTTTGGAGTTGAACTGCGATATATGTACTGTAGTGACGATCAGTGCAGGATAGCCCAGCGCAGTCAACGACAACCCACAAATCATGGCGGCCCAGAGTGGAGGAGCCCTTCATCCGGGTCAGACGTAGCTAGGATGCAAGTGGAAGGATATTGAAGCTTCTGGGACCGGGTTTTTGATGTTCATCTAGTGGCGGTATGGGCGGTGATGGTGGTGGTGATGCCACTGTTTTACAGTATGCGGCCTACTATAGCTTCCACGATATCCAAACCGTAACCCATCCCCACCCCACCAAGCTCGTCTGGCGCCTATCCTCTCCCAATTTTCGCTGACTTTTTCGCTCGTTTCCGCTCTTTTTTTTCCGCTCTTGCAATTCTCTCTCTTTCGCTTCATCTTTTTCTCTCTCTTTTTCTCTTGGTGGGCGCTGTGTTGTAGTGTGTGTGTGTGGGGGGGGGGGGGGGGGGGGGGGGGGGGGGGGGGGGGGGGGGGGGGGGGGGGGGGGGGGGGGGGGGTGGGGGGGGGGGGGGGGGGGGGGGGGGGGGGGGGGGGGGGGGGGGGGGGGGGGGGGGGGGGGGGGGGGGGGGGGGGGGGGGGGGGGGGGGGGGGGGGGGGGGGGGGGGGGGGGGGGGGGGGGGGGGGGGGGGGGGGGGGGGGCAGTGCTGTGTTGCAAAACGGTCGCTTGCACGAACGCGTGTTGCAAAAAGGCAAATGTTAAATGTTAAATGCGCAATGCACAACAGGTGACTATTTGCTCACTTTCGACCGCCGTACCGAGCTTCCCCACGCCAAGAAAAATCTGAATCCAAATCTAGCAGGAGTGACGATGGACATCATTTCAAACAGCGATGCCATGCGCACTCCGCAGATGGTGCCGGACGGAGTCGCTGTTGCTGTTGAGGCAGCTGCGCTTCTCGAGACGGTGCTTGCATACCCAGTGACGTTCACGCTTGACCGCGACAGGGTCCCCATGCTGCTAGATGACAAACGTCAGCTTCCGCCGGCCTGCGGTCTGCGCACTGGGTGTCGAAAACAACTCCAACCGAAAGTTTGTTTGCTCCCGCTTGTCTGGTAATGAGTGTTGCTTGCGCAACCCGCCCTCTCCCAAAACCAAGACTCCGGAAAGTAATTTTGCCGGCTACTGGATGCTTTACCGATGGGTGACGTCAGTGTTCTACATAGATCAGACCGGTCGGTCGGGATATATCCCGACCTGACTATGGATTTGGCCAGTTGGGATATAACCCAACCGAGCAGACCTGATATTTTTCTGGTCGAGATATATCCCGGCCCGACCCGACCATGCCCAAATTTGGTCGGGACTGGTCTATGTAGAACACTGGGTGACGTCGATGACCGACCAGGAGATGGTGGTGACGGTACCCTTGACGTTCGTTATCTGGTAGCGAGTGTTGTTTGAGTAACCCGTCTCCCACGACCAACACTCGCGGAAGGGATTTTGCCGTCTCCTCGATGCGTCACAGAAGGGTGACGTCGATGCCCGACCAGGAAATGATGGTGACAGTACCCTTGACGATCTTGACAATCTTGACGACCCATGTCTCCGTGCGCTCCGTGAGCTTGGTGATGATGGCCGGGGCCTCTTCGGTGATCTTGCCGACCATCCAGTCCCACCGTCGTCAGACCTACAGGGCGATTAACAAAACGAAGAGCTGTAAGTGACTGTCAGTCGGAAAACACGTACATGCGTTCGATTGAGCTGTTCATTGTGTGTTGCGGACGAAGATAAAGCCCGATTCGATACCTTCGTGAGAAGAAGAAGAAGAAGAACAACAACAACAAGAAGAAGAAGAAGAACAACAACAAGAAGAAGAAGAAGAAGAAGAAGAAGAAGAACAAGAAGAAGAAGAGACGAGAGTCAGAGGTGGATGAGGATTGTGGGTTATGGGTTTTGGTTGATTGTTCGACGTTGCGGGGTGTGCGTTGGTTGCAAGGTGTGAAGGAAAGAAGGGAGGAGGGGAGAGGGGGTTGAAGTATAGAAGGGTTGGGGTCTGAGTAATGCTGGGTGTGATTAGGGATCTCCCGCGACGGGAGACTGAATGTAAGTGGTGTTTTGGAAAGCTGAGTATTGGCCAATTCACAACTCACTAGTTTTAAGGGCTGGTGGGTGCAAGTATCTTTTGAAAATGTGACGCGAACCTTCCCAGAAGTGCGTAGTATAGGAGCGAAACGGATGTCATACTGGTTGTTGAAGGGAGCAGCAGGCCACGGGCGAGTCGACGACTGCTCACAGAGGGGCCCAGGGTTCTCCATCATCCGATCCGAGTTATTGTGGCTGTGGTGATACCTCACTCGTTGCTTAGTTGCTTGCGTGGACATGACAATTGCAGACAGCGGAAAGAGGGTCGCCGCAAGATACTACCAGTCCAAAACAGGCCATGCCATAACAGGCCACCATTTGGGGTGGACAAAAACCCGACTGACGGCAGAGTGGTGGTGGTGCCGGTACAAGACCCAGACCCGAGAACACCTGTTCAAGAATTGCGCGCAGCCGCAGTGGCGGGAGCAACAGAAGTTCCTTTGGACGGAGGTCCGAAAGAAGACTGGCCGAGGGAAGGATGCTCGTCCTATTCGTCCTGCTATGCAAATTATCTCCTCGCCCTCCTTGTCCCTCTCGTCCTTCACGCCCGGCTGCGGAAACAGCCTCCTCGTCCTACTGCGACTCATCCTCCTGGTCCTACTCCTGCGACTCGCCCTACTCGCCCTACTTGTCTTACTCATGTTACTTGTCTTACTTGTCTTACTTGTCTTAGTCGTCTTACTCGTCCTACTCGTCCGGCTTGTCCTTGTCAAAAGTCGGACGTCCGGGGAGACCACGGGGAATTCTCAGTGGACATGGACCTCATCTCGGGCGTCTGACTCCCGGAACGGGCGGCGGATGCTTGGAGCAAACGCTCCAGGATCCACCCTACTTGTTTACAGAGATCCTGTGCTCCTTGACAAGAGCATCATCATGATAATCAATCTATTCACATCTATCTCTCTATATTTGGCAGTCCTACTCGTCCTTCTCGTCTTGCTCGTCCTTCTCGTCCAGCTCGTCCAGCTCGTCCAGCTCGTCCAGCTCGTCCAGCTCGTCCAGCTCGTCCAGCTCGTCCAGCTCGTCCAGCTCGTCCAGCTCGTCCAGCTCGTCCAGCTCGTCCAGCTCGTCCTACTCGCCCTGCCTGCCTTGTCGTCCTGCTGTGGAAAAAGTCCTCTGTACTGGATTGCTAAATTCGCTGCCATGGCCTCTCTACAAGATTCGCTGTTATGGTTCTGTACTGGGTTGCTGGATTTGCTACCAGGGACCCGGTACTGGGTTCGCTGGCGTGGACTGAGTACTGGATTCGCTGCCAGGGCCTCTGTACTGGATTGGCTGCAGAGCCTCACCACTGGATTCACCTTGGAGATGCGCCTCTAGCTGCCTTGGATGGAGTACCATCATCACAATCTTGGGAAGAAAACCCCGACGCAAAAGTACTGAAAGCAAACCAGAAGTAAGTAAGTACATAGGTGGCAGAAGTGAAAATCCCCGCGAGAAATCCTCAAACCCCCGTTGGCCGCCATAAATGTGCAAGATCTAGAGTAGCACCAGCCATCAAGAGGCCGAGCCCGAGCCAAACACCAGCAGGGTAATGTATGTCACCTACGCCACCCATTGCGCACCAGCTGGCAGCCACGCCGGGAAGACGGTTGCAGGCTGCCAACTACTCCGTGTAGAAGTTGGTTAATGTTTCGATAATGAGGATGCGGCTAACAGACAGGCTTTGCAATACTGTCCCCATATCTGGGATTACAGGACAAATGTAATTCGAATCACGCGAAAAACAGTTCAATACCAGGCCCCATTTTATTTATCATCAGTTCCTCCAAGAATACCCCGAGATCGCCAATGAACACCCCGAGCTGCTGGATTTTTCCTTATTCATCGCAGCAGAAAGCAACGCCGGCATCTCTAGCCAATGAGCTCAACAGTTCTCAGCCCGTCGCAGCGAGGACAGATGTACTCGCACCCATCAGCGGACTTCTCTCCGTGGTAAAAGAGACCCTAGGGTACCGGTAATGCGGCTTTTTCGCATTTACCCTGAATCGGCGCGCCCTAAATTGGCTGTCGATAAATAGGCAAAAAAAGGTGATTATCATCCGGCTCTAATCCGGCCATCAAGGGTTCTAATCCGGCCATATTCCGGCCATATTCCGCCTGTAATCCGGCCATATGCCGCCTCTACTACGGCCATAGTCCGCCTATAATCCGGCCATATTCCGCCTCTACTCCGGCCATAATCCGGCCATAATAGGGCTCTACTCCGGCCATCATAGGGCACAGTTGATCAACTGGCGTTGATAATATTCGGCTTTTGGGTGCTTATATGGCTGACCTAAACGATTATATGAGCGAAAACTGCTGTTTGATATTGCGGTGATTCTATGTAGCTACTGCTGCTCGCCTCGTATGTGCTCCCCTCTACTCTCCCCCGCTCTCCCCCTCTCCCCCCACTCTTTCTCGCTCTCCCCCGCTCGCCGGATTCCATCCCGTCATCTTAGCACACATCAAACTGACCGGCATGCTGAATACACAGTCTGTTAGTGCCGGCGATGACAGCGGGGAAGCGAGAGGGGGACCGAGAGGAAGACTCAGTGATAGAGGAGCTGTCAGCGAGAGGAGGAAGTGATGTAATAATCGTCAGCGAGGGGAGAATGTGATGGAGGAGTTGTGGGCGTGGGGAGGAAGTGACGAAGAAGCTGTCAGCAAGATGAAGAAGTGATGGAGGAGTTGTCAGCGAGGGGAGGGGAGGAGGAGTTGTCAGCGAGGGGTGGAGAGAAGAGGAGGAGAGGAAGAGTTGTGGCGAGATGAGGAAGTGATGGAATAGCTGTCAGCGAGAGGAGGAGTTGCGGCGGGAGAAGGAGTTGCGGCAAGAGAAGGAAGGGAAAGAGGAGCTGTTGGCGAGATGAGGAAGTGATGGAGGAGCTGTCGGCGGGAGGAAGTGAATGTGGTTAGTAGTGGGCTGCGGGCATCAACGTTGGTGGGCATGGCGGGGCGAATTTCGCGGGGCACGAATCGTGGGTCAGCCAAATAAGGAGGAAATGCTCCATTTATATATCGAAGCCTATTCATCACTCAATCCAGAAGCCGAATGAGCAGTAAGGTATCGTTTTACCAACAGATGCCCGAAGAGAGTGGTGGAGAGACATTGCATTGACTGCTAATCGCCTGTTTACGCCTCAACGCCAAATTAGGCTTCTGTCCAATCGACACATTGAGTACCGACAGCCATGTTAAGTATAAGTGCCCAATTTGGCCATCGTGAGCTTGCCGCAATTACTACTAACCGCTGATTGATTCGACTTCGCCCAATTTTACCATCGTGAGCTGGCCGCAATTACTAACAACCGCCTGTTGACTTGGCTTCGCTATCTTGAACTAGCCGCAATTACTATCAACCGCCTATCGACTCGGCTTCGCCCAAATAAAAATTGCAACTTGTCGAAACATGCCGGTCTATGAGCAGAAGCCTGAATTGCCAGTGCAAATGAGCCGCACTTTGTGGTAATAGCCAGGTTACAAGCAGACTCGCATTTGTTTAAATGCGGCTTGCCGCGTTCCTTGTACCCTAGGGAGACAGGCCCTGCGGATGCGGCTATGGCCGCGAGGCTTCAACATGAGTCCGCTACCGTAGGCCACGGACGTGTCGCAATACGGCAGGTCGTGCAAACCGGCGTCTTGACGGTGTAGTAGTGAGGTTGTAGTAGTGCGTGTAGGTTGTAGTAGGTGTTGACGAAGTTGGTAGTAGTGGTCAGTACGGTGAAGGCGTCGTGAATGTCGTAGGTCGTCGTAGATGCAAGCAGAGGTAGATGTCATGGATGCAGGTCGTGATCCTCGTAGCTACTCGTGGACGCAGCTGGGGGCAGCTGTCGTGGATGTCGTAGAGGTAGATGTTGTGGATGTAAGTCGTGATTCGTGCAGCTCCTCGTGGATGCAGTTGGAGGCAGATGTCGTGGATGTCCGGCTTGTTTAATGAGGTGAAGAAGGAAGAGTGATGAGATCGTACTTATTTGTGCGACGACGACAGTGAAGATAGAAAGACGGCGAGAGGGCAGATCCCTAATCACATCTTGAAGCCACGTAGAAATATGAAGTTAGGTTTCCAGCATGTCCAAAATCATTTCCCGCATTTAAGCGTGTCAGAATATGGGAGGTCCGGAGATGTCGATGTCCTCAGCGTACTCTAATGGGGTATCTGAGCACGGAACTCCGAAGGGATCGATGCAGAGACTTCCTAGTTATAAAGCTTGTATATAGAGTGAGCTCGCTACTAACAATATTGTTTCTGTACCGAATACTATCATCATGTTTATTCACCTTGTATTCGACAAAGCGCAACTACCAAGCGTGGGTCTGGCCTGGTATTTGGTAAATGTGCGGCACCATTGAATATCCGTTCGTCGCATATCCCTCGGAGATTTCCTCTACACAAGAAGCGACGATATAGCTTTCTGTTTGCCCGGAACAGCCCCGTTTCCCGAAGCGACACCGCCTGCCGTACTGGGAGACTGAGGCACTGAATTACTATATGCATATGTCGGGGGCTCACGCGAACGGATAATTAAAGGGAGGACACTCCTGCGCGCTGGCCGGGTGTGGAAGGGAATTGGTTGGTTGGTTGGTTCCCTCCTCCAGCGGTTTCGGTGATTTTTTTCCACAATGAAGTCCTTGCATACAGAGCTTTACTTTCCGCTTTGACAGTCGTTTGATCATTGATATGATCCGTAGCTGTTCACCGGCGTTCCTACGCAGGGGATATAATTCTTCCATCGGGCCGATAGAGCCGCGTGATCCCGCATGATGACGCCTGCGTCTCTGTGACCTCCCCTTCGTTGGATTGTTTGTCTCACGACTTCAGCTGCGAGAACTGTAGCCTGACCGATAACTGTGCGCAGCATAGAGTGGCATCAGACCCTCCAACAGTTCTAACTGGGAACAAATTGGGGTCGTTCCCAGACCAACCAACTGTTGGGGAGTAGTGAAATGAACCAACTGGCAAACGGAACGAACAGCCGGGTTTTGAACCGGGAAAACTGCTAGGCCCAACAGTTCAGTGAGGCTTATAATTTCACCTTTGGCTGGCATATTAAAGACTTCTTAAGGTGCAGGGCACTGACATGCAACCTGCACCTTTCCAGGTCCTAATCAGCAAGAGCGAACCCTTCTCAGATTGTACTGCACTGTAGTTATTAGTAATGCGGAGTACCGATTCGAACTGCAGGCCATTTACTGCCAGGCTACGGTACTGTCTTGTACCGGGCACGCAGTAGTCGACCATCGCCGAGTATTACCTGCGGCCGCCACTGGGAGCACACGTTTTGGTAGTACAACAGTGCCACACTCAGTATCACGCGGTACAGAGCAATACCGCATTTGGCCGCCGCCGGAAGGATAATTGGGCAGTACAGCTCTGTAATGGCCATTACTGACCGATACAGATCTATTCCAGCCATGTGTGCTGAAGTGGAACGGCTCTTCTCTGAGTGCAAAATGATTCTCACTGATCGTCGGTATTCGCTAGGTACGGAGAGTGTTGAAACTTTGGAGGGCATCAAAAAGTTCAATGGGCGCACTCCCATCATGGATAGGTAGCTTCAGAGAAGGAATTCAAAATTAGTATTGTTCACATCTTACGTCGCCCTTTCGGTGACCATTTAAAACTAGTACTGTACCCATCTTCTATTGCGCTTTCGGTGGCCATCCAAAAATCATATGCATATGGAACCCATTTTCTATCGCTTTTTCCGGACCAATAGGAGTCTATCTCCCAATGGCAGACTTATGCTTGTATACAGAAGGGAACCGATTTCAGTGAAGGAATCTTGTGACTTGTTTATTATCTCGGGCATCAATTGGCGGAGTTGACGAATGATCAACCGGGGATATCTCGAGGAGATATCATGGCATGATCTTGGAAGAATGGATATGACGGGAATTAGTTTTTTGTTATACACTCTCTCTGTTGCCCGCTCATTCTCATTCTGGTATCTATCTAAGCAATCACTTCTCTCTCCCTCGCTCGCTCGGATCCGCTATGACAAAAACCCACCCGGAACAAAAGAAGAAGCAAGCAACAAAACAGGTATATGTTCCTACAAATCCTCCTATCTATCTCCGGATCTTTAACAAGATCTACCATGTTCGACGCGGGGTATATTCGGTCAATGCCGACCCGAGCTGTCCTCAGCTTTGATATCCTTCATCTCCTCCTGGAATTTCTTTTCCAGGGCGACGCCCAAGCGTCCTCTCAAATTTCAGAAGCAATTCCTCCAGCTCCGCCTTCCTCTTTCCACCTCTTCCCGACCCGAGCTGTCCTCGTCATCCGTTTCCTTGCTCTCCTCCTGGAACTCGTTTTCCAGGGCGACGCCCAAGCGTCCTCTCAAATACCAGAAGTAATTCCTCCAGCTCCGCCTTCCTCTTTCCACCTCTTGCCGACCCGAGCTATCCTCGGCTTTGGTAGCCTTGATCTCCCCCTGGAATTTCTTTTCCAGGGCGACGCCGCTCGAACTTCCTCTCAAATTTCCGAAGCAACTCCTCCAGGTTTAGTCTCCTCGTCCTACCTACACGGTTGCAAATCCCCATGGCGCGTACTGCTTCATGAACTCGCCAGTTCCGGTGGCCACGGAATTCTCAGACGTTAATTAGGGGAACGGTGAGACGCCGATGGCGTTGATTGTATCCGCCGTGTGGGGATGGGGGAGGAAGGACGCGCTCTCGTCCTCCATGCCGGCGTAGTCCTCCTCACTCGCGATCGCTTTCCTTCATCTCCTCCTGAACTTCCTTTTCCAGGGCGGCGCCTGAGCGCCACTCCGTCACAGCCATGGATTGTGAACCGTCTTTGAATCGACTATGAGACTCTCGAGAGCTCACGGAAGGACTCCAGTGGTAAACAAGACAGTCAACACCCAGAGATCCTCCATAAAGAAACGTAGTTCGCTCAGTAGCCGTATTGATTTGATGTCTCCGAAGCCTTAGCCCATCACTGTGCGGGCTCCAATTCCCCATCCAATTAGCGCTTGGGTTTTTTCAGAATTGGAGCCCTCTGCGGCCGAGTTCCTGCGGTGCCTATTGAGTGGCGGGAAGAGTCGCTGGCAGCGTTGGTGGTAGGGTAAGCGGTAGCGTGGGTGACAACGTAACTGGCTGCGATACCGCAGGCGGGACAGGAAACGCTCTGTTGAGAGGAAGTTTGATGTCCGTTCCCAACTGGGGAAGTAGGGTGACTTGAATCGCATTTATGTTCGTAAGAAGTTCTACAATGGTTCCGAATAAACTTACTGCGGTGGTATCGCAGGTGGGTCCAGGAGCGCTTTGATTACCGAGAAGGGTACGATTATCTTCCTCTTCTTTCGCTGCTTCCCAAGCCAGGAAAGCAGGGGACTTTAATGGTAATCATGTCAGTAAGACTCTAAAAAGTGCTGATCATGAACGTACTGGAGGGAGATGTTTAATGGTGCTCATACCATCGCATCAGCGGGAGTAGGAACGGTGGACAGTTCTGTGGCGGATCCCTTTGAGTGTTATGAGGTGCATGCGCTGCAACCTCAGAGAGGGGGGAGCATGGGGGGAAGAGGTTGGGGTGATGGTGCGAGAATAGACGGATCGAAAGTGGAAATTATTGTGGAGGAGTGATGTGAAAACAGTAGAGAGGGGATGCTGATGTGTAGAAATCTGGGTCGACTGCCCAAAGAGGAGTTTGAACTCGACAGTTTGGTGGAGGCTGATGCGTAAAAGTCACGTTCGGCTGACCGAATGTGAACTTATACTCGAGAGTTTGACGGAGAGTGTGATAGATGATAGAGAGGGTTTGTGCGAGTAGAAAAGAACATTTAAGAAAAGTAAAACTATGAAATTCATGACAAGAATGATGGACCGGACAGACCGACCCGCCGACAATATATATACGAGAGCGGCGAAGTTTACTTCCGTGCCGCTGTACGTTGGTAAGTCCCCGTCACTGAAGACCAGAGGTCACTTACGTGATTGACGTCATTCGCCCCTCGCCTCTCTCCCTCACCCCTCGCTACCAAGCTGTGAATGACATCTCGCGTTTTTGCCAGTAGAGCCCGGGACTATGAAGCTTTCTTCGAGTTCATTCCTTCCCCTTTTGAAATTTCAGCCCAACTCCTACCGCTAGGGCCTCGTAAGGCGCCTGGCTCGCCGTTTGCCCAACCACCCTCCCCTGCGTCGGATCATCGGATCTGATGGCGAAAAGGATCGGTCCGACACTGATTACCAGGTCAGTACCCCCGCGCAGACTGCTGTCGGAAATCTCAATGTACTCACGGCAAAGCTTCAGATAATCTTCGGTGGCGATCATGGGCTCTTCCGCGAAGAGGTCGATAGTCAGCTGGAGCCGTCAAACACCTTACATCAGCAAAGCGAGACATGTAACCCGACACGAACGACGTTCAGGCCCTAATGGATGCGATGAGCCAGAAAATTCACACGCTGGTGTAGGATAACCGGGAATCCCGCGTGCCGATGCCGGAGCCAGTATTGGCCGCACAGCAGATTTCACCTCCTCTACCAACACAACCTCCGCGGCCGAAACAGAACAAACTGGGCGGAGGACCGAGTACCAATCGATAAACGTACAGAGCGATCCCTCGCCAACATCATCGTCTGAGAAATCCGAACATGCGCTCATCGAGACCAATTCTGCGCAGCCTGGCACCTTCGCCATCAACCACGGCCGTAGGCCCGTAACTCACCGCCATGAAACGGATGAGAGATGAAAGATGGTTGAAAGGGATCGTAACGCGAAAGGGCAGGGCTGAAAAACGGGGGAGTGTCTCGCCCTGGTGTTTGGGTAGCTAAAGCTCCGAGCGGGCGTAGAGGTCCATGTACCTGTCGTTATTAGCGAAAACAGGGACGCCAGGCTGCACAAGAGAACGGTGCGGCGGAAATGAGGGGAGATATGAGGGGGAGGAAGGAGCAAGCTCGTAGGCGATATCTGTCATTGCCGGTAGATCGATTATTGCTTTTGCTTCGGTATGCAGTGGCGACGCATCGGACTGTACGGCATCGAGGTTTCAACTTCGAACCTCCTCAAACCTGGCAGGGCAAGATGGTTAGTTTAATTCGCCATAGTTCAGTAGGATGTTTGGGAAATAGATTAGTATTCTCTCTCTATCGCGTATCACTCGATGAGCGGCATCGGTGGACCGTGGAGAGTCTTGAAGAATCTATTCAACAACCGTTGTTCGGACATTTCACCTTGAGAACTATCGACAGAGCTTTTAGAAGCTTTCTGCTCTGGATATTCCTGCGTAGAAAGAATACTTTTCTCCTCCGTTCAGACTTCTTGGATCTGTGTTGCCTGCTGCTTCATTACTCTTTGCAATAATAAGCCGCGGATCTGTTGGGACGATGTGATGCTGCCGTCAGCCACGCAACCATCATCCGAAGCATCTCAGATTTTAGTGTAATAAAACGATTCCATCACTGACCGCGAAGGAAATGCCTTGGGAACATCGAGTTGATAGTGGAAGCATAGAAGGCAGATACATGTATGCAATGAAAACTGTGTCGAAAACTCCCGCCCTTCCCATTACACTTCAGCAAAACCCCTAACGCGCAAACCAAAAAAATCCATGCCGAATATCACTGCTTTAAATGCCCACACGGCCGCACATGCCCAGACTTCCTCACATGCCCACACTGCCTCGCATATCCACAAAGATCAAATGGGAGGTTCGACGATGCGCAGCTGCCAAGAAAATCACATCCGCTGGATACTCCTGGGTGCCTGGAGGGGGTTAGATAATTGTATGCACCGGCTGGAGAGGTGGAAGAACATACAGAATTGACACCGCCATCCGATGTCATTGTTTATCCCAACAACAGTTCCAACCTCCCAGATGCTCGCCGGGGGTGGAGAGGTATCTCGTCCCGCAGCCTCAGTGATATTATCGAGAGCCAGATCCTGCCCCGCTTCGGTCAAGCGGAGGGATATCACGGAGTGCTAGATCCTGCCCCGCTTCGGTCGCACGCGTAGGGATATCTTCGATCGCCAGTCTCGGCTGGGCTTCGGTCGCGCCCGGCTCCGCCGAGTCCTCTTCGAGAGCAAACATTGTTGAGTTTGCGTCTTCCGCAGGGTTGACATCGGTGATGATCGGCGTTTGCATCATGGCAAAGCCGGTAAGCTTGATCCCGTACCCGCCGTCGCCGATGGCAAAGAACTCGAACGTGGCCTTTGCCCAGTCTTCGGGATACTTGTCTGTCGGAGGCTCCAATGCGTAGATATAGTCAATTGTTTCTTCGATGCCACGGCGGATCATATCATTGAAGGCACAATCATCGTTTGGGCATCTCCTCAAACTTTGTGCCGTAAGCAAAGAGTATATAGATCTGGTGGGATGCACATACCTTGCCGGATTCGAAATCGTGACGTCCCACTTAGCGTCGGGGCTCTGCACTAGCTGGATCGTGATGGAGGGTTCTTGAACAGACAAGTAGAGAGAGGTCTGCGGGCCCATCGCCATCAGGCTCTCATCCCGATCGATCATGGCGATTGAAAGCATTGCGGGTGGAGGTGGTGAAGTTTGGTAACGAAGGGGGAAGGGTTTGAAGGGCCGTGTGGGCGATGCCAACTGCTTAGAGAGGAGGGAGCGGAAAGGAGACTGCTGACTGGTTCGGATTCAAAGGACCATAGAGCTTGATGAAGTATGGGATTGTGGATCAGACTGGGAGAGCATCAGCATTGTTCTGAATGCGGAAGAGAGCTACCGCGCACCCATCGCGAATTGGTCATAGCTGCCTCGCAAGAATGCCCACCGCTCAATTCGTCAAGTGGTCTGTGGCCACATGTCCGTCTACACTTCTCTTTGAGGGAGATCACTCGATCAAACCATCATGGTTCTTGTTACTGTAACTTATGCCATTCGTAATTTGAAACCAGATCTTGGCAGACGGACGTATCAAATGATACCGTTCTATGATGCATACAAGAAGGTCATCCAGTTGCCTTTACATGGTTATCCCTGCCCCATGCGCTTTTCATGGATATTCATACCTCAGCTTTCGTTCAAAGACCGAGCTTGTAGGCTATGTAGTGACTGCTTGTGCTGGAGTCACTCAGCTGTCGGATCATCATTTTCACTTCTTGCTACGTAGGCTGGAATCGGCAGGGGTGGTTGCTGTCGTCTACCTTACTGCTCTCTTTGGCGAAGTAAGATGGGCGTTCACCTCAGGGCGGCCGATTCGCCTCTGTTTGCATAATCACCGTGAATAGGACTTCCGGGGTAGAAATGGCTAGTTCAGCGGTGAGGTTTTAAGGGAATTATAGGGCACCCGTGGGGTCACCATTGATATGCAACCCAGACTGAGCAGGTTCTCGAGACGTAGATACATTGAGTCGTCTCCACGGATGTGTTCTAGCCTGCCGGGCAAAACTAGTATTTTATCAATGGACCGGCCACCAGACCATGTGACCGGCCCCCAGACGGAGTGACTGGATATGCGAAGTGACTAGACAGTGGGGAAAAGTTTTGCAAGCCGACCGGTCTGCCCGCACATTTGTGAGAGGGCCAGTCTGCCCGCAAGTTCCCGGCGCTACTCGGTAGCTAAAACGTTCTGTGGATCCATTAGAGAATATCTTTTTCTCGCTACTATGAAAGAGCTGTTCATCTTGCCACCAAGAATAGACATATATCAGGCTTGACACATTTTATATTCGGCTTCACATCTTCACGCATCATGCCTTTACGTGTAACCGTCATCACTGCGATTGCAGAAGCTACAGATGTCTCTGCCGAACTTTCAAGCACTGATCGACAGAACCGAGAAAAGTTTACGAAACGCCGCTGTTTTACCAGCACCCACAGCAAGCCGCCGCAGTCTCCTCCCAGGTGCCCAAACAGCATTCATCCTGAAAAGGGCTCGTCCTACTGGCAACATAACGAAGGTCATCTGTTGCGTTGGTTGTAGTCAGGGGGAAGCTGGAGCCTGGAGGGGAAACAACTAAGGAAGACATTGGACGGGTGTTTAGTACGAGAAAAAGGATGCACGGTTAGGGTGCACCGCTGAGGGGACGATAATGTGTAGATTCACATGAGGTCTATGTAAAAATTTGTGCGGTGACTCGATAGAACATTATTGACTGCTGATATACTTCAATCCATCGCCGTAAATGTGATGCCCACGGATATGTACATAAATCTTGTCCGGCAGGCTGGTCTACTCGTAAAATACTCCTGGTGGACTGGCCAGGCGACCAAAATCACCCAGCAGGCCGGTCGATCGGGTTAAAAAGTATCTGCACAGACCGGTCTGTCGAGAATATTTTCTTACTCGGCAGTCCGGTCAGATCGCATATCCAGTCATTTGCCCCCCGGGCGGGTCAGTTTATAAAGAAATCATTTTGCCCGGCAGGCTAGAACATTGTATGTGAACTGCCGGTGGAGAGTTCCTTTCTAGATAGGTGAAATTTCTTTCCTAAGGGAAACATGGCGGCCACGGTATATAGTCGTATCAGTCCTCATGGCTTCGCCACGAGGTATCAAGTAGGTATCCCATCTGGACAGACCAGTCATGTTTTAGGCCCGCCTTGGACGGCCCAGATTTTAGACCCCCGGAAGATTGGAGGCGGAACACTCTATTTGGTCGGCGATGGACATCCGCAACAAGGGTCCGACTGGAATGCTCCATTTCTAGTTAGAAGCTCACTCAACGGCTCTTTCTTAGATTTTCCTACATCTTTCTTCTCCACCCTTCCAGATCTTTCTTTTCCACCGTCTCCGCAATAACCCCTCTCATATGACCCGTCCTGGCCCTATATAACTCATCGTCCTCCACCATCGCACTGCAATCATCGATTTCTCTCTGCTCCTCTCATGGACAATCTCCACCAATAAGTGTTTCTTCCGCAACCTTGCGACCATATTACAACTGCTGGCTGAACCCGAGAAGTAGTCGTCCGTCTACCGGTGTGAAATCCTCCTTTCGACCTCAGTCATCTACCTCTACTACTGACTCTGTATGCCTACGTTTCGTACTGATGACAAACAAACATCAGTGCAACTCGTTTCCAAATACACCAACATCTTCGACTTTGTCTTGTAACAGTTCCATCGAGAATCTCGGATGTTTGAATGCTGTGCCTGAAACCGAACGTCAACCTCACCAGGTACGGGCCAATGATCGTCACTAGTAACCTATTTTTCGAATTCTTCGGTCATGAATTGTACTGATCCCATGGTGGCTACAAACAGTGATACCGAGGAACCCTCTGAGGATCCGCCGGGCCCTTTCAAAAGGGCGCGAATTCAGTTCCTTCAAAGGACGGATCGCCGCGATCCTTTCTACGAGGCTACGGAGTTTTTTATAAAAGGGCCGCGAAAGCTCCCGTCTTACCGTTCTCTCTATCCTATCACTCCCTCCGAAAACATCAGGCTTCGCAATCATCCCACAACTTTACAGAAACCTAAATCCCAGCCCACCCTTCAGAACCGCCAATCCTCCTCACAAAATCATCTAAAGAGCATCTACACAGCCCATCACTAGCGATGAATCAAAACCCAGGCTTTCCGGGCTCCTACCCTGATGATCTTATCTACATACAGTTTTCCGACGGCAGCGAAACTGCGATGGTGGTCAACGGGCACTACGTCCTCGCGAACGGTAACCATCCGACCGCAATCCTCGGCGCGCACGCGGAACACGCCCGGCGCAACGCAATCCACCGCGGGAACGAGTACATACACGCCCGCGAGAATTACATTAACAACTTCATCGTTCCTGTACGTACCCTCCCCAGTTTGATCTCTAACAATCTTCTGGAAACACAAGGACGCGTAGCTAACGGTGAATAGGCTGTCAATCCGCCAGCTCCGCCCGCCTGGGCACGGGCTGCTCCGCCGCCTCCTCCGCCTCCTCGAGCTCCCTATTACCAGCCCGTACCCACCTGGGCTGCACCTCCTCAGGCTCCTCATCGCCCACTCGTTCACCCGATGGTCGTGCCGCCGGTGCCGCCGCCACCGCCCGGATACGCGAACCCCGCGGGTTATGATATGTTCTACCGCGTCGGCGAGGCACGTGGATACGGTGGTCAGTTCTACTGGGGCCCTGATCCTTAAATACCCACGACACGTTTATCCGCGGCGCCTACCTGTTCGTGCTGCTGTCGAAATTCTGTTCGACTCTGAGGGGCGGGGGTTGCTTTAGGTGATTCGGAGGTGGGAAATGAAAATGCGTTGGGGTTCGGAGACGGCTGTTTACACTGTACTTGTACTGGTCCTTTCTTTGTCGGTTTCGTTTGATTGTCTGGCCGTGTTCTGTTATGCACTTGGAATTCGGAAATGTTGGGTTGCTTTTAATTGATATTCTTTTGTCTAATTTCTGACGGATTGCGGCTGTAAATCATGCCTCGATTTTGCGCTTTAATATGGATAGTCATGAGTTCCCACAGAAAAGAACGATTAGAAATACATCAAGATAATAGTAAGGAAAGTCACGGAATGTAGTCGCGTAACTCGCACGCCTTCGCAAAACAGCTCCCTCCACTCGTGTCTAGCTACGCAATAGCACCTCCGCCGCGCCACCCCGAACCACAGCCGGTCTCCTGAAGAATGGTTCCATCTTCATGAATCTCAAATTAAAGCTGAAAGACCGGGAGGGTGTCTTCGAACGCGACAGAGATCTCAGGAGCTCATTTGAACTGAGAAGGTGATGCTTCGGTAGCTAGCCGGAGGTGACAGCGTGGATTCGCGGAGAACCTTGAATTTCCTGGAGGGTTCTTCCGTTTTCGAGCTCCGAATAGTCATCACATAGTCCCGGTGAGTCATGGGCCAGCTGACGGGCTTTCGCGACCGTCTATGTCGGGCCACCAGCAAAGTTTGCCGGGTCAAAAGGGGGTGTGGACAGGAACAAATCCCACAGAACCCAATGGAACGTGGACGGCACCGGCGGTTATGTTGGCTATCGGTTGAAAGGAATATAGCAGGTTCCAAACTTCTGGTCCATCTCTCTGTAGGCCTGGACGCGGCTGTTGTCGTGCAGGCTCAGTTGATTCAGGCCTAAGAGCATAAGGTGGTCAGCAGAGACAAGACTTTGGTTTGAGTTAGGCATACCTGTTTATGGTTGATGGCACGTAGATCCGTATTGAGTGTATCACTGGGTCGGATATGAGGTGTGGGACGTTCGGTGAAGGGGGGAGCAAGTATCGTCCGCATTTTCACATGTGGGTGGAAAGTGTAACTTAAATCATCATTAAAACCCTCACGACAAGCATAACATCTTTAAACAACATCTAGAGAGAAACTCTATCCACTCGAAAGCTCAGTCCGTGGTGCGGTTGGAGGGAACAGGTGGGCGGACAGTGTCCCTTCATGAGGCGATTCTGACAGTCAGCGGCGATACGATCGAAAGGCGGTTGTCAGTCCGGCAGAGGTACTCGACTGCAGAAACGCGTACAGATGTGGGTCGGTAATACCAGAATGCCGCCCGAATTACCGCAATCGCCGGGTATGAGCCTGGCTTTACTTCATCCACCCTACATACCAAAGCAAAATCAGTGTTGAATACACCCGTAATGCCTGATATGGGCCCAGGTGCCCGCTCCTCCAGCCACCTGCTGTTGACCCCCGCCTACACCGCGGCTTTCTTCAGTTGCCGTGTCTTATCCGACATGATGACCAGTTCTCGTTCACGCCTAGAGCGGTAGGTCTCTTGAACTAGACGTGAGTCTCTCGGACAGCTGATGTCGCCATCTGTCCACAGCTCGTCGATATCGCACCAGCCATCTCGCCGTAAAAGCTTGTCTGAAGTTTATTCGTAGGTAAGTTTAGGCTCTGGAAGTCCCAACCGTCCTGCGAAATGAAGCTATTATGGTGGTCAGCATCGGAACGATCCTTTTCTTCCACCGGTTTCGAGGCCGAAGGTGATCGGTTTCAGGCAACAAGAAGGAAGTTCACAATATTGGCTTACTGAATAGGAATAAGAAACGGGTTCATCGTCTTGATGAACCTGCAATGCGAGAGGGTCGTCGCGGGAATTGTTGTCGTAGAGCTGTGGCTCGGGTGTTCTGTTTTGTTGCGGAGTCGTTTGCCGCTTTCTCTAGTTGTCATAGCGTCCGAACCTTAACGAACATGGCTCCATGTGTGGGGGAAGCGAGCGCGCTAGCCTGATACAGTGTCCGAGGCAACGGCAGAAGTCAGCATGATGTAACCTGTATTGCTCTTCATTCTCCGCTTCTCTGCACGTCATTCACATACCGGCAAGACAGTTGTCATGTTCAAAACAGGTAGGGCCGCTCCTCAATATTCCGAACGAAGTGAACTGTGTATCTGGTGGAGACTGACATATTGAGACGAAACTATAGAGCCCACGGAGGCATATCAATTCGGCGCCGGGAGAGCATTCTTGCACGAGGTTCGACACTTCCACATACTTCCAGCGATGTAGGGCTGAGTCGAGCGGAAACTAACGTGTCCGCGTGATGGGGGTCCGACGGTAGAGTTTAGGAAGCCTGTTCTCGAACTACACGGAGCTCCTAATTGGGAGGAGATCAATGACACAGTGTCAATAAAGAACTCTATCGCAGCGGTGTGGAATCATTGACGATTGCCATGGGTGTGGCGGGTCGGAGGTCTAGCCGCAGTCTCATATCTCAGAGGTAAGCGGTCGGTGTTGAGTCTTCTTGATAATTTTTTCTCAGCACCTTTAACATTTTACCTTTGATCATACTGGTTCCGGGGAGTCGATGTTTGGCCTTACATCCAAGAGAAGACGATATTTAACAATCGTCTGTTTGCCGCCTCCCTCATCCTCCATCCTTCATCCTCCATTCTACACACCCCACCTATCTCAGAACCCCATCAATCGACCTTCACAATCTGAGTTCAACGATGGCGATTATTTGCTATTACCGGATACTCGCTATCCCACACTCCGCCGAAATACACCAGATAAAGCGAGCTCACGAGAGGGTACTTGCTGAGGAGGAAGACCAGCGGATCGCGAGCGAGGAGATGGTGAGATCAATATTACATCACCGATGCCCCGCATTCCCCTGACTGACCACCATCAGATCCAGAAAGCATACATTACGCTGTCCAATGACAGACTACGGGCTATGCACGATTACCGACACCGAAATGGCTGTAAGTACGCCATTATCGCTGTCTTCCCTTTCATTGCCATCTGACACCTCGCAGGCCGCCTTTGCCAGAACATGTCAGCAGCGCCGAAGACGGCAGAGAACCGCAATCACGCCAGCGCAGGCGATCCCATGTATTGGGCCGAATACGGGAGTCGAATAAAATCTTGCGAATCTCCCCTTCGCCGCAAAGCTCCGCCATCGCAGCACCCTGACTACTGCGACGATGATAATGGTTCCAAAGACTTATGGCCGGTGTGGTCTTGCCTACCGAAAAAGGCCATGGGTTTTCATCGGCCGGACCTCTCGGCTAGCAGGGACACAATATACCGGATCGCCAAACGTACCCGCGACCGCGCGGGAAAGTTGCCGTTCGTCCTCACGAAGAACGAAAACGACGACCGCGTCAAGGCAACCATGAAGATATTATGGTCGGCCATCGTAAACAGTGACGGCGACGATTCCGGAGTGCAGATAGTACAGCTTTCATAGGGGTTGGTACCCAAAGCGATGATGGAAATATATTGGTGGTTGAGGGTGAGCTTTTGCAACAGCTGTCATTTCTGATGTATTTCATTTTCGTGTTTCCGTCCTGTGCTAAATTAGCACCCGGATGAAAAGTGTAAAGCGATTTATTACTTTTCTTTTTAACAATTATATCCATTTTCATTCCCATGCGATTTCCAATTCTTGTGAACGTGAACATAATCCGCATGCATTCCATGGCAAAAAGCTCACTTGCGGCATGAGTAGGTTTGCCAGTTGTCCCTTCACAGGTACCATACGTCACTGTGGCGTTCCGTTGGCGCCACGGTTCGCCAGCCGCGCCGCGGTTCGCCAGCCGTGCCACGCGTGCGATACCCGCATCTGCCGCAAAATCACACACGATCACGCAGCTGATAAACCGTCACCATAGTGATGTTTTGGTAGTAGATTTGCAAGATGGTATTCGACCGAAGATGATATCTAAGATGACGTCTAGCTGGTTGGGCAGTATCATGCGCGTTTATAGGTACCAAGACAGCAGATCCTTAATCGTACAGAAGAGAGAGCAACAGTTAGAACATGAGAAATGAGCAATCCATAGGTCGGCTGCAAGAAGAAACAAACACATGAAAAAAACAGTGAAACAAACGCGTGACAAGGAAGCCAGCAAACGAGTGATATCGGTGAAGCATGCATCAGACAAACATGAGACAATCAATAACCTTTGTTGAGGATATGAGTGTGTGTTCAATTGCTTGATTCATTCACACAAAAAAGGACAGTGGATGACCAGCTAGACATACCACACAGAAGCTGAAGCAAGTATGAGAATAAACAGGATTCTTCGAGGCGCATATGACGAATATGTATGATACATGTGCAATATCCTGAACTAGTGACGAGGCTGGAATTTCAACAAGAACGAGAATCGTAACAACCTTGCTATGAAAGTTCAACCATTTGCACTTGTACCAATTTGTCGCAACCACAGTCAAGCTGGCTAGTTTCCAGGCGAACCACCCAATTTCGCTGTGCCCTCCAACTTTTACGAGCTGCGGGCGTCATGCATAATCGTACTGTCAAGTGTGCTAGCCATTCGCTGAAATCGCAGTCACGACCCACTCATTTGTAAAGTGACCCACGCCTCGCCCATCGCACACACACAGTCACTGCTCTCACAAAACCCCCTCGCTTCCTCTTTTCCTCCTCTCCACACTTCTTCCCTACAAAAACCTCCACCAAACACTTCCCTTCTCACGTCAATCCCCAACTCTCTCCCTTCTCCCCTTCCACAACGTTTTCTTACAACCTCCACGAGCAACTCTAGTTGTCACACTTTCCCCCGGAATAATACTGTGGAACGCATCATACCTTGGATGCGGGGCATGCCAAACAAAATTGGCATCATGCCCCCATCGCAACCGTCGTGACAGACCTAGTAAGCGGACTTTGATACGTGTCCTCAACCATGCGATAATTCCCAAATGTCCCTGGGCTAACGCGAATATCGAATAGGGCCGGGCAAGACATTACAGGCAATATGGTTCTGGTCCCCCGGGCTTCCAATAAGAGGCGCCCGATTCGTCGGACGCCAAAGCATTTGAGACAACATGTCCCACTTGCAAATCCGGTTACGTCACGCTGGATAGACCCGGGTAAGTGTTCTCTTAACCATGCGATAATACACAAGTATCCCACAGCTAATGTGAATACCGAATAGGGGCCGGGAACGACATTGCAGGCAATGTCTTTCTGGTTTCCCGGGCGGCCATCAATTGGCCTGGGAAAACACCGACCAGGCCACTGGGACATCCCCGACTCACAGGGTTACCAGGATGGCACTCAGCACGACGACGAATAGCTTGAGCAACAGGTTTACGATGAGTTCTTGAATTTGTTTTACAAAGGGCGGCTAGAAATTACATAATGGATACGCAATGCCCCCTGGCCCACATGACTCGTGCCGTGGTTGTTGCGCTCCGCCAGGCAATCGCCGCTGGGATGATTCAGCTTGGTGACAATGAGCTTAAAATCCGTAAGACCAGAATGCTGGTCGTCCCTGCGGTGACAATATGGAACTCCGGGGACGATGATGCTGGCACACCAGATTCCCCCCAAGACCTGAATGCTGGTCGTCCCTGCGGGGACATTATGGAACCCCGGAAGCGGCTACACGAGAAGAGATAGTATGTCGGCCACTGAAGCAGCCCACCCCGGGCCATACTTGCCCTGCGAACAAGAACCGGAGGAACTACAGTCAGGTTTTCATCCCTGCACCACAACCTCAACAAGCGTCCCAATTGGCACACGTGCCGGCGCGGCTGGCGAGTTCATATGTAAGTGCTTTCCAGTTGTTCGTTCGCTGTTTTATTCTTCCTTGCGTGCAGGCTGATGGTTAAGGCAGACTCTGCCAATGATCGGAGATCAAGTGACGCTGGTGGTAGATTTGATGAACGTACCTGGCCAAAGCCAGGTGCGAGGGGTATTACCCCTAACTCGCCGAGACAACCCATGATCGGAGATCAAGTCACTCAGTTGGCAGTCGAGATGAAGGAGAAAGGCAAGGTTGAGGAAGGGGAGAGGCTGCGGCGGTGGGTAGGGAAGGCTGAACCATGGTCGATGCGATTTGTGGACGCGTGGGGTGGACCGTTAGGACGTGATGGGACGGGGGCGGGCCTCGAGCCGAGTCAGGTGCAGAGGTGAGTGAACCCCTTGAAATTCCATGGCCACAGGTTACGTGGTGAGGTTTTTTACCTTCGGGTTTTCTTCCTAAAAAAATCGTCTCCCTGGCCGCTGCGCGAGGGGGCGACGTTTTCTGCTTTGTTCAGCCTGCTTTGCTGCTAGTCTGTTTGATGGGTGCGTATTTGAACCTATAGAGTGCTACTGGAGCTATACTGCGAGAGCTACCTACATCTACTCGAAGTGTTTACAGCGTCACGGCGTGGATATCAGGGAGAGGGAAAGAGGGGGAGGGGAGATTACTTTCTCCGCTCTCAGGGTGGGAACTGCTATTTGTTACTCACGGAACCTTCCTTCTTCTTTCTTTGCTCAAAAAAATGCAAAACCTCTGGATAGGCTAGTAGTCAACGCTAGAGCAACATGAAGATCACGAAAGTGAGACGGAGGTTGCACATACCGTCCGTGAAATACACCATGATGAAGTAATGGACGAAGACGCTCCACCAGTTCGCGCCGGTTTCTGTCAACTTCGAGAACGTGATAAGCAACATCTCGAGAGGGGAGCTTGGGCTAGAGCGTAGGTGGGTTATGCCACATACCAAGGGCCCTGGGAATGTCGATTAAGCCCTGCTTCAGTTGCGTGTATACGTAATCGATGAAGTCACGTTCGGAATCGGTCCTCGCGTTAACTAGTATCGTTATGTCAGTGATGGACGCGGCGCAATAGAAACACTGGGTAGGCTGCAACACGTACCCCTGCGGTCCAACACACGGATGTAGCTTAGGACAAGCTTGGGGAGGCGTTCGAGGACGGTAAATAGTAGGACTAGGTCTTTAGCAATCTTCCGGCGGAGCGCCTCGATCTCGGCGCGCGTTCCCTCCGCGATATACAGGTTCTGTGGGTCCATCATTGTGTGAGCTTTGGGGGTCTGAAACTGGAAGGTTGGAGAGAAAAAGATGAGCGTGAGTGATTGATGCTGTTGGAATGGGGAATTTAGAGATGCGGTCGGAATGGGGAACTGAGAAAAGCGGGGGAAAGGGGGGGTTCTTATATGATCCAATCGTGCCCTTGGATTACGGTCATGGTTCAGTTACTGCACAGGTACGAACAACCTTTTTGACACTAATGAAGTCCAAATACAGTCTACTTATCATTATCCTCGGCAATCTAACAATACGACCCGCGCGGGCGAGACTCACTGACTCTAACCACACGGAAATCTTAATGGCAGCAGATGTCACGATACATCAAGCGACTTTCCGCCATCTCGACCGCGAACCGCAATGGTACTACATAGAAAACCGAATGGTTTTGGCTATACAAGCACAATCCTCCGGCCATTCGAAGGAGTGTCTGGGCGCATGGCAAGCAGGCCTGGGCATAGTCTGTCCGGACGGAAGACTATTGGGGCCGGCGGAGCGGTCCCGTCTGGAGCGACGATTTGGCCGGACGAATCGGGCTCCGTCCCAGGTCCAAAAACCCCGGGACCCGAGTTAGACCCCGTGGGGCCCGGAAATGTTTAGTGCAGAGCCGGCTGGCTACGACATGTACGGTGCCGGCTATCCGGAATACTTTGGCCGATGAAATTTTTGCATCCGATATGATACGCGATTGAGCAGCGACCAACGGAGAGGCACATAGTGTAAGATCTGCCGGTACAGGTGTCTCCTATGCCGTCTACTTCCCATATCCGTCTGTTCCTCGCCGTGCTGCCAACTCCTTTGACACAGCGCCCACTAAGCGAAAACGGGAGAGAAAGAGTGAGATTAATACAGTAACATTCTCTAAGTACATGATAACCGCACATAAATAATCAATCTTCCACCATACATGCTGCGTCCGCTCTCTACTCCGCCGCCACGTAGCTCACTCCATCCTCAGTGAACCGCGTCACCGATCGTTCCTTCTTCTTTCTGTCTTCGAAGAAACTCAACACCTCTGGATAGTAGTAGTTAGCGCTAGAGAGCCATGAAGACCACGAAAGATAGAGGACAGAGGTTGCACATACGGTCCGTAAAATGGACCACCAAGAGGTATCGACGGAAGACGGTCCACATATTCCGGCCGGTTGCTGTGGACCTTGGGAACGGTGATTAGCAATATCTCGGGAGAGGGAGCTAGGGTAGATGGGTTATGCCACAATGCACATACCGAGGGCCCAGGGAATTTCCGTCAATGCCTGCTTGAGTTTGTTGTAGGCGCAATCGATAAAGCCACGTTCGAATGCGGTCTTCGTGGTGACTAGTATCCTGGTGTCAGAGAAGGGCTCGGCGCAATAGAACCACTACGGTGGGAAGGGTTTAACAGGTACCTGCCCGCTCCAACAGATCGATGTACCGAAGGACAAGTCCGGGAAGGCGTCCAAGGTGTTCATGCAGTAGGACTGGGTCGTTCGTAAGCTGGAGGTGGAGCCCATCGATCCTGGCTAGCGTTACCTGGGAGATATAAAGGCTCTGTGGGTCCATCATTGTCAGCGTTGGGGGGTCTCAACTCTGCCGTTTGGAGAGGAAAGGATGAGGGATATGAGTGATCGATGCGGTCGAGATGGGCAACTGAGAAGAGCGGGGGAAAGGAGGGGGGGAGTTTATATCATGCATTCGTGCCATTGGATTACGGTCATGGTTAAGTTACGGTACTGGTATGAACAAGCTTTTCGACATAGTTGAAGCCAGATAGATCTTTTTTAGCTCTGTTGAAGTTTATATGGAGTATTGGTATCATTATTCCGGAACGTTCAAAAATACCGTTCGCGCGGAGTCCACCTTAACCATATCGAAGGCATAATTAGCAGAGAATGTGACAAAGTCCCCGCAACATACCGCGAGCGCCACGATCCTACGCAGAAACTTAAATGGTTCTAACGATGCAAGCAAAGTTCTACGGCCAATGGAAGACACATTTGGAGGCGTGCAAAGGCTTGAGGTCCTGGTGACAACACATACTCAGCATCCTTCTGACTGCGTTGCTCGTGGCATGTCAACTATCACCATTCGGGGTCTCGACTTTACATCTTACCCCTTACAAACGATAAGCACAAACTATAGATTCTTCCAGATCCCCCGAAGCATTGAGTGTATGAGGAAGTCGAGTCTTCTGCGCCACCGATCTCCACAGCCACTTACGTTTCGGCATATTTCCACCGTACGAACAAGCTTTTGACAGTCTTGAAATCTAAATAGAGTGTGCATGTCATTATCGCCGGAAAATCCAAAAATATGATCCACGCGGAGCCTTCACAGAAATGTACGTCACGGGAAAGATACCAACATGCTTTTTGACACTGTAGAACTTTAAATAGAGTCTACGGCGTAGTTATCATCCCCGCAAAACGAAAATCACGATCCGCCCGGACGCAACTCTCACCACATAGAAATCGTAATCATCACTAGGCAGCTGATGTCTGGTTCCACGAAGCGTCTTTCCCGTCATCTCCACCGTAAGCCACACCACTGGGACAGCGGGACGCAGTAATGCAAAAACTCATCGCGATTCGAAACATTTCCGCAGGCCACTGGACGAATCGTCACAGATCAGGGCGACTCTTGCAGTCCCTACGATTTGAAGAATACGTAGTATATTTTTGGCGGCCTTGCATTTTGCGGGTTAAAGTTCGATCTCTCCACCTTTCGCCTTACTCCGTGCGAATAGTAAGCTCAAGCCCAACTTTGTGTCAGATCCTGCATAAACGTGAGTTTATGTCGAATTCAAGTCGTCTGCCCCGGGCCGCGACCAAAGAAGACTTTTCGTTCCGTCTCTGCATACGTAGCCGTCTCCGCATCTTCATAAGTGTCCGTCTCCGTCTCCGTCTCCAGCTGCTCCTCCGGCTCGTCATCAACCTCCCCCACCCTCTCCTTGACCGCAACCTGAAGCTGATAGGCGCCGTTATATCTCGTTCGTGGTGAGGCTCAATCACAACTGCAAGCCTGAGGCGCACGTTGCTCAAACAGGTAGGCATGTGGTTTACATCCTGCCGATGCTACTACTGAAGATCTATAGAGCGGTACCTAGATGCTAATACCATTAGTAGACGGTATTCAAGAAAGGCATATGGATAAACAATTTGTGAGAACAGCAACATCGCGAAGTCACGCCAGACTCTATCATTAATTCCTCATCTGAGGTAGTCGTAACCACATCGATCTCCTTTTTCCTGAAAGACAACAAACACAATGCATATTCGGCTGCTCAACTTCAAGCATCATGCCTTTACATATAATCACCCTTAATACGATAGCATAAACTCCAGATGCCTCTTCCGAACTTTCAAGTATTGACTCTGTACACAATTATCCATCAGCCGGCGCCGCTTTTCTAGCAACATCGACAACAAGCCGCCGCAGTCACCAGAAGGAAAAGCAACACAGCAAAGACCTTCCGGAGCGGTGGCAGTCTTCAGAGGGATGCTAGAATAGCCAGGGTCTCAGGGGAAACTGTAAATTGCCCAAAGTAGTGTCCCGTGAACTCTTTGTTGTGTTCTTGGACAGCTTCGAGCATGAGGTGGCCCCTGGTAGCGAGTTCACGATCACCGAACGTAGCTTGAAGAACCGCGATGAGATGCTCCACATCTTCCAGCATAACGAGGCCATTATCGCGGATGTACGGAAGGATCTCGTTGATGGCGCAACCTTCAAGACGACTGATCGCGTAGGCAAGCCGGTGCCTCTTTGTCGGATAACGACGAGCGTCGCTGAACAGTTTCAGACGGAGCTGAGCAATGAAGACTCGAAGATTGTGGTCGGGAGTACCGCCGTACCTAGAAACGTTGGGAAGCGTCTCACCAAGAGCTTCGCGGTCATCGGGATCTAGTGGAGGTGTAGCGAGGAGGCGCGTGATGATTTCGCGCTGGAGGGTCACCTCGCGTTCGGCGGCATCGGCTCTGGCTGTTGCTTCGGCTAGGGTGCGACCCTCGGTAGATGTCTCGGGCGTAGGGACGTAATCAGGGGCATTGGTGATGGCAGTGGCGAGGTCGTGAAGGTAGCTGAGGGTATCGGCATCGTCGGTAGATGTGACCATAATGGAAGCCTGGATGCACCGCCAGAATTCGTCGGAGAAGGTTTTGATAACCGGCATGGCTTCGCGTCGAGAGGCAGGTTGACCGTGTTGGTAGAGGCGGGTCAAAAGTGAGCAGGTGTGGGTGGTGTGGAATGCGCAGTGACTGATCCGATGGATGACGAGTTGTGGGTGATGGTGCAGCGGGGTACTCGAGGATAAGAGCAGTAAAAGCAAGCGGTCGTATGATGATGTCGGGAGTATGTAGCAGACGATGAGTAGCTTGGGGAGAGGTTCGACAGAATGTAATGTAACGGGACAGGTGCGAGGGAAAGTCGTCCGTATGTAGCCACCGAGCCAGAGCGAGGATAGCAGCGAGGCGGAAGCTGGAGCAGAAGCAGAAGCGAGGCGAGAGACAAGGAGCAGATACAGAGAGTGGGACAACGCGAAGTCCAGCATACGGCGAGACTTAAAGACGCGGATCCAAAAACGTCACCACACACAATGCCCAATTTCGACAACACCTTTTCCCTCCCCTACGCTTCTATCCACCACACAATCTGTCCACCATCCCACAACTCACCACAACCAATACCCACTTTCAACAACACATCTTCCCTCCTCCACTAGTCCATCCCCGCAACAATCCGTCCACCATCGCAGCAGACATCAACCATGTCGAAACCTACTCCCTCGCGCCTGTATCATGCAACATCACCACAAGACCAAAATCCGAGCTCCGCCTAGGTATTCACTATGTTCACTACGACACTGCTACCACCAACAACATCTCAAGGCGGGTTTCTTCACTAGAGTCTAGCAGGGACGAGCTACGAAAACTGATAAAGCCGTGCCATCCCGACGTGTCGGATTCCCTACCGGAGACGACAAGTGTTCAACCGGCGCGCCGTGGTGTCCTCCGCAAGGGAAGGCATCCGCTGGTGTGTGATGAACCCCGAAAAGCTGGAGGCGGGGAAACCACGGAGCCACCAGGTCCTCAATGCACACATTGAGCGCACCAGAGCCACGACGGCGAACTGGCTGAAGGAGGTGGAGCTTGGCGATGGGGTCGCAGCTTAGGCTTAGATGAAGGGAGGACTAGACGCCTAGAACTGGGGCGGAGATGGATTCTACCCGATGGGTAACTGCGTCTAATGACGAGGGAACGTTTGTTCCCGTTGATATCCGTAGACACGGGAGGATCGGTGGTGTCTGGTGGAACCTGGTCAGGGGCGGTAGTATAGAAACCAATGATATCCGCGTTTGTTTGTCTTTTGCATTATCTTCTTATGCTGCTTATGTGCTCATGCCAATGGGTAGTCACTCGTCATCTTGTGAACTGCGTTGCGTTGTAACTCAAATATCTAATCTTGAGCATACCACGTTCCATCACTCACTTCCCAAGCTCGTATTCCTTAGATATAGTAGGCACTTCAAAAGAAAAGCATCAACGACCACCTCCCGCTGATGATGCGCAGCGCCGGCAATCGAAGACATGAAGTATGTATCAGATTTGACGGGATCTTTTTACACGTTACTGGAGCTCTACGAAACAAAAGAACACACAACTTGGCGAAAGCCGCAACGAAAGAAAACTTTTGATTCCGTCTTCGCATACGTGTGCACATCCGCTGACGTCTCCGTCCCCGTCCCCGTCACTGGTTGCTCATCCGGCTGCGCCTCCGCCACACAACAAAGACATTCCGTAGCGGTGGTAGCATTCAGCCGGATGCTAGAAAGGCAAGGGCCCTGGAGTAAATCGAAGGGGTCGCTTGGGAGGAAGTCGAAAGTTGCCCAAATTAGTGTCCCGGGAGCTCCTTGTATCCTTGTGGGAAAGATTGGAGCTTCTGTACGAGATCAGGATCACCGAAGGCAATTTGCAGAATGATGATGACATGCTCCACATCGTCAAGCGCGACAATGCCATTGTCGCTGATGTACGGAAGGTTCTGATGGATAGCGCGACCTTCGAGACGATTGATCGCATAGGCAAGCCGGTGCCTCTTTGTCGGATAACGACGAGCGTCGCTGAGCTGTTTGAGACGCAGCTGAGTAATGAAGGGTCGCAGTTTGTCGCGCATACCGTCGAACATAGGAGCGTCCGGAAGCTTATCGCCACGGGTTCACGGATCTCGGGAGGTAGTGCGTGCGTAGTGAGGAGGTGGGTGACAATTGCGCGCTGGAGGGCCATCTCTTATTCGGCGACATCAGCTCTTGCAGTTTCTTCGGCTAGGGTGCGACCCTCGGGAGCTATCTCGGGCGTAGAGACATAATTGGGGGCATTGGTGACCACAGTGGCGAACTTATTAATGAAGTTGAGGGGAACGGTATCGTCGGGAGATTCCATCGTAGTGGTTTCCTGGATGAACTCCCAGAGTTCGTCGGAGAAGATTTTGATAACCGGCATGGCTTACCGTCCAGACGTAGGTTGACGGTGTTGGTATAAGTGGGTGAACAGTGAACAGGTGAAGGGTGTGTGGAATTCTGACGACTCTTCTGGTGATGGTGCGGCGATGTACTCGAGGGCGAGAGCTGCAGAAACAAGGAGTTTGGCGACGGGCAAAGCGGGAGTCGTGTGGCGAGGTCGGGAGAATGCAGCAGAAATCTGCGTAGCGTCCGGGCGATAGCGAGGATAGAAGCAAGGCGGAAGCTGGAGCAACAGCGGAAGCGAGGAGAAGTCCCGCAGACAGCGACACTCAAAGAGGGGGGCCCAAACTCAGGGGTGGTGGGTTGCTAACAAACAAGACGTTCTGTAAAGGAGAAAGAAAAAAACATACAGAAGCAGAAGAAGAAGTAAGTAGGAGAATTAACAGGATTCTCAAGGTGCCAACGAGCCGCATATGATTAATATGACTAATATGACGAATGTCCAATATCTTGGACGAGTGACGACCAGTGTTCTACATGGACCAGACCGGTCGGGCAACCGGTCTATCGGGATAAAATTCAGTAGACCCGACGGAGGCTTTTGTAGCTCAGGATATATCCCGACCCGACCAGACCGTACTCAAATTTTCTCAGGACTGGTCTATGTAGAACACTGAATGGGGCGGATAGAGCATTTACTTCCTGTTCACATTTAATGCAACTCGTAGAGATGTGATCCAGATTTTAGAAATTGTTCTGTCGCTAGAACCCGCACCGTCTTTGCCATTTACAGAATCAAAAATGAATGCCACACGGTTGCATCTACACCCACGCCACTATCTCACGGTGCGCTGACTGATCTGGAGAGCATTCTATGCAATTGTTGGTGACCCGTGAAACCAGTGTCGTGGTCCTCAGGATCATCGGCATGAATCAGTCTTGACGTTCCAAGATAGTCAATCTCGGGGAGGTTCTCGATCTTGTATTTCGGTGGACGGAAGAGGTTTCCGGCGCCGACAGAGAAGACGGTGCAGTGCTAAGGAATAATGAGCGGAAGCATGACCATGAACGTGGAGAGTGTCTCACCTTTCCCTTGGCCTCAATCGCTTCACGGATAGCTTTGTGTTCATCCAATGTTACCGCCTCCGCCGCCCAGATAAGATCCTCGATACCCTCTTCCTCAGCTCCATCGTAAATTGAGCAGATGCCGCGGTTGTACAATACCTCGCACGAGTGCAGCTTGTGGTCGAGGCCGAGTTGCTGGTAGTCGATCACTGGATTTCCGCGCATCTTCGCGTAGCATTCGTTTGCGTTCAAGGCAGCTTCTTCAAACTCGCCGAGCAGGAAGTTGCATACGCTCAATTGAAACCAGGCGATCGCTAGGTCTGGATCTTTCGTCACGGCGCGTATGAATGCAGTCACCTAAGAGATGGGATTGTTAGCGGGATCTTCCATGTAGAGTTGGAATCTGAACGTCGACTAACCGCTTCGCCGTGCCATCCGAACATGGAGTGGATCATGCCAATGTTGAAGTAGCCTTTCGCGGTGGGGTCGTTCTTCTCGATCGTCTTCACTGCAAGTTCGTAATCACGGGCTTCGTGGTGCTCGATTGCCAGCGCCCACTTCTCGAGCATCTGCGGGTGGACGTTAGATTGTATTGCTTGCGGAGTGTGTTTACCGATCTATCAGGCAGGATGGGAAGCACACCCCTTTGTGAGACATGGTTCTCTTCGCCTGGGCGGCGTGAGGATACTTGTTGATAGTACGTCTCGATTGAAGGTTTCTCGCAGGGTGTCGGTGTTGTGTTTCGTAGGTGTCTCTGTGAAGAAAATGACGACGTATGTCGGCTCTTGGCTCGGCGGCTCTGTGGTTTCCCAAAGCTGTCAATGTGAGATTTCGAGGCGGGTCGTATGGAGAACCTAATAGAGGCTAGCGGATCATGCCTTCGCATCCCAATCTATACACATCATCGCCAGTTTTCATCACTTGCCCATTTTCCAGTAGCTCACAGCTTTCCCACTACTATCATTTCTTTCACTTCTCAACTCACATCTCACACCTAAGTCGCACCTCACACCTCACAGTTCACACATCACACTCCCCAAATTGCTCACTACTAATCCTTAATAACCCCAATTCTTAGTAATCACCGTTCCTGCCCCGATCCCACATCCTACAACAATATCACCGCCGATGTCTCCTACAGTCCCCACCCATGCAGTCTACTCCGTTTTCCCGCAGCACGCTCTCGATGGAGTCCCTGACCACAAGATCCACGGCCGTCTTCATCCCGCCATCGTCGGCCTCCTTACCGCCGCCTGCATGCTCTCGCTTTTCGTCGCCATCTTCTTCGTCGTCCGCCGCGGAATGCGTTCAGTTAAGGAGCACGACGAGAACGCGCGCATCGACCGCGAGCGCATGGCCAGTATCAAGGCTGTTGGAGGACTCGACCGCATCTACGAGCTCGCCAACCAGGGCGACACCAGGATGCTGAACGAGTTCGTCCTCTCGAAGGCTCAGAGGGAGAATGCGGGAGTCCAGAGAACCTTTAAGGCTATCACGGTCGTCGCTGCCGACGGCAAGATGGTTACAGTCCAGCATCCGGTTCGTCGCGATTTGAAGGCCGAGGAGGAGGCCCAGAAGCTTGTGAGGAAGGCCTCAAAGAAGTCGGGAAGTCATCCTTCTTTGACCAAGGGATAAAAAGGCTGGTATGGGGATGACCTTCTCTAATGATTATGCTCGTCTGTCTCCCGTTCGAGGCTGACAGAAGCAGTCTACTACGCAGCTGAGGGGTGTAAACGGCGACAGTTCCTCCATAGCATACGAAGGAGCGCCTGTAGGCCGCCGATTCTCCAGATACGCTACCTGCGGATAGTCAATAAAATCCCTCTCGGCTTCCCAAAAGTGCCGATTGTCTGGCTGCTGTGTTCTGCTCAGCTCCCGTGTCCCACGTGTGTCAATCTGCCTTCAAACTTCTTCCTGCCCGTGATTGCTCTTGAAATCTCCACAATCGACCTTCTACACCCCTTCAATGATCTGTCGGCGTATGAGAGGGAGAGGAAACATTTACCATTCGTAGTATACTGTCTGCCTACCCAGTATATTCTGTATCTTACCATGAAGTCCCATATCACTCTCTGGTAGAATACCTCGGTCCTCTTCCCTCTACTTCGTGCTGGAAACATCGCGTTTCAGCATCATCTTCTGGCGATCGTTGCTGTCCGCCGTGGCAGAACTCGGCGCAAGTGTCTCTGTAGCTCGTAAATGTCAGCGATCTTCTCGACTTGCAGATCATTGGCGACAATGTACGTCTTCCTCGCCGCAGACCACGTCCCCGTCGATCTAATAGCAAATTACGGGCTAGTACTACGGGTCAGGATTCTTCTCGGTGCCCCAATTGAGGGCATGAGGGGCTACCGAAGCACGTCGACACGGCCACCTTGTTCATATTCATGATTTACAAACAATTCTGATCGTTAGTAGTCACGTTGGGCGTCCCGGCGGCGATTCGGTGGCAGCGGACATGCCCAACTGCCAATGGTCAGGGATGGCCGGGCCAGCGGTCGGGACAGTCACGTCACGATCATGGTTGAGTTTGTGGAAGAGCATGGGCTTTTCTACTGTCGATGATATAGTCCTTCGTTTGCTTATGCCTACGACGTGAGCGTATGTTAATTCCGCCCCTCGATCACGCAGTACAGCCAGGCCGATGTCGATTCTGCGGAACGGGGCTGTTCTGGGCAAATGGGCAGCTTTATCTTTGCTTCTTACGTAAAGGAAAATCCTGGAGGACCTGCGACGAACGGTTATTCAATGGTGCCGCATATTTACCAAATTCCAGACCCGCGCTTGGGAGTTGCTCGGAAGGGGAGGTAATGATTTTGGACATACGTTGCTTGATGATGTTCTTATTCTGTACGTGCGCGGATTGCGAATGTCGTTGCAGCCACTAGGCAATATGAGTGGTCTACGCTCAAATTCTGGTGCTCGCTTCGAGTACTGAGTCCTGGATGAAATTGGGCTTCACATATGGGACAATCACTACTCCCAGACGTAAATCTTATTTCATGCTATTTGTCCAACACAGATCTTATTGGTCCTCCACCACGGCTATTCATGCACCTGCTTCCTTCGCCTATGCCTGTTCCGCCTGCTCTCGCCATCGGTTTCCTCCGTCTCCACCAAAAATAAAACAGTGGGCGCCGCCACCGGCATCCCCCGCCCCTCCACTTAGGTATTTAGTATTAACAAACCCATTTCTCATCTGGAACTACACCACCACGCTTCATGCACCTCCTTCCTTCCTCTGTGCCCAATTCGCCCGGGCGCTGCCACCGGTCTCCTCCGCACCTTCACCAATTTGTGATTATCCAACAAATGTTTCCTTGCTGTCTCCCATCGCTGATTTTCAGGCACTGGATTCATCCATCTGCTCCTGTCTTCTACCCCCACGCCAGCGGTTTACGCTGTCGCGATCGAAGACACAACCGTGGACTCATCCACCGTTTCCGTCCGGACCTCCACCAAGCACGAATTCATGAGGCCAAATTCGCCCACCTTGGGGACGTCGTCCCCTACCTCCGCCTGTTTTCGAATCAGCTCCGCAACTAACATGGTAACTTCCCGTATCGGGAGCACCGAGAGGGACCTGTTGTCACATACCGAAGTTGCACGTCGTGCAGAGGGGTGGCAAGCCTGTTGCCGGGCAATAGGCTGGAGTACCGATTGCCTGTGGTTTTATGACGGAAAATGTCTGCGGTGACGCATACGCGCACACGGGGCTGCGCAGTGAGATCCCTCGCGGGACGGTCAAGGCATTCCACGGAGTCCTGGTAACTGCACCCACAGTGCAGCTTGCCAGCCTTGGCGTGCTTGTCTTGATGAAGTTGCGCCCACATGGCAGCGCACTTGCCGTAGACATAGTGGCCGCATATGTTGAATACGACGCCCACCGTGACGGCACCACGGCGACAGCTGCATGTCTGAGGGGCAGGTGGTTAGTAAATACCATGAGGCAAGTCAATAAAAAACGTACCGGTCGGGTCCATATTGAACTTTTTGTGGAGTTGATGACTTGGTGTCGGATTGTTAGTGGAAAAGAACAGGGATGTTGAGTGAAGAAGAAGGAAGGAGTCCGGGTCCCCCTGCTGTTTAAATAGCTGCCGCACAGCGGTAGCTTCCCACAACGCGACGCTAGCGGCGTGACTGGTAACCAGCGTCCACGCACATCGCTGAGGGTTGAGCCCTACGATTCGTTGCACGTTCGGCCTCCAATAGGCCTGTACTCTAGGTGTGGGCTGTGATGGCGTAAGAGTACGTTTGTCCCACCCGATGACTGCTTTCCACAATGACCCCGCCGCGCTTGCCTTCCCACAACAACCACACATCGAACGACTCAATATGCTCTGTAGGTTCATCGAGAAAACGACAACGCGAATGACATGGAAACAGTATGTGTAAGATACCACCATTAAGGTAATTCTTATGTATATCGCAATTGAATCAAAGTGATACCAGGAACACCCAAACAGGTGGTAAAAAAGGAAGCTATGCACAAGGATCGTTTCAGGATCTCGTAGTCTCAGACCTCTTCCTGGATGAAGCAGATTCAAGCTTAGCTTCCCAGGGCGGTCGACCATCCGGCACCGTCCCGGGCAGGCTTTGTAGACCAGCGAATGAAAATCCCACATACCCTACATGTACCTATAGATACCTGATCGCGTTTGTTTTGATTGTACTGTCTGGTTTGTTTTAATTATGCTGTTTTGTTTGTTTTGATTGTTCAGTCTGGTTTGTTTTGATCCCTTTTGCTGGTCTGCACGCTGGACCGCACACCGGCGCCGATGTGTGGCGCCACGCCATCGGCAGTGTCCTAGCCTCCCGGTACATTCTGGGCCGTATAGCGTATCCGTCCTCGATTCGACATCCCGGAAGACTACACTCCTTGTTCGCCTCAGCCTGACTGATTCCGTCCCTTCTCGGGCAAACACCAAGACGAACTAGACGGACGGTTGACCGCCCTGCATCTTTCTCGCCACCGCCGATGTAGAAAGAAGGATCTCGAACGTCACCGCGAAAAGAAATTGTCGACATGCGCTCGTCAGTGGAAGGCATTCGCCTGTTGGTTTATCACTCGACTATGGGCCTCTTTTGTTGTTGACGTTTTGGTAGTGGATATGCGTGATGATATTAAGATGTCTGAGATGAAGTCTAGCTAAGTGGACAGGATAAGACCGTTTTATGCTCAATCGTACAGAACGTAGAGCGAACACTCGTCAGAACATGAGAGATATGAGCAAGCCACAAGTCGGCAGACGTAGGAGAAACAAACACATGACAAACAGGGAAACAAACGCGTGACAAGGAAACGAAGTGATATCCGTAAAGGATGAATCAGGCAAACATCTCACAATCAAAATTTGTGCACATAAAGGATGTGAATTATCGACCCGATTTTGTAAAAGGGGTGGCGCCAGTCTCCCCGCCTAATAGGCTCGAGAGCGACTTCGTAGCTGCGGAGGTCCCGGGAATGTGGTTCGTACGATTTGCTGTTCCACGGAGCAAGGGTAATTAGTTGCAGCGGCTGTATTACAGGAATATCGGGCAGTGAAGAACTGGCAACGGCCTCACCATATCTTTGCAACGATAGAAGTAGCACCTTTGGGGGGAGAGAGGCTAGATGGCGAAAAGAATGGGAATTTCACATATCGCGACATCGCCAATGGCGCCACCGCTGCGACTGTAATCGCGAAGCTGAGCGATTCCCAGCGCAGAATGACTGATCCGTTGGGTGTCATCCGCCGATTGTAACTTTGGAGGTAGACTGCGGGGAAAGACGGCTAACAACAGTGGCATTTTCCAATACTACAATATTAAATGTGACGACTAGATATGCGGAGAAGGCAAGCAAAAAGGTAGTACGTTTTGTATGAGGTAGAAAACGGGCGACGTAAAAGACGGACGGATAAAAAAAAAACAGAGAAAAGAACCAAAGGATGTCCGGTGTTTCATTACAGAAGAGAAGAGCCTCAATGAGAGTGTACTGGCTGGTAGAGTGGGATATGTGTCCGGGCTTCGTCTGAGAGAGATTTGCGTGGTAGGAGAAAGACAATAATGATGAAGAAGATTGGGAATCGGGGTGCGGGTTGTTGAAGGCGGGGAGGTAAGTCGAGTGAATGGTTCTATGAAGTTGAGTGACTACCCGGTGGAGCAAACATCACACCATGCACTCACAGCTCAAACTGTAGGGTGTTGAATATTTGAGGTAGATAAACATGACAATAGTAATCAATACAACAGCAACATCGTGAGCAGCTCTCTCTCTCTATATATACGAGCTTCATAGACTAGACAACCTCTGCATCAATCCCATCGGGAGGTTGGTCTTCCATGCTCGGATTCCACACTAGAGTACGCTAGCGACATCGTCATCTCCGGACGTCCCGTATTCTGACATAGGGCTTCACCCGAAGAACTGTGGAGACGCTAGCGTTTTTACTATCGCGCTACTATCAAGCCCCAATTTTGTTTTTTTGCTTTGGAATTTCTTCCATCGTTTGACTGCCTTCCTGCTACCTATGTCTTTATGAATCCGCACGTGTTACGTGTATGGAATCACGTCCCCCATCTGTCGTCCTAGGATCCGCCGTGGAATTTCCCTCTCGCAACCATGGATACAGCATTGGATTTGGCTAAGAGATGCCCCTCTGGCTCAAATGGAATTGCTCTGTCACTAACGAGAACCCAGTACTACATTCGCATAAGGAACGAATCTCCTCGCCATGCTCGTCCTACTCGTCCTTCCCGGTCGGCCGCGGAAACAGCCTCCTCGTCCTACTCCTGCAACTGTACTGGATCCGCTGCCACAACCTGTGCCGTGAATCCGTTGCCAGGGAGTCAGTACTAGACTCGGTGCCATGGACTCAGTACCGGATTTGCTACCATGGCCTCCCTGATGGGTTCGCTGTTATGGGCTCTGTACTAGATTACTGGATTCGCTGCCATGGACTCGATACTGGACTCGGAGCCATGGACTCGGTACTGGACTCGCTACCATGGCCTCTCTCCCCCTCGTTCAGCACTTCCACCTCGCCCCGTTCCCCACAAGCTATGTCGGCCGTCGCGGCAGGCAAGTAACAAAGGTAACCGACAACATTCAGCACGAGGAGGTTGAAAAGAGGAATCTTGTTTACGTTGATTTTCAAAATATGTGGAATTTGGTGGCTATGAGAATGAGGATATTGAAGTGGAAGACGATAGGACGAGCTCCGGCTGGGAGGGCTAAGAGGGCTGTGAGGATATGGAGGAGGATCCTGTATAATATCAATTACAATAGTTATCTATACGAGCAAAGTCAAGTCTAGGTGCTAGATATTTCGAGCACAGGAAGCGTCATATGTCTTTTTCTTTTGCAATCTACATTTTGACACGGGTAGCAGATATCAGGACCACACAGCTGCGATCACACATGGATTGCTATCAATCCAGGCATCTTGTCTATTTAGTCAGAGTGTTACGCTGCGTGCAGCACCTGCTTACCTGCGCTTCCACCTGGAGAGCGGCGGTCAGGCATGGAGAGCTGCGGTCCGGCATGGACGTCTGTGGACACATGGCATCGTGCCTATTCAAACAGCATATTGCGCCATGTGCAGTACATGCAGTACAAACGCCTCCCCGCACCGACCGGCCGGGGTTTTTTTTCTTCCTGATGGGTAAGGCTGAGCCCACTCGACAGAGTGGTAAATCGTCCGAAAAGCCGCCAGTCTATCGGTGGACTGTTGAGAGTGGCCGACGTTGCGGCCAGTTCATCCTTTTTTTCTAACCCACTTCTGCAGCATTGCCAGCGGGAGACCCCATCTGTCCTTCTAAATCCTCGGCCACAGTGCAGTGGCCTGCATAAGGTTATTTCTGCGCCTTATTTACATCCCCTGGACTGATGTAGGGGTTCGGTGGCGTACCCCGCAACAGTCCATCTGGATGATGGTCCATTAGTGGACGTTTGAACGTGCGGTCATGGCCGACGTTGCGGCCACTGCAGTTCATCCCTGTTTTCCAACCCGCTTCTGCAGCATTGCCAGCGGGAGGCCCCATCTATCCTTGTTCATCCTCAACCACAGTGGCCTGCTGAACGTCAGTTCTCCGTCTTATTCACATTCTCTGGGCTGATATAGGGTTCGGTGGCATACCTCGGAATTGTCCGCCCGGACGGACAATAATTGGGGGCCAGCAACGTGGCCCTCAAATAGAGCGGAGCCTTGCTGGACCGGAGCGGTCAATATTGATGAATGGTAGCGCGCTGCTACATGAGAGGTCTCAATGTTCTGACGGGAAGATATTGGACACCTTCTTCATGGAGATTCTGTCTGGGTGTTGCCGCAGTATTGTAGGCGAGATGGGGAACGGTTAACAAGCCGGAAAGCGGACTTCTATTTTTCTCACGTTAGTCAAACACCAGCGAAAGTTGACATTCTAGTTACTCGGGAGGCTTTTCTGAGCCCGCATGTTCAGACGGTCGCTGGCCTGACTGCGTGTGGTTCCGGGGCGGCGTTTTCGGGGAAGCCAGAATGTAGGCCGGTAAAGAAGACGGAGAGGATATCTCGATGCGAGATAACTGAGATAGGGAGGATATTGGTACGGGTGTGCTGTCGAAGTAGAGTGGGATATGTGTCGGGGTTTGACTAGAGAGAGATCTGCGTGGTAGGGGAAAGATAATGATCAACAATGTTGGAAATTGGGGTGCGGGCAGTGAAGGCGGGGAGGTAAGTCGATCGAACGATTCTGTGGAGTTGAGTGAGTCACATGGTGGGGCAAACTGTCGGTGATCCGGTTTCATGTCTTCGGGCATCAATAGACCGAGTTGAACAATAAACTCAGTGGGAACGGACGGACATCATGGGAACAGGCGGATATCTTGGGAATCGATATGACGCGATTTGGTTTCTGCTTCTATGTACCTCTCTAAATACTCTCTCTATTGTCCGCTCTTTTGTTCTGTATCTAGCAATCAATCTTCATCACCCTCTCACTCGTTCGCTCAAATCAGCTTGACAAAATAAATATCACACCTCACACTCACAGCTCAAACTGTAGGGCTTCACGCGAAGAGCTGCGGAGACGCTAGCGTTGTCGGGCCGCTAGCGTTGTGGGGACACTAGCGCTGTGGGGGATCTACATAAGCAGTCGGAGAACCCGGACTCCTACCTTCTTCTTCTTCACACACCATCTCTGTTCTTTACCAATCACCTCTCCGCACCAAGTCACCACCCCCACAAAAAGTTAAATATGGACCAGACCGGTACGTTTTTATGGACTTCCCTGCTGGTAGTTACTGACCACCCCTCAGATATATTCCAGATCACCATCATTACATCTACGGCAAGTGCGTCTCCAAGTGAGCACGCATCCATCAAGAGAAGCACGGCAATGCTGGCAAGTTGCACTGCGGGTGCAGCTACCAGGACCCCGTCGAAAACCTTGACCGTCTCGCCAGAGATCTCACTGCGCCGGTAAGTGGGCGCAAGTGCGTCAAGAGAAGCTTTCCGTGGTACCGCAGATGGATGGAGACGACATTTCTGTTCATCCCAGCCGAGCCCGACGAGTTCTCGGGCTGGCAGGGAAAGAAGGCTCGGCTGCCCAGACTTTCTTTCCCTAGTACCACGGACGATTCCGCAAAGGGGAACCAGATTCCCCTCACACGCCGCACAACGCCAGTTCTACCTCGGCGCAGCACAGCGAACGACCAGCCAAATATCAGGCACGCAGCCTGTCCGAAGATCAGTTGAATCTACTCGCGCAGACTCCGCATTTTAGCGGTGCCAATATGTACGCACCCATTCTAGAAACCATCTCGCTCCTCCACCATGGCTCCATTTGCTGCCACTTACTGACACATGTGTACAGCCGCGTTGTGGACTACACCAAGTTCACCAACCCTGCGACTTTCAACATTCGAGAGATCGGTGGTGGCGCTCTGTTGCCAAACGCCCAGTCTACCAACGACATGCTCACTGCCCGCTCGGAAGGCGTGACCATCAATACGCCCGCGAGCCAGACGACGAAGACGAAGGACGTGAACGATTCCGATACGCCGACCGAAATGCGGGTCGGATTGGAGCACAACAGTGATAATGAAATGGATATCGACGAGAAGGAAGAGGAAGGCAAGGATGGTATGTAACCACAGCAGTTACACACATCGCTTGTGATGAGCCTAGGTCTGGGTTTTGTCTGTTCATGAATACGGCTAGTGGCCGTTCTAGGTATCTGTATGGAGGATTTCTAGTAGTATGTGTTTCTGTTTCTGTTTAGTACTGTAGTTCGTTTTTCAATCAAAGCTTGTTCCGTTCAACCGGGTGGAAGCCGAGAATCGTGCTTGTGGGATTGACAGAACAAAGTGGTCACAGCTACTCGCTGGTACTAACGGGAGATGTTTTCACTTGGGTTCAACAAGATTCCTACAAGTATGGACACAACAGCATGTATTCCCACTCTCTACCCAGAGGTCAAACTGCCATTACGTTTACTCGATCCGCAGATATCCAATATATCTCGTAGGTTAGGTCGATACTGTCGGCACCCTATCTGGTAATGCACCTGTGATATATCACGATTTTTCTATCGGGTACGAAGGACACGGTAACGACGACGGCAACGGATAACCAGTCGGAGCTTCGCAGCGTAATTAGCCCCGGTAACGCCATCCTTAATACGCACAGCACTGCGATCTAGCATGTACGCTGCACAACATCGATCTGTCAAATATACTGACATCAATATGAGGCATGATGGGATGATATAACTGTTTTCAGCTGCTAGTGGACGGAATCGCCGGGAATGTCTGCGATTCTGCGAAGCTCAAAAAGCGAGTGATATCCGGATGACGGCAACAATCCGCGTCATATTTGGCAGCGAGTGACTAGGCATGGGGTAATAACGGATTTGCACTGGTAGACACTTTGCAAGACGCGGCAATTAAACATGATTATAGATTAGGTACATGGTAAATGTGGCGGGGGGGTTACATATCGCCTGACTACATGGAAAGCAACACACAAATCGACAGAAAAGAATGCACCACTTCACCCAAGATCGCAGGTACTCATCATAACTCCTCGATCACATCGTCCGTGCGTGTGCTCGTGCTCGGAGTAGACATCCAGCTCCGCATCGGCGCCTTCGCCGTCACCACGGCCCTGTCCGTCATCACCGACCTGTCCGTCGTCTCCGCCCTGCTGTCCCTCTGCGGAGCGGCACTTCCCTCGCGAGCCTCAACACCCTCATCCCCCTCATCCTCCGACTCGTCATCCTCCCCGTCATCCTCATACTCATCATCGCCATCCTCTCCCTCATCCCTCAACTCGACCCCGCCGTCCTCATCATCCCACTCCCCATCATCATCGTCACCCCCACCCGGCGCCTCCCGCCGCTTCCTCTCATCCTCCTCAATCCACGCCTTAACAGTAGCGACCATGCTAGCGCGGTTATCACCCCGCTTGAACGCGATCCCTTGGAGCCGCGCGAAGGCCCGCAGCTCCTTTACGCTAATGACGTCGAGGTCGGGGTAGGCACGCGCTCTGTTGGGGAGGATTTGTACGTACTGTGACGGACTCGGGTTAGGAGTGGTAATGGGGAAGTGAGTGAAGGGAGAGAGGGGAGGGGAATGAGGGGAAAGAACGCACCCGTGACGCCGCTATCTCCTCGTAGAACGCTTTCATCACGTCCGTGCCTGCGCCGCGTTCGAGTAGTAGTTTCTGTAGTGGCGTCATTTCTCTGTGTGCGGTGGCTGATCGACGATGGAGTTGTTGTGTGGTAGTCGGCGAGGTATTGGCTGTATGTGTAGGATGATTGAAACGGAGCGGAGAGGTTTCCTGCCGGCGGCAGTAGGGAATACGTGGGTAGTCTTATATTGGGAACAGAGTTTCGCGTGGTCTTCATGGACAATAGCTGAACCCAAATCCTCTCGAACGAACGTATAGACTACAGGATTACGTTTTGCATAGGGTTTTGTGATAGCATAGGCAGAGAAGGAGACGTAATCAAGGGGCTGTAGACTTATTGTCGACGTTGCCTAAAAACTGAAGGTTTTGAGTGTCTGTAAACACCCCCGGTGGTATTACCGGTGCATATGCTCAACAGCACCACCACTACCGCCGCCGTCAAGGGCGCAATGATCCGGTGTTATTCTCACCAGCTCCCATAGCGGCCTGCAACCTGGTCGGAGAAGCACGATCGAGCAGTGGATGTGAGCGCGGCTTCTGGTACTGCCCGTCGGCTAGGTAGACAGTTGAGGTAAGGTGCAAAGAAAAGCATAGTTTGCACAACCTTAAAGTTAAAATCGAATCGATCTAGAATCGATACCTCTCCTTGGTAACTATGATTGCGTATGCTGCAGGCAATAACCTTTAACGTTGAAAGCTTGTCCCAGAGTTCTCCGAGCGTAAAGATGGAGGGCTATACCGGTGATTCTAATCAACCATCTGCTAACTCTTACGGCGGGCAGAAGACTTGTAGTATCGAAATCTACTACAACGGCGAAGTGTTTCGATCCGGTTCTTCGTTCAATCCACCAATCATCATCAATCATCACGACGTCCAAACCAACGCACAATCCATCACTCATATTTTCGCCTGCTCCGTACGGACACCGAAACTTTGTTTAGCATTTACAAGTCTTGATAACTACTATGAGACTTCACCATGCTTACTGAATTCGTGAGGCAATACCTAATGCCTAATTTCCTATTTCCAGCAAGTCATCCCATACCAGCAGACCGGAAATACGAGTGATGCCGCAGGATTGCAAAGTTACTCACTAGTAGAGCAAGCACTCACGCTTCTATGAACCTCGACGGATGGACCGACGTGAAAGCATGGGCATAACCTTGTCTGCAATAGCATAATCTTCTTTCTAATACGACGCGAGCTGGGCCAGCGAGTGACACAACTCGTCAACGCCACACTACCTAGGCTGCGCCACTCCGCCAACAGAGTAACGTGTGGCTTCGCCGCTCGTCCTCACCGCTCGTCCTCAGCACCCGTCCTCGGTGCAAGTCGAGCTGTCAGATCTAAGAGGCGGTGAATCGCAATGCAGAAGCGCCGGAAGTCACGATCGGAGAATCAAGGGCAAGAACAGACAAAACTGGCTAGTAGTAAGTTTCAGCACATGCACGGAAAGCGCGCACATTGATCCTCATCATTCAGCAAGCATTCATTAACCATCCAAGCATCCAAGCATCCATGCATTCATTACCCATTGCCTAACCGTAGTCCGTATGCAAAATTCCAAGTCCAAGTACAATCGAACCTATGCACCCTCATGCACCCTCATCCACCCGCCTCCACCATCCCCCCTCTCTCCCCCTTCCACTGCCTGTATAACAGCCTGTATCACCACTAAAAATACCGACTCCGAACCGCCTGCCCAAGCGTAGACATGCGACTCGCCATGCCTCCGCCTGCGACGCCGCCGCCGCCGCCGGCGTTCATAGTGCTCAGGAAGGCCTCCTCCATCGCGCTCTGGGAGACACTGGCATCTTTTTTTCTCATTAGCCTCTTCACATCACATCCCGCACACCACGAGACCCAGAGACAAAGAGACTAAGAGACCCACCCGAAAGATCACTAAAGCTGCTGCCCATGCTGGGACTACTCGGGCCGGCGGAATCGACGCGGCCGCTAGCGCGGGTGACGTGCGTGGTGGCTAGCTTCTGCTGCTGGTGCTGCTGCTGGTGCTGCTGCTGGTCGTGCTGGTGCTGTAGCTGCTGCTGCCCCGGCTGCTGCCCCTGTTGCTGGTTCTGGTGCTGTCCCTGCTGCTGGTGCATCTGCTGTTGTTGCCTCGTGGGCTGCCCCTGCCCCTGCTGCTGTCTTGTCGGCTGCAGCTCCAGCGTGTCCGTATCAGCATCAGCAATCGTCGCCGAAAACGGCAAAAACAGCGGCTCATCAGTATCGTCTGCGCCCTCATCCTCGCTTCCAAAGCTGTGGCGGAACGTTGGCAGCCTTCTATGCGAGCGTGCGCCGGGCGGCGGGCGCGGGCCGTCGTCGTCGGAGCTCGAGGATGCGTTCACGGAGTCGATGGGGCTGCTGGAGCTGGATGTGCGCGATGAGGGGGATGGGGGCGACGGCGGGAGGAGCGCTGTTGTTAGTCGGTGCGGGACGCGGGAGGTTATGGTTGACGCTACAGGGGGTTAGCGGGTGTGAGGGTGGGGGGGGGGGAGGATGGCACGTTTACTACTCATCCCCTGCTGCGGCGTATGTGTCGCCCGTGGCGTGGTCGAGCGCACTGACAGCGACGGGGATATTCTCTGCTCGGGTGCACTCTGGCCCACCGCGGGTGATGCACTGCCGTTGCCGTCGTCCCTCGCCGGGCGTCCGCTCGCCTGCCGTCCGTTGAACGCCGACAGAACACTAGGCCTCAGCACGGTGGCGGTCGGAGTTACCGGAGTCGCGGCGGAAGGGAACATTGGCGCAGCGGGTGATGACGGCGTCGGCGCGGGACTGCTCGCGTTCAGTGCGCCGCCTGCGCCCGTGGGCATTCGCCGCATTCGCGCTTGGATTTGGGATAGCTCGCGTTCGTAGAGCCAGGCGGCTTGCTGGAGGAGGAAGGCGTGCGAGACTTGGAGGTGCTGGGCACTAGAACGCGTGAATGTCGTGGATCGTGAAAGGGAGGGGGGAGGAAGAGTACAGTGCATCCCCTGGACGAAATCAGCACGTTACAAAGTGAAGCTGGGTGAGAGGGCTTACAGTCAACATCAGCATTCCGATTTCCCCTAGAAATCACCTTCCACAGGTACCGTTCCTTGGTGGCATCCCACTCGACCTGTCTAGTGTCAACTAGCGTCCCTCCACTCTCACAGCTACCGCCCTCCCGGAGACCTACCCGTGGCGGATCGACAAACCCGTTTCTCGGAAACGGCAATCGAATGTAGACAGTGTACTGTGGCTCGGCAGGTCCTCTCGGCGTCGATAAGGCAGCTGCAGGGCCTCGTCTGCTGTTCTCGCGCGAGGACAGCGCACCTGGGGGTCGCGGTATGCTGCCGTTGTGCGAGGGCCCTCGAGAGGACAGTTGGCGGGGCTCGATCGACATTGTAGTTGGTTGGTGGTGGGTTCACGAAGAGGTTGGTGGTTGGTGGTTGGGTGCTGTTGGGCGTGGCGACTAGGATAGCTATGCGGCTCTGGAATCCGGAGCTTCGTGCATGTTTAGCGCACGGTGACTCAGGTAGCAGCAGTCTTTCAAAACAAATTCATACTCACGTGTAAAACGATAACTGGATCGTTGAAAGCTTCTCCTCGAGAAGGTAGGAACTTGTGAATTGAATTTCCATTGATACTGCGCATTTCGAGGTGCACCGGGAATCAGTGCATTCACGTGATCCGAATTAGCAACGCGCGACCGGGGGAGCGGTAGCACGGCGGTGTAGAGTCGGCACGTAACGCACTTCGTCGTATCACATAGGAGGACACGGTCCATTGGGCCGACACGACATCGACGCGAAATTCCCCATCGCCCACGGTGGGGAAGAAGAGATAACAAACTCATGATATCACGTCACGTCTTTCACGAACAATCAAAAGATGCAATCCGCTTGGAAATTTCTATCGCCCATGTCTATTTCTACCGCCTTGTGAAAGTGGAAATCAAACACCCATACTCCAGCACCGACCAGTCTTCAGTAGCCTGATCGCTGCTATTTATCCCCGTGTCAAGAAAATCAAAACGTCTAACCGAACACCTTGCTGAAGTACTCCTTCGAGTTTTTGGGATCGGCCTTGATGGTCTCGCCACCCTGGCTCCAGTTGGCGGGGCAGACCTCACCGTACTAGTGGAGAGACAATTAGCGAATGAGTTCAGGATGAAGCGATGGGCAGCGATGAGATGTACCTTCTCGGTGAACTGGAAGGCATCGATGAGGCGCATGGTCTCGTCGACAGAACGACCGACAGGGAGGTCATTGATGGTAATCTACGCGTATCGTCAGCTTACGTTCCACCATGGGCCCATGTCTGCGCAACAAACCTGACGAACGACACCCTTGGGGTCGATGATGAACAGACCGCGCAGGGCAATTCCCTCCTCCTCGATCAGAACACCGTAGGCGCGCGAGATCTTGTGGTTCTTGTCGGACAGCAACGGGATGTCGACCTTGCCGAGACCGCCGTCCTTGCGGGCAGTGGACGCCCACGAGAGCAAACTATACTCGGAGTCGACGGAAGCGAAGACGACCTTGGCGTCGCGGTCGGCGAACTGCTTGGCAGCATCGGAGAAGGCGATGATTTCGGTGGGGCTGGAAGGAGTCAGCAGCTGCCGGACGAGAAATGCAACGCGTGGGAGCCGGAAAGAGAGCATACCAGACGAAAGTCCAGGCCATCGGGATGAAGCCGAGGATCAACCACTGACCGGCATAGTCCTTGAGGGAGATCTCTAGATGAAGGGAATAATATTAGTGAGGTGTTCATAGAGCTGGAAAAGCTGCTGCGGTGGTGATGATGACACGTACCCTCGAAAGCACCATCGACGACGGCAGTGCCCTTGAAGTCGGGAGCAGGATGCTGCACGCGAACCGACATGATGATAGATTGATTGAGGGTGGTCTAATGGAGGGGTGATTGGAGATGGACGCGGGTGGTAAGAGCGGTGAGGGTAGAATGGAGACAGTCGTGGGTGTTATATGTAAAGAGAGAAGGGGGAAGAGAGAAGGGAGAGAAGAGCTGGGAAGGCGAACAAGGAAATAGCAGCTGGCAGGCACCGTGCAGCTAACTGGCAGCGCCAATCCGGCGGGTTTCACTCCCAGCGCTAAGCAGGCCGCACGCATTTTGAGAGGACGCAAGAGTGACGGGCGCTCGCTGCAGGGGCACCTACTGCCCATGTTGGCGATGTCGCCGGCCATCAGTCAGCGGTTACGGTCTCGAAGAAGCAACGAAGGTTTTGCACGGCCAGCTGCTAGTGAGTCGGCCCGGCTGGAGACGGAAGGCTTCTCACAGCTACGAGGTGGGAGGGCGATTCGAAGGAAAGCTGCTTCCAGACGACCAACCATCAAGTAATCAAGCGATCGATCGCTTCCTTTAGAAAAGCCCAGAAGGCCCAACGGACGGCTCTAATCTAGTGCCGATTCCGCAGCCGCTTCCGACGGAACAACTAGCCACACTTCTCGACGTCGCCGCCCTTCTCTGCACGCAGTTCGCTGCCACCTGCTGAGCTGCGTTAGCCACCGTCCGCCTCGGAAAATCCTCTCGGAAAGTGCATTCGTGTAAAGTAGCGCAGCCATTCAGTCGACGCGTTCAGTGACACATCGCACATGAAAACACCTGACAGTGGAGATGGGATGATCTGGACGCGTCAGGTTACTCAGAACCACTAGCGCTTTGTGTAGATTCAGCTCGAATCCTGCGATTCGTCCAGAGTTGTGATCGTCTGCAATCAGTGTTCATCCCCAAGCGGTATTCGTAACCGAAGGCCGCTTTGTCAGCCACGTGATCGCCAAGCGAATCCTTGCATCATCGATTCAGCAACCGAAACCTGAATGCGACGACTGCAACCCCGCTACTCTCACCACCACCACCTCCACCATCCCGTCTGATCCGCTTCGTTTCTTCCTCTCGCCATCCATCCCCTCGATATCGGTTCCTGTCGCATCGTACCGCAACTATGCCTTTGATTACCATCACCAAGACGGTCGTCTCGGTTCACTTCTATCTTCCATCGCCCCTCGTGGCTCACGGCTTCAAGTGACCCCTCACCTACCCCGCACCGACAAGACCACGACACCGAAATACCCCACCGCACCCTACACAACACGAGTCGGACTGAACGTCGAATAAACCATGCCTTTGCGAGAGAGCTTTGCTACAGCGAGACGATCGGTTGCCCGTGGGCTTTCTGCTGGGAAAGGGCTCTGGCGAGATTGTTTCCCCGCTGACGCCCGTCCTCCCTGATACCGACCGATCGAGTCTTTCCACGACTACCATACGTCAACACAACTGAAACCGCCTACCCTCTCTAACGCGCTGACGGAGACTGGCATGATTGGGATCCACATGATGTTTGAGATGCGCAGACACCGTTGCGACGTTGCACCTTTTACCTCGTGCTACATCTACTTCGTCTCGCCAGTAAGCGAGTTGGGTCTCATTTTCGTCTCCACATGATTTTCGGTTCCCCGACTCACCATTCGCCGCCACCGCGAGCACGGCACGCACATTCCCCTTGTATATCACCGCCACATGTGCCATCAGCATTACCGTCAGATTATGCCCGTCATGAACCCCGCACCAATAGAAGGCAAGAAGGAAGAACAGTCTTGAGACGACCGAATCGAAGGAAGACGAAGGGCGGACTATCCGCAGCCTGTTCGTGATCCTGATGCAGAAACCATAATAACAGCCACAGAATCCATGTCCACCATGCGTCGCTCGGCAACCCGTCCTCCATCCTCTCCTGCCACGATGCGAATCTGTCAGAGTGCAACTTGTGCGCCCCACTTGACCAGTCACCCAAGCTTTTGCTGTTTTCCCCGTCACTATGTTCTACATCGTTGCCGCTCCAGAATCCGACTCCTGCCCGCCGTTACGCATTCATTATCGATGGAACCTGTCTTCTTCGACAAAATCGTCGCCCATCACCGTGCAAACAATTTCGCTCGTATTCTCGCTGCCGCTTTGACCCCCGTCACTTCTCCCAGTCTCGCGATACTTATTACCGTCCTTTTCGCTCGCTCTCCTGCTCTATCCGCATGATCACTGTGGCCTGATACAACTTCTTCATTGTCGGCCTCATTTGTCCGCCTTCATCTTGGTTCGTTCGTGAAGCACTCTTCGAGTACTTCGGCGACTCATGATGGCATTAAGTCCAGACTGCCGGTCTAACTTGCGCCCGCTTTTCGTTCTCTACAACAGCTTCTTCATATCCTGCACAACCTCCCCTCAGTCTTCTGCTAGATCACGCTTGAATCTCCAACGTGCGCTCCGTTTCTCGCAACACAACAGTACCTGCATTGTTCACCGTCACCGCTACACGCACTGTCGTCCACAGACCGTTCATAAACTCCCCTCTATCCACGGCCAAGATTATTCCGCTTCCCTAATTCTTCTTTCTCCCTACTCTCATCCCCATCCCAACACTCCCCTCTATCCACGGCCGAGATTATTCCGCTTCCCTATTTCTTCTTTCTCCCCACTCTCATCCCCATCCCACTCCTTGACCCGATTTACCATGTGACATTAGCTAGTGATTCCGCCGTTCCTCGTCGCCTACCGTTCCCAGACCATACCGCAGTTGCAATACGCCGTAGCGTGCGAACTTCCATTTCGTTCCTTCGTCCCTCCGTCGATGTGACACATTCCGACCAATTCCAGACATCACGGTGCCCGCGGCCACCGGCCTTCGAGGTTCAGCGGTCTGCAAGACTACGGGCTCGTCGAAACAGCCAGCCAATCGCACTGCGTGGTCGATGGTTGCCATTCCATTTCCTCCTACCCGATCTCGCTCAGCTGCCTGCCTGCGACTCGACGTATCTGCGTGCGCGTTTATATTCACTGCTCCTTCAAATTGCTTTCAAATACTCGCAACGCCACATACGTGCCGCTCGACACCGCTCACCTTTCGCATACCTACCTCACAGATCTGTCTTTTTTCTGCAACGTGCTCCTTCTCCATCGTGACCCGTTATTCAACACTCGCCACCGCCGTAGATAGCGTGCCGGTAGCACTCAGCTACTTGGAGTCCCGGTTACAACTCGGTCTCACAATACACCTCCCCGTTTCTCCCGCTTCATCATCGCGCTGGCCATTTTCGGTGCCGTACAAACCGTCGCCCGCTGTTGCACCCATTCTCTTACCCCACGATCGCTACCAACGTCGACATCAAAGCCCACCTCCCCCCGCCCATCCCCGTTCTATCGAAGCGTCTGCTGGCATGCCAACATTGTGGTCGTGCCTCTTCAATTGCGCAATCCGAGACGTCAGCGAAGCAGAGTATCCCCCGGCTACTGTGATAGGATCACCGGGAACTATCGCTAGTCCAGTGAGGAGCACCTATATACCTTTAGCTCGATCGCTAGGCAATGCTTGACCGTCTCCTCCGCCTCTGCCTCCAATTTTCATGGTACCCTTCTCGTGGACAACCGTGTACGCAATCTCGAACGGCAATTGCATTCCATCCGACAATCCTTCCACCCCCTCCTCCGCGCGGTGTGCCTCCAAACAACGGTGTGACGTCCTGCATCGCTACAGTATTTAAGCGCGGCGGACATAACCGACAGAGCATCATAATGCGCCACAGCACCACCAAATCAGTCCCGCTTCGGCCTCACCGCTGTGGTTTTCTTTGCAACCAACGCCGTTTGCAGATTGTTACGCACCGCCGTTGTCGTATCCGCTCGAAAGGAACTGCCTGGCACCACCGGTCCCGCTCGAAGTTTTCCGTGCCCGTGCGACGTTGCCGTACCCCCTCGACTTTGCTGTACTCACAAGCAGTCGCCGTTCCCGCTCGAAGTCATTTGAAGTCGCCGTTCCGCTTGACGTTGCCCTGCCCACTCAAAGTCGTCGTTCATGTTCGAAGTTACGTGACCGTCTGAGGGCGGTCGAAGTCGTCGTAATCGCTAGAGGTCGCCGTGGCTGCTCGATGTTGCCGTTCCAGCTCGATGTCGGATGTCGCCGTGCCCGTTCAAAGCTGCGTGACCGCCCGAAGTCGTTCGAAGTCGTCGTACCCGCTCAAAATCGCCGTTCGCGCTCCAAGCGGCTGTGCCCGCTCGAATCATTCGAAGTCGCCGTCATAACTAAAGGTCGTCGTTGCCGCTCGACGTCACCGTATCCGCTCAAGGTCGGATGTTGGGTGACGCTGTACCGTTCGAAGACGCTGTGCCCGCCCGAAATCGCCGTATCCGTTCGAAATCGCTGTCCCCGTCCGACGTCACCGTCCCGCTCGAAGTCGCCATAATCGCTACAACTCGTCGTGCCCGCTCGATGACGGATGTCGCCGTATCCGTTCCAAATCGTCGTATTTGTCCGATTCGCCGACCCGCTCGATATCGGCGTACTCGTTGGTAGTCGTTATACCGTTCGAAATTGACGTGCCGCCGGATGTCACCAGTCCAGCTCGAGGTCGTCGCGAACGCGCAACGTCACTGTTCCCGCCTGACATCGCCATGCTCGCTCCATGTCTCCATCCCCGCTCGAACCCGTTCGAAGTCTCCGTTCCCGTGCGACGTCACCTCTCAATGTCACCTTGCCCGCTTCAAGTCGCCTTGCTCGCTCGATATCGCCGTCCCCGGTCGGAATCCCAGTACCCCCTCGAAGTCGTTCGAAGTCGCTGTACCCGTTCAAGATCGCCGTTCCTGTTCATATCACGGTAATCGCTATGGGTTGCCGTGTACATCCGCTTAGCCATAACCGCTCGGTCGGATGTCGCCCCACCGTTTGAAGTCGCTGTGCTAGCTCGAAATCGTTCGAAGTTGTTGTTTCCCCTCGAAGACGCCGTCCCCGCTCCAAGTCGTTCGAAGTCGCCCTGCCCGCTGGATGTCGCCGTATCCGTTCGAAGTCGCCGTTCTCGTGCTGCTCGAAGTTGCTCTGCCCGCTCGAGATCGCCGTGTTCGTCCGATTCGCTGTAGCCGCTCGAAGTCCCCGTACCTTCTCGCAATCGCGGTACCCACTCAAAATCGTTCGGTATCGTCGTTCCGCTCGAAGTCGCCCTGCCCGCTCGAAGTTGCAGTTCCCGTTCGAAATCACCGTTCCCGTTCGAAGTCGTTTGAAATCGCCGTTCCGCTCGAAGCTGCCCTGCCTGCTCAAAGCTGCCCTGCCCGCTCAAAGCTGCCCTGCCCGCTCGAAGTCGCCGTTCCTGTTCGAAATCAGCATTCCCTAACCGCTCGAAGTTGCCCTGCCCGCTCGCAGTCGCCGTCACCGCTCGAAGTGATTCGAAGTCGCCGTTCCGCTCGAAGTTGGCCTGCTCGCTTGAAGTCGCCGTTCCCGTTCGAAATCACCGTTCCCGTTCGAAATCACCGTTCCCATTCCGCTCGAAGTTGCCGTTCCCGTTCGGAATCACCGTTCCCGTTCCGCTCGAAGTTGACGTTCCCGTACTGTTCGCCGTACCCTCTCGCAATCGCCGTACCGCTCGACGCTCCGCCCGAAATATTCGTGCCAGCTCCAATTCGCCGTACCCGGTATCCTCGCCATGGCCTTCAACCTTCCTTCGTGGGTACTAGACATTACCCTTTCCATCTTAACCAAGCGCAGGTGTATCGTCCGAAAGACGGTAAACGAATCCTCAAAAGCCGTCATCTCGAAGTACAGTTTGGCAAAGGAAAGATGAGGAAGTAGGAAATTGCCGTCCACAAGGAAGCTCGACGCCTTTCCCGTTTATCCTGGAACAAGCCGCCACGTCCTATTCGTTTTTCCGCCGCTTCAGACCCACCGATCCAAACCCGCCGCTTCACACCCGCCGCTTCACGTTCTTTATTGTGCCAATCCGCATGGCCACCTACACCGCAATACCGCTCCGCGCTATCCTTCTCTCTGGGTTCGTCTGCGGCTGGTCGTCAGTACCAGTTCCCCCCTACCGTCGCCCTCAAAGCGCTTGAGAATGTCGTATCACCTACGCAATCATCGGTTCTTCTTCCGCCCCTTGATCTTACATGGACGAGCTGCCTTTTCCCTTCATCGCCTCCGCTTCCCGCCTTACGAGGGCATGTCCCAGCTAGAAGCGGTTCCCATCTGCCGCCTACGCTGGCCGTCCTAATATTGCCGCTGATCGCATCGCCCCAACCCCTTCGACCGAGACCGTGTGGACCCAAATCCCAAGCCCCCACATCAGCGCCTGAGCGGCATCGCGAAGCCAATGCACCCCTCGCACGTCGTTGGTGGTATTTACTGCACATCTCGTTTCTGCTCGACCATTCTTTTTCCTGATTCATTCTCCACCGCCTTTCCGTTACTGCCCTGTGCCGTCTAACTGTGGTCGGCCGTTTCTTCTGGTCCCGTTTTTCCCCTCTTTATTCTTTCAAGAACAATGCACTCTGTGCACACCACTTATGTGGATGGGGTTTTTAACCTTCGGGTTTTCCCCTATAACAAAAACATCGTCGCCCTGGCTGAATGCGAGGGGATGAGGTTTTTGGGCGACGCGGGTTGGTGACGAGTCGGGACTCGGGAGAATATAAGGGACTGCGATCAGGATTGGGACGTTGACGGGTCGCTAGGAGGTTGTATAATGGTGTAATGTTGTCTGGCATGCCCGTCTCGAAGTACTGAGGAAACGAAAGAAAAGATGAGTTGTGACGATCCCCTGAGCGGTTTTCGAGCCATGGTTAACGAAAGACTTCAGAACTAGCAAGCAAAAGTCTGTGGCAGAGTGGGGCTAAGCAACTAATTTCTCGATGCAGTGGGATCCACCAAAGCATCACCACCAGGCTTGCTGGTCGCTATGTTCATTTCTTGCCGCTGATCATAGAAACATGCCGGGTGCGAATGCCAGACATAGCGACATTGAAGACGGAGGTGTACCTGGAATAGTCGGAGCGAGGGCTTCAGTGCTTCTATTTTCTACGGCGGTATAAGAAAGACCATTTGTGAGTTCAAACGTGGATGCAAGACACGTTTTCGCTCACTCCCGCACAGACACACTTCTCACTCGTGCCCAGACATTCTCAGACATCCTTATCACTCGGGCCAAGCCATTGAGTGGTCGTCCCTCCCTCCGTGGCCAATATCATTCTCTGCCTTCTTACCTACCTTCACACATCTCTACCCAATATAAAAAGCGCGCATATTCACAACCGCCGAAACAACCTGCTCCTCCGTATACGCTGTGTTGCAGTTTCCCGCCGATACAAGAGCACAGAAATTCACCAGCGAACTTTCCGATCGTACACTCGACACCTCAACCGGAATATCGCAACACACCTCCAGCCAGCCGCAATGTGGTTCCGCCTCGGCAAGCGCCAGACGATCCTGCACTTCTTCATCACAATCACTCTCTTCACCGGCGCCTACTCGATAATCGTGACGCCCGAATCCCACGGTGGGCATGTGATCCCGCTTGTGATCATGTCGTTCACAGCCGCGAACTCCCTGACGGTTCTCGTTACGTCCTTCCGCTCGGGCACGCGACCCAAGCCGAAGCCCAAGCCCAAGCCCGAGAACCTCAAGACCATCTACCGGCGGACGCTGGACCCGTTGGCTGCCGGGCCGGCAAAGCCCTACCCGTTCGGCACGCTGATGGAGCAGATGGCGGAGGTGCGGCGGCGGGCTGTCGTCGCGCGGGAGAAGGCCGCCGCAATGGGCGCACGGGTCGGTGCGGAAGTCAGGAGACGCACGATCTTGTTCCAGCCCGAGGAGGGCGGGACACTGCCGCGGTGGCGGGACAGTCTCGCGCCGAAGGTCCTAAGGAAGACGTGGGCCCCAGGCGCGTTTACGTGGTGGGGGGCGGAGGCGAGAAGGGTGGAGGAAGGGGATGCGGGGTTCGGAGGGCAGCGCGGGATAGAGCTCGGATCGTGGTCGAGCGCGCCGAGTTTGGCAGGGACGGCGGGGACGAGAGAGCGCGCGGGTTCGGATGCGACGGGAAATGGGAGTAATCCGTTTACGTTTACGGAGCGGGAGAGGAAGAGGTATCGCGAAAGCCAGTTCAGCGTGGGAAGCGATACCGAGAGTCGTACGCCGACTCCGACGCCGACGGGGCCGGTTCCGCATAATACTTTCGCGGACTTGCCGCTCGACAACAATGGTTTCACTGATATCCCACTCGAAAGCAGGCCTGCGAGTCCCGCAAGAAGCTACAACCCTTTCACGGATGTGCCACTCGATAAGAGACCCGCGAGCCCGACAGGCAACTATGGACCATATGCCAGAGGAGCTTCGAGTCACACAGGAAGATATGGACCATCCGAGAGTAGGTCCCCAAGCCCCACCGGAAGTTACGTGCCGATCGTGCGCCCCTATCGGCCAGGCGAGGTGAGGAGGGATCCCAAGACTGGGAGGGAGTTTTTGGTTGTTTGAGCGCTGGGGAAGAGCGAGCGCGGGGGAGGTTGGGGGGGGGGGGCGGCTGTTTCCATAGACGATTACAAAGAAAGCAAGCATTATCATAGGCTAGACCATGTGGGTTTCGAAATGTGACACAGATACCTACTCGTAGTTGTAAAGTCTCCATGATGTTATGTTCGTGGATGACATATGGTGGCGACGATCCATAGTAATAATATCACATAGCATATGTACTCCGATACCTGGACCTTTAGGTTGAAGTTTCATGGCTAAGGCAGCTGGGTAGACCAGCCGGTCGTCATACATCAGTACTCGTGCAGAAGCAAGACCCATATAAAATCGAATGCCAGGAAGATAGCAACATCGACACAAAAGACAGATATCAATAACTGGAACGCGAATGATGACGATCGATCCTCGGGGCCCAGTATCCAGGCGAAAGTTTAAGCAGCCCGACCAGCTGCGTAGCCGTCACGAATCAGCACTCCTCCAGAGTCCCATGTAGTGCAAAATCCAATACCGAAGACAGCAACGACAAGACAGCAAGTGAAGCTACCGATTATTCAAACGCGATATATGACGATGGACCCTCAGGGTCGAGTACCTATCGGGGCGAGAGGTGAAGCAGCTCGACTAGCGAGCCGTCACGAATCAGCACTCGTCCAGAGTCCGATGTATGAAAAAATCCACCACCGAAGACAGCAAGGTCGGCACAGAAGCTAAAGCTATCGTTCATTGAAATGCGAGATATGATGATGAACCCTCAGGGTCGAGTGGGTACCTATTGGAGCGAGAGTTGAAGCAGCTCGACCAGCGAGGATTCACGCATCTGCACTCGCCCAGAGTCCCATGTAGTACAAAATTCAATGCTGGCAATATAGAAACTTCGACACGGTGATACCCCACACGAACCATAAGTGACGGATTCGCCAGATTGCCTATGCGTGCATACTAATCGCCGTCTATTGGTGTGCGAGCTTAGGTCATGTCCTATCCCGAGGGCTCCGATATCCGGAAGTTTCCGGTGTGGACTATTTCCCACTTGCCCTTAGGACTGCTACCGCTGATGAGGCACAAACCAGCGGCTTGGCGTCGACCGACGTATTTGAAAGCCACAACCCACAGTCTTCCTTCATTTTCCTTTCATCACACTTCCTTCACCATCTCTTCCACATTTTTTCCGACATCGTTATTCTGCCAATCGACGCTTAGTGGTAACCTCGATTCGTCTTCCAACATTTTTCCTCTCATCCTACGTCGTCAACAACTTGGACTCCCTCACTACCTGCACTTCTCGATTCCTTCACTACCTCCACCTTTCGACATCGTTCTTCCACGTGTGGCTCTACACCTATCTCCACTGTCCAACCAATCATCCTGAACATGTCGGCACCTGTTAGTGTGACCCTATCAGTAAGTATTTCTTCGACCCCTCCCGTACTGCCACAAATGGTGCCGCCTAAGACCAGCATTGATGCAAGAACGCGATTTGACCAATAGTGTCTGTCGTGCAATGTGTTGATGTCTTTATAGCTACTCATGCAGGAAATGTAAAATGTGGGAGAAAAATCTCCCGCTCCAGAAGAGGAGCAGAAATGTGGTGTAAGTCTTTTTCCTTTCTTGATCGCCATCGTGTTGAGCAGACATCTAATGCATTACAAACCTGCAGGGCGATGTGGTGGCCACCACTCTGCGTATCGAGTGTGGGAGAGCAAGGAGGCTGACAAGAAAAACACGAACAATGAGCGTGGAGACCTGCGCTCGAAGGATAGCGAAATCTCGGATCTCAAAAGCGAATTGGGAGGGGTCAAGAAACAGTTGGATGAAATCACCAATGTCACACAGGTGACAGGCCCCTCTATGGGGTCGAACTCCGGGCATTCGCAGGCCATGTCATTCGGACGTATGGCCGGCCTTCGGGGCACGATGTTGCCTCGTTGGGGAAACGTGTTTCTCTCTTGCCAAGCGGACGAAGATGGGTGCATTCGACATCTACCGTGTCCTGAGGTACGTATCCTAGTTTGTGATCGAAGCATTATTGAATTTTGCTAACAGATGCGAAAGCAACTGTATAGAGCTAGGCAACATGTTTGCCCTCCCAGTGGGAACACACGCTCGGGACGATGCTCCCGTCTTTGACCCACTGGGCAGTGGGCTGTTCCCACGAGGTCCGCTCGGACCGAAAAATCATGCACTGCGGTCGCGCGCGCCCGCGAGATCACTCCAATGGGGGTGCGGGCGTGACCCTGCGCAGTCGCGGACGATCCCAGACGTTCCTCGTGGACAAGACCCGAAATCTGTCCACCCGTACCTCGCGTGCTGGGCTGCGTGCCGCAAGCTTCAACCGAATCGCAATCTCGCAGCTTGTAACCCATGCAGAACACCAGCATGGTGGACAGGAGACGAGGAACCGCGCGCACAATCTGCGGGGCGGAGGAGTACGAGCGCACACATGGTGCCAAGCATGCAAGAAAAGAGTAGGGTGGAGGAGGGCGCGGGACGGGGCGGGGCGGGGCTAGGGCCCCGATGAAGAAGCGACTATCGCAGAGCGATAATCTTTTTTTGTTTTTAAAGGTTGATTTGCTAATACACTTGCTTCGCAGAGCAGTGGTGTGTTTTTTGATTTTGAAATTTGATTCCCTGATGTACCTGGTTCGCAATGAGAGGAGCAGTGTTCTACAGAGACCAGTCCCGAAAAACAATTGGGGGGGTTAACGATCACTGAAACGCGAGCTGTGACTAGACGACAGACCTTCAGAGTCCTGTCTTGGGTATCGGGGCGAAAAGAGCTAGGTAGGTAGACCAGCGAGACGTCCCGTAGCAGCACTCGTCAAGACTGCGGAGGCCGATATAAAATGGTTTTCCAGGAAGACAGCAATGTCGACACGGAAGATGAATCTATCGAGTACTGAAGCGCGAGCAATAACGATAGACACTCAGCGCCGACTATCGGTGAGGAAGCAGCTCGACCAGGATTCCGTCACGCATCAGCACTCGTCTTGAGAACAATGGTACAAAATCGAACGCCAATAAGACATAAACAGGTGTGGTGATTCACAAGCCACGAGGCCGGATCATTGACCAAGAGAAGCCCATCAAGTGATACACACCCGCTATGGTTCAGCCAGTCTGGTTGTCTAATGGGCATGTCTGGCTCTGCCGTCCCTGCCAGATCCTCCTACAGTTGGTTGAAATCGGGACACCGGTTGAAACAGTTCAGTTTGGGTTGATTTTGTTCCCGGTTCAGTTGGGAACAGAGGCTGTCAGTTCCCAGTTGGTTTAGGTAGGTCTGGCAGTTGTTCCGGGAAAACTGGCAGAACTGTCAGTTCAGCGGATGAGCTGGCAGTTCAGTGAGGGAAGGTAAATTGGCCGACATAGGGTGCTACTGGTCCGGAAAAAGCGATAGAAACTGGGTTCCATATGCATATGATTTTTGGATGGCCACCGAAAGCGCAATAAAAGATGGGTACAGTACTAGTTTTAAATGGTCACCGAAAGGGCGACGTAAGATGTGAACAGTACTAATTTTGAATTCCTACTCTAAAGCTACCTATCCATGATGGGAGTGCGCCCATTGAACTTTTTGATGCTCTCCAAATTTTCAAAACTCTCCGTACCTAGCGAATGCCGACGATCAGTGAGAATCATTTTGCACTCAGAGAAGAGCCGTCCCACCTCAGCAGACATGGCTAGAATAGATCTGTACCGGTCAGTAATGGCCATTACAGAGCTGTACTGCCCAATTATCCTTCCTGCGGCGGCCAAAGGCGGTACCACTCTGTACCGCGTGATACTGAGTGTTGCTCTGTTGTACTACCAAAATGTGTGCTCCCAGTGATGGCCGTAGGTAATACTCGGCGACGGTCGACTACTGCGTGCCCGGTACCTGACAGTACCGTAGCCTGGCAGTAAATGGCCTGCAGTTCGGGTCGGTACTCTGCATTACTGATCACTACAGTGCAGTACAATCTGAAAAGGGTTCGCCCTTGCTGATTAGGACCCGGTAAGGTGCAGGTTGCGTGTCTGCGTCCTGCATCTTGACAGGTCTTGAATATGCGAGCTATAGGTGAAATTGTAAGCCTCACTGAACTGGTGGGCCTAGTAGTTTTCCCGGTTCAAAACCCGGCAGTTGGTTTCGTTTGCCAGTTGGTTTAGTTCAATACTCCCCAACAGTTGGCTAGTCTAAGAACGACCCCTATTTGTTCCCAGTTCGAACTGTTGGAGGGTCTGATCCTGCAGTTTGTGGGTGATCCCAACTCATAGTCCCGCAGGCTTTGAGCGGGGAATCACAGGCACCACAGTAGGCATAGATGGCCAGCTATCACGCCACAGCCTAATGTTCAAAGAAACATGGACAGGAAATTGAAGTTTGAAAACATCTACGATTCCTGACATTTCACACGTTCGACGAGTGTTGGCGGATGAAAGCCTGATCCCGAATAAACCCATTCTAGTGACTGCGACGCTTGACTGTTGTTTAGTTGGACGTTGTAGACCATTATGATGCAGAGCAGAGTAGCACACCATGTTTTCATCATGAAAAAAAAAACTCCGATAGGTGTGGGGAGGCGTTTGTACTGCTTGGACTGCACATTGCGCGACATACTGTTTGAATAAGCCCGGCGCCATGTGACCACAGTTGTCCATGCATGACCGCAGCTCTCCAGGTGATCGCAGTTAGCCAGGTGCTGCACACAGCGGAACACTCTGACTAGATAGGCACGGTGCCTGGATTGATAGCAGTCCATGAGTGATCGCAGCTGCCCGGGTCTGAGATCTGTTACCCGTGTAGGAATGCGGATGCCTCAATACAATACATATAACCCATACTGTGCTCGCGAGATCTAGCACCTGCATGTAACCTTGTTTATAGATGTGTCGGAATATGGGACGTCCGGAAATGACGATGTCCTTAGCTTACTCTAGTGGAGTGTCCGAGCACGGAGCTCCGAAGGTATCGATGAAGATATTTCTCTAGTTATGGAGGTTGTATATATAGAGAGAGAGCTGCTCACGATATTGTTGCTGTACCGAATACTATCATGTTTATCTAACTTATATTTGACAAGATGAATACTGTAATTGCTATTATACAGAATCCTCCTGCCAAAGCCCCTCAACCGAGCTCAACTCATCATCATCTTCTTCTTCGTCAATACTCTGGTTTTCGTCATTCTCCACATCGTCAAGATCAAGGAGAACAGGACTTCTCGGCAAGTCCTTCTCGTTCGGGATGTCGTCCGTCGCATTTGGCATCACCAATGGTCCTAAATTTGCATCCCCAGGAATAGGTTCCGCAAGGAACGCTGCCATTAGAGCAGGATCCGACTCGCCAGTGGGTGCCGTATCTGTCATTATCGTCCACATCGACAGAGAACCTAATATCGATCTTCAGCGCAGTGGGTCCCGTCATGACTCATCACTGCCTTTTCCTAAAATCGAGGATCTACTGAGTTCCAGAAAGACATGAACGTACTGTACGTTCTGTAAAAACCGTTAGCTAAGCTCTTGGAATATGAAAGCCTACTTACGGCCATCTTTTTTCAGGTTGAAGAAACACGACCACCCTGCTGAACGGCTCTTGGTACACTTGCTAGTCTTCGTGGATGGCCTCGATGGGGGATCTCCCCCGCTCTTCTACGACTCCTGCAATGCATGGTACAGGGCTTTCACCACGTATGCGATCAGCGGGGGAGGTTGCTCGTCGATCAAGCAGTCGTGAAGTCCGGCATTACGAATGCGGGACTTGTTGAAAAAGTGGCGACGGATGAAGTGTGGAATCTGAGAGCTCAGGTAGCCAAATATATCAAGTGCTGTCTCCATAGCAGTAAGAGGGGCTTCCTTTTGCGAGTCTAGTAGTACGGGTTCCTTAGACTAATGCAATAGTCGGTCCAAGGCAGCGAATCCAGCCTTCCATCCAGAGTCATGTCAGCGAGAGGGGCATTCTTAGGCCAATCCAGCAGAGAGGCCATGGCAGCGAATCCAGGTGGCAGGCTATGATAGTAAATCCAGTAGAGGACCCATGACAGCGAATCCAGTTGAAAGGCCATGGTAGCGAATCCGGTTGAGAGTCGATGGCAGCGAATCCAGTAGCCAGGCTATGGTAGCGAATCCAGTAGGGAGGCCATGGCAGCGGATCAGGTGGTGGGTAAGGGCATGACAGAAAATCCAGTAGCCAGGCTATGGTAGCGAATCCAGTACCGAGTCCACGACAACGAATCCAGTGCAGAGACCCAGGAAGCGAATCCAGCGGTGTGGCAGAGAGGCCTTGGGAGCGAATCTAGCAATCCAGTACAGAGCCCAGGCAGCGAATCCAGTGGTAGGACCATGGCAGCGAACCCAGTAATGAGTCCTTGGCAGCGAATTCAGTAGAGGGGTGATGGCAGCGAATCGATTGGTGTGTGAGGCCCTGGCAGCGAATGCAGTACAACCGAAGGAGTAGGACGAGGAGGCTGTTTCCGCCGCCGGACAAGTAGGATGAGCAGGACTAGTAGGACGGGTGCGTCGAGTGGGGTGAGTGGGACGAGCAGGGCGAGGAGACTTTCCATACCTGGACGAGTAGGGCGAGAATGGTGAGGAGATTCGCTTCATAGGCGAATGTAGTACTGCGTCCACGTTAGTGACTGACGGAGCGGACGGGGTGTATGTACAGGGTGGATACTGCTATTATGTAGATAGGACCCCTCATACTATAAATGAATCGACAAGACGTTCCAATGGTCAACTGACGTCGTGATCACAGAAGATCATTCTGTTAAGGTGGAACGCCCAATCGCCGTTTTCAATGCACCCACCGCATTCACCGCGGCACTGCATAAATACGCAGTCAACTGCCTACTGGAGTAAAAATGTTTTTCCTGATGCGAAGCATCTACTATGGCAACTATTACATACGTCCTACAGACAGCACTTGAGATACGGTTACTTCCAAACAGAAAGCAAAGCTTTCTTTAAATGGGGGTAATACGCCGCTGGCCGGCTGCAGCGATTGGTTTGCTCGGCGCTTGAAGAAATGCTAACACTACCGGCCGTATTTTGTCATTGAGTATCACTCGTCGTTTGCGCTGATCATAATCGGCTACTATCTGGAGAAACGATAATGTATCGCTAGAGAAATTCTTTGGGTGGCCTCTCATTAGTTTGGTGGACACGTCTTACCGTCTGATCCGTTCCGTATCCGTGTGGCGTGGTCAAAGCTGCCTTTGTGTTTTCGTTCGAGTTTTCGAATCAGGACCCTTCGTCCCGCTACAAGCCACCGTAAAAGATATGCCACCGTCATCCAACGATGTTTGTATAAGAGTATGACGTTCGGACGGACCGACTACTACACAGACGAGTCTTCAGATCGCTGACCATGTTTTCCACTTGGTCGATACAGGAGATCACGTACCGAAGATATACTGCTCGCCATGGGCAGAATTCTGGTCCGAGTGCAAAGATTCTGTTTGCTGGACCCTGGTAGCCTCCCGACTATCAAAGACTATGAGATGGCTCGCTAATTTCTTCCGGTACCTGTCGCCGAGTCACCTTGTGAGGCACAAGGGGTAGCTGCGGTACCGATAGCCGGTTGGACCTCGTCCCCAAGGCCTTCGTGAAACGCGCTCACGATCGTGATGTTGTTCTTTACCTGGAGGCAGTGGAGATTTCTAAGCTTGTTGAAAGTTCCGTAATTAGAATTTAGTGACAGTGATGCGAGTGATCAAAAAACGGGAGGTTTGCAGTGGTTGACCAAGAAAACGCTGACAGGATGATCTTTGGTCATGAGGTGTTTGCGCAGATCCGGTTTGACGAGAATATGTTGAAAGACCCAGATGCGCTCACTACGCATACTGATTTTCTATTGATTGCTTCGCTGTGGCGATACTCACGGGACAGATTTCTTCATACTCACGTGATACATTGCTCCGTTGTGGGGGCTGTCACATCCGGATAATCAATGAGGGTTAATTCTATTGTTGTTGTTGTCTTGGCAGAGGCTTCGGCCTCTGTTTCCCTGATAACTGCTCGCATCTTCGCTCCCTTCCGACTCTCCTACCATCACATCTGCGCAGTCCACGCTCTCCTTCTTCGAATCCACACTCTTCCACCAATTATTTTACCCTCGTCCACCATCCCTTTTGACCCATCCGCACCACCTCTTCTCCCATCGCTCTCCCTCACACTTCTACAGCGATCGCTTCCTTTCATCCATACTCCATCTCTTCCGGTCCACTGTTTTCCCTTGATACAGTTTCCATCTCCCCTCACCTACGAATCACCAGCTCCTCTCGGATGCTTCGGGCCCTCACCTGGGCTTCTGCTTCTCTTATTCGGGCACCTACTCTTCTGGTGCACTGGTTTCGTCTGATCATCTTCCCTCCGTTTCTTCTGGTACGCTCATTCTCTCTTCATCCTTCGATTTCTTCTCTGTAAATCTAATCAGGAATCCGAAAAGCATCCGCCCGACGCACCTCACAGCCGTCAACATTCCGCTCACAATATCCCGCGTGTTGGCATCATTTAAGCAACACTCCCCAATAGGGTTCTTGAAAATGACCTGCTCCGCCAGCGTCAGATCATTACAAAGCTCGCACGGTAAGTAACTTTCACATAATCCCCGTGTCTACTCCCAGCACCGTTATGTTTCCCCCAAGCCCACTCGAATCCCATCTTCCCACTACAAACGAAGGGAATAAATCTTCATCTGAGTCGCTCGCTGTTCCAAATATCATGCTAGAACTCTCCTGTCGATGAACAAAAACGGGGATGAAAAAAGACATATCTGACTCAGAGGGTGAACAGAAACAATGTCCGGATCAGGTTGTTTCTACGATCACTCAATTCCATCATGTCGTACTCACTTCCCCACACCGCGTGGAGCGAGCTCGTCTACACTGCCTTTCTGGAACTTTGCGGAGTTTCAGTAGGTATCTCCATGAGTGAGAAAGGGGAGGCAGAATTCGCCTAGCCCGGTCCAGTTGGTCCGCGCTCCTGAGCAGGACAAACAAGCGTAAATCGACCGCTTTGGTGGGGGGTGTGTTGGGCGGACTAGTCCGCCGACACGGGTGGGATCGGACTGATCCCATCAAGCCCATCCGGACATCAGTCCGGATGGGACTATGAAGAAAACTGGGAAGAGTCCCAGGAGGTGGAAAGTAGCGGCCGGGGAGGAGGAGGCCAGGACGATAGACAGCGGCAATACCACAGAGGCGGATGATACTAGATACGATCGAATGCCGCAGAGCTTCCCCACGGAGACGGATCTTGATGTTGATTCCATCATTGCAACCAATGAAGGTACTCCGATCATTCCCGCGGAGCTTGAGGGACTACCGGTTCCGACAGGTACAAGAGGAGCCGAGAAGGACGCAGGCGGATGCTAGACGGAAGATCCTCAAGCTGGAGGACTCCATGGAAAGAATTGGTGTTGGTGGTGGAGATAAGAGGGGCGAACGGGTTTTTGCAGAAGTGATCAATACCCTGATCACTATGTACATTTACCAGACGATTGCAGTGCGCTGCATGACCCTACCATTTGGGGCGGGAACCGGGGGGCTGGGTGGAGAACACCCTTGCCCGGTTGATCGTTGATACGCGGTTTTGCACCACGGTGCACGGTCTCAAAGGTGCTGGCGATGTGAGACTGGATACGCTCAGTCCGAGAGAGAGCTTTAGAGTGACTCGAGAGAGCATTGACAAGCGTCGCACAGGGGGCATGGATCTGGACTTTGTGCCCACCATGGAGGAAGGGCTTTTTGTTTATGTTTTCTCCTGTTTTTGTTTTTGTTTTTGGTCTGGTTTTGTTCCGCTTCAGCTTTTGTTCTGGTTTTTATTTTATTTTTATTTTTATTTTATTTGTATTTTTATTTCTGTTTAATCAGTATTTGCTTCCGTGGTGGATAGCAGAGACCGAGTGCTGCCGGAGGCGAGAAACCTTCGGACTAAGAAGTCTAAAGTCCGTGGATAAAGAGAGACCTCGCCGCTGATGATGTTGGTGCTGCATCAAACCAATTATCTCTGCCCTTCTACCCTTATATTCTTACAACCATCGTCAACCTCCTCATCCAAGCCTGCTCGCTGTGCGTGCCGCGGAGGCAGAGATCACAGACCTTTCTGAAGTCGAGTCGGTTGATTGAGAAGACCCCGCCAAAACTCAGGCCGGGGAAGTCCAAGTTCTGTCGTCCAATGGATCTATCGATCTGGAATTTCCTTTGTCCTTCGGCGGGGACGTCTGCCCTCATAGTACATTACAAAACTTCTTGTGGGTGCTTGGCAGGTTCAAAAGAGGGCAAACTCTGAGTCTGAATCTGGTGGCAACGCAGCGTCGTTTAATCGGAGGAGCTATTCGGTATCTTCTTTGTGTTTCTGGGGCTGTGGGAGGGCGATGTCATTGATGTAGGTATGTCTTAGGTGCTAGTTTTTCGTTGTCAGATCTACGCGTCCGATAGCTCCGGAGGACTGTTTATGAGCCGGTCGACACCTTGGGCGCCTGTCCCAGCCTTAGTCGTGCAGAGAGAAAGAGAGATAGATCTTCCGTTTTATTTCGCATGCGGCGTAGGTATGTAGACTATGGCGAGTGGGTCGTGCAAACCTTGGGCATCCGAATCATATTTAATCCCCGCGAGTGACGGGGTCTAGGAGCCAGCCGTCGATCTGGCGAGCCTAGAAGGTCTGTATATAGCGAACCTACTGCCGCAGCAGTAGAGAGGATAATCAATGTTCAATATTCTTACTGTTCACATTCGTATACGCCGCACGATAGCCCCGTTGCCTGGTGTTGTGCTAGTTTCATGCTTTCCTGCTTTTCGAGGCGGAGTATCATTCTTGTGGTGGAGCTACGGCACTGACATGATTCGATTTACCTGGAGGGTTCAATCTCCCGATACGTTTTCGTCATTAATACAGAATCGATAATGATACCGGTTGGTTCCAGAGTCATGTGGGAAGATTAGCAACAACATACGCCTATGGGGCCATGAAAGAAGTTCAAATCACGAATAGTGTACATGCCGCCTTCACATCACCTCCTACTCTTGACAGTCAGGTTATCACCCCAGGACCCCAGCCACAAGAAGAAGGGACAGCTGCATCAAAGAAGTAACTTTTCAAGTGTAATCTATACGAAACTCCATCATCAAAACACCCGTTTCCTATTGCCCGCCTTTCGAAATCATACTGTGAGTACCGTAAGATGTCCCTGTCGCAGTGTCCGGCAATACAGACGGACACGGCCCTGGATCTACCTGTGTAAAGTTGCGCTTACACGATAGCATCCGGTGGGGATCCGGAGCTGGCGGACGGTGCGCGGGTTGGAGTCGGACATCGAGATGTCATAGGTGGCAGCGGTTCATCCCCCTATCAAACGAAGGTGTCAGTATACGTGGTATAGTTTTGCAAAGAAAAAGTGCCGTTTTGATCAACTGTCTTACCTGCGGCGCGGCCCCAACGTCCGATTCTCCTGAAAGCACCGTCCCAGAGCGTCGGTGCAGGGATCGTAGCTCGTCCTCTTGCTGTGACTCCGAGTTCTGTCCCTTCCTATTCTCGTCGAAAGTGAGGAGGTCGTGGGCGATTGAACCTGAGTGTCCCTTGTGGGTGGTCTGGTTCGACGTGACCCTGCCTTCGCGGGACTCATCAGCCTCACGTGGATCCGTGTAGCTGATATTACGATCCTCACCTGCTTCAACAGGGCCAGACAGGTATGGCCAGCTCTCGTGAAGAGGAGGGCTACGCATGTAATGCGGAAGACCCGAATCGTAGCTGCTTGGTCTCGGTAGAGTGAGAAGACCCTCTCCTTGTAAAATACGAGCTGCGTTGGGACGTGGCGGCGCGATGAGGTCTGAGTCGCCATTCGACTGCGAATCAGGCCGGTGATCGACCGCATCGTCCTGAACACGGCGGTTACGATTGACGTCCACATCTGATTCAGCATCCTGCGTTACAACCAGATGTGCGTCAGATGGAGAAACAACCAGTTGAAGTGAACAATAAATTGGCGTACATACCCCTTTTGAGCCACCGGAAAAGAGCGACTTCCATTGTCGGATGATCCATTCGTAAACCTTACGGTATGGGGCAACCTCGTCCACAGTGTCCGGGAGGTGGAAGTTACGGTGAATCACTTCGCCGTCCTCGTTGACTTCACATCCGCAGTTATGCCCACAGACAACCGACTCCCTGAATGGAATGAAAAAGCTGATGGCTGCCCAAAGCACGCCCGCAACGAAGATGGAGCCGCCGAAGGTGATCGCTACTATCATCTCCGCAAATCGGTAGCTCTTGGATATGTTCTGTTTTTTGCGCTCCGGATCTGTTTCGTCTCCGCTTGCGCCTTCGGGAAAATGGATGAGGTTCGGAGGTCGAGGAGGTGGTCGATACTCTGAGATTCCCCCGTTTGGCGCAAACGTATGGCTGAGGACCGAATGTGTGGTACCAGCGAGCTCCGCAGCGGGTGTGTAGAAAACGGATGGTATGGCGGTAGGCTCTAAAGTAGCCACCATCACGGACAATGTCGCCGTCGTTGTTGGTTCGTACACGAAATCAGGAGTATGCATCTTGCTCTTCCACTCGAATACACCTGCGGTTCGCCGCTCAGAAGTATGTGACAAGACGTAGCCCAGCTGAAGGTTTCCGTGAGAGCTGTACCTGCAATGACCAGCAGCTGCCTCGCTAGAATGCGGAGAGTCTGAGTGAGTCCAGGTCTGTAGGGACAGGGTGAACGGTGCGTGCATTTGGAGGTACCTACCGTTCACAGTGCCCTGATTGACCACTGGGGTGCAGATGGTGATCTTTTTGTTGGTGGTGTAGTTCTGAGTGGTTGTGGTATTGTTGGTGGTGGGGTCGGTTGACATTTGTATTACTTCGTTGGGGTTGACAAGGCAGTACTAGTAGTTAGGGCCGATTGTTGTCGACAGGGATGGTAAAAAATACGCGGCGAAATCCATCGGTGTGGGCGACGATACATTAGTAGCCATCCCGTTGCGCAAGTAGACTCAAGATGCGATTACATAGACGATACGAAATCGCGGAACATCCAACTGAAGCGTGATGATGGTACAAGACAGAAGTTATATAAATACTCGCGATAGTCACTGCTATTGTGAACCAATAATGCGAAAGAATGGAATTACCGGTATAAAGCCAGCGATCATCATACACAGTGATCGGCTACTTGCATTCTCGTAAGTGGGCGCTGTACATATAGATGGATGTCTTGTATTGGCGTTACATCTCGGGTTCAAAGCGGTGGGTGTATTGTAGCGACCAGGCAGTGATCATGGCTTGACGGCAGCGATACTCCCAGGCGGTCAGGGGTCCATCGGCTGTATGAGGTTGGCAACCTTGGGGAGGACGCTCTTTTGCCGCTGTTCGAACCGAGGTGTCAGCGGTTTTGTTTTATGCTCCTCAGACCTTCGGTAGCGAAGTAACAGTAGTCGTTTGACGCCGCGATCGGTTCAGCAAGTTCCCAATAGATGCCTCCGTTGAATAATGCGGTAGATAAGCAAGATCATAGTATTGAGTACAGCAACAATATCGTGAACAGCGAGCTCTCTATATGCAATCTCCATGAACCTGAAAGTAGTATCTGCGCCGATCCCCGTGGAAGGTGGGTCTTCCGTGCTCGGATACCCCGCTATAATACACTGGCGAAATAGGCATCATCAGACGTCCCACATTCTAACACTTTTGAACTAGTAGATTGGGCTGTTGGCAGGTGTGATTTCCCGGGGAGAGGTCGGGTGCTCACCGGCGGCGCCTGTGGATTCCGACGAGACCCTCGTCTTGCCAACTCAACGGCGAGGTCATTTTCCTCTTTCTGAAATGGTTGGGAGCAGTGGTACGATGACGGTAGCGTAAAGATAAGATGCCCATACATTTGTTGCGGCGTCATCAGGAAAAACCAATCTACTCTGCACTGCTGCGGTAACTGTGGTGGGTGCATAGGGAACGGTGGTAGGCCGTTTCATCCTAACCTGAATGATGTTCCGTGAGCACGACGTTAGGTGGGGTTTGCCACATCTTTTTATTGATTGATATCACGTGGTATATCTACGTAATGGCAATACATATCCACCCTGTTCATACACCCCGTCCGTTCCCTCACCTGTCCCGGGGCCTTGACTCTTCGGCGCCCTTGCCCTCGACTGGCCCTCTCCGTCACCTCTTCCGGCTCCATCATATCTTGCGCTCCTTCACTAATCTGTGCAGTCATCTCTTCCGGAGCCGTCATGTCTTCCGCACTCCCATAACTCTTCCGTGCTCCCACAACGCTGCGGTGCTCCCACATCTCTGCCGTGCCGTCACCTGTTCGCCGCTCTTGCCCTGGATTTGCCCTCTTCCGCTCCCTCGAGCTCGACTGACCCACTCCCTCACTCTGCCGCGCCCCCACAACTTTTCCATGCCGTCGCCTCTTCGCCGCACTTGCCCTTCAATTGCCCTCTCCTGCTCGCTGCCCCTCGAGTGGCCGAATCCCTCCCTCGTCCGTACTCCTACAAGTCTTCCGTGCTCCCATGACACGTCCGGGCCTATCGACTCCTCCGTGCTCCCACAACTGTGCCTTACTCCCCCAACTGTGCCTTACTCCCCCAACTTTGCCGTGCTCCCACAACCCGTCCGTGCCCATCGAATTGTCTGTGCCGTCGTGTCTTCCGGTCCGTCGGATCCTCCTTGCTCCCATAACTTTGCCTTGCTCCCACCACTCCGCCATGCTCCCACATGTCTTCTCTGACGTCATCTCTTCCGGCCCATGGACACGTGCGTACACCCACAACCCTTCCGTGCCGTCAACTCTTCCGGCCTGGCGACTCCTTCATACTCCGACAACTCGTCCAGACCAACAGCTCATCCTTGCCGTCATCTGTTGGTACCTGGAGACTCGTTCCTGCCCCTCCATGCTCCCACAACTTGTCCTGACCCACAAATCCTCTCTGCCGTCATCTCTTGCGGTCTGGCGACTCGTCCCTTCCGTCATCTCTTCTAGCGTGGCGACTCGTCTGTGCCGTCATCTCTTCCGGCTCGTCGACTCGTCCGTACTCCCACAACCTGTCCGTGCCCGTCGACTCGTCTGTGCCGTCATTTCTTCTGGTCCGCCGACTCATCTGTCCCGTCAGTTCTTCTGTGCTGCCTCAGTCTTCCGTGCTCTTGTTGCTCCCTCAACTCTTCTGTGCCCTCGACATACACCTCAACCCTTCCGTGAGGTGCACCCTCGACGCTTCCGGGCCCTCAAATCTTCCGTTCCTTGACCCCTCCGCCCCGTCATCTGTTCCGTAAAGTCAACACGTGGTGCCATCAACTGGGAGGGGCCGTCAATCGTCGCTGCTGTTGCATAGTGGGATGGAGCGGCTGGCCCAGAACATTGCCCTGGCGTAATAGGTGCCGTGCGGTAATAGGTGCTCCGGTATGTTGGGTGGGAGAGGAATATGGTTCTTGCCGCATGTCGATAGTTGGCTGTTCACCTTTGGACCGCGCCATTCTAACTTTTCCCATCCGGATACCCCGCTGGCAGAACCGCGGATGCAATCTCTCTCTCCTCCCCTTCACCCTGCTACTCCTCACCCTCCCGATTCTACCAGTCCAACTGGTTCTAGTGGTCCTTCTCGATCTGCTGCAGAAACAGTCTCCTCGTCCTGGTGCGGAAAGACTTTCCCCACCCCGCTCACTCAGCTCGCTGTGCATCGGTTCCCTCGACTCTTCCCCAGCCGTGCACTTGACTGGCAGTTCCCTCGGCTCTTCCACGCCCTCGCCGTGCTACCTGGCCTCTTCGGCGGCCTCGCTCGCGATCGGCCCGTTCCCTCGGCCCGTCCGCAGCATCGCCCTTGACTGGCCTGTTCCCTCTGCTCTTCCCCAGCCTCGTCTTTGACTAGATGTTCTCTCCCAGCTTGGCCTGGCTCCCTAGACCGTTCGCCAGCCTCACCCTGCCTCGCCCTCGTCTAGCCGCTCCCGCAACTCTGCTCCAACCTTGCCCTCGCTCCCTAGGCTCTTCCGCGACCTCGTAACCGTCCCCAAACACTGCTCAAGCCTTGCCCTCGCTCCGTGAGTTCCTCCGCGACCTCAAAATATTTCCACCAGTCTTCCACGTCTTCGCTCTTGACTAGCCCGTTCCCTCGACTCTTCAACGGCCTCGACTGGATCCCTGGACTCCTCTCAGGCCTCGCCGTTCTCCATGGACCCTTCCCGGCCTTGACTGGCTTCCTGGACTCTTCCTCTGCCTCGCTCTCGGCCGGCCCCTTCCCTCGGCTCCTCCGTGCTCCCGCTCTGCTTGCTGGGCTATTTACCTGCCTTGCCCTACCTTGCTCTTGACCGGCCCGTTCCCACAACTCTTCCCCAGCATCGCCTTGCCTCGCTCTCAACTGACCCGTTCCCTCAACTGTTCTGTGGCCTCACCATACTCCCTGGACTCTTCCCCAGCCTCGTCCTTGCCACGTCCGTTCCCACAACTCTTTCCCAGCCTCGCCTCTCCCTGGCCATTCCCTCGACTGATCTGTCGCCTCACTCTGCCGCCCCTTGGGTCTTGCATCCCCCACCCCCCAGTCCCCCCGACCTCCCCCGCTCCCTCGATCCTCCCGTAATGCACTCGCAGAAGCTATTAAATCTTGTTCCAAGTGGTTAGATCAATGTTACTGTTCACTAGCCAAACTTTATTCGGAATTCCAGAGCTGTCCGCTTCGTCGGGGATGAGATGTGCTGCTCCAGCGATGTTCGTACCGCTTATCACCGTGGAGTTACTACCCGCCGTGGGCTTTGTCACCATCACCATTCCAGACGCGCTTTCGGGGACACCGTCTGACTTCGGTGTGGTTTCTTCCACGAATGCACACACCGTGATGGATGTTTACCGTGCACTGACGGAGGTCGCCGTAAAAGATTTTGTCCAGCTGGCGACGGAGGAAGGAGATGGTCGCACGAAGCAGCTCGTTCTGAAGGTTGTCGCCATGCACAGATACAAGCATAGCACCAAAGTGGCGATTCTGAAATTCCCAACGTAGGTCTAATCGGAAGTGAATCTCAACCCGACTAGGGATTCTTCCGCCGTTTTCACATGACCCGCGGGATTGTCACCACTCTGGGCCGATTTGTTAAGACTCCGCATCGCAGGAGTATCGCTCCTCTGGTGGTACTGCAGCATCTGTTTGTAAATGTTGCCAGAGCGATTCGACTTGTAGTACGATCATTAAGCTGGGTGCGGTGGGAGGTCTCACCAGCCTCGGTAGACCATTGCTTGAGGGTTGTGTATCGGCGTATCTGCTCCTCGCAATGAAGCAGCTGGTTGATTTTCGGAAAGTTTAAATTACTTCCCTCCTCGTGATATTCAACCATCCCCGTGTTGATCAGAGTCTGCCATTCCTTGTTGAATCTCTGCCGCTTGACGCCAGTTGTACCTTCCATCGCAGTGTCCCGCATCTCAAGCAAAGGCCTCCGGTGCTCTTGGTCTTGGAGCGTTACCTTCTTGGTGGCCCGAAATTGCTGGAAAACATGTTCGAGGGTGTAGAAGCGACTGAGCGCATCGCGCATCAGACCCAAGGTCTCATCATTGTGAGTTTTGTGCATAGGATAGGAATAAAACTCGGTGAGGGCTCTGCTTGTCACGGCTCAGGAAAGGACGGCCGAAGAAGAGCTGCGACAATGATCGGATGGCATGAGAGACAGCGCATGGGGGGCGCGGGATGAGGCGTTGATGACTAGGGCTATGTGCAAGAAGCAGGGATAGTGCGGGCAGCACCGGAATGAGACGCCGAGGATTGAGGCTGTGCATGCAAGAGCAGGGGTTGAGCAGCTCAGCAGGTGTGAGTCGAAAGCGGGGCAGCGCAGCGAAGGATTTCTCAGCGTCTAGCACACACCCACTTTGGTTAGC